GATCCACCCATTCACCAAGTTTGTGCAGAAGGGAGCCAATCCCTGCCACTATTGGATAGCTCCTAACTGGATTATCTTGCTTGTGCAATTTAAGTAGGTGAAACACTGGAACCACAGGACAGTCCGGCATCAAATACTCAGCAGTTTTGGGCGGTAGCACCCCTTCTTCAGAGTCTTATAGGTAGAGATATGATTTGTCTCAAAGCCTCCGATTTACAGTTCTCTGGAGAGAATCACTACTGCTCTGTCCTTAGCAGCAGCTCGTATGACTGTTTCGACAAGACTTCAGCTTATTAAGCACTTCCCTCTCTGCTTTGTTTAAATTATCTCTGGTATGGGCGGAATCAGCAAGTGATCTCTCCTTCAGATCAAAGAGTTCTCTGGAAAGCTCTGGAATGTATCCACAGAAGTGCTTCTGGCCTGTATGTGATAAAAATATTTGTTCCCCTTATGTGAAATATCCAACTCAGCCAAACAAGCCACCAGTAGATTCCAACTGCAATTTCTCCAGGGCTCACCTGGCCACCAGGTCCTGGAAAATAAATGTATTATTTATATCTTCCATACTATTAATCGCCCTGGGGAAAAAGTGCAGCCGGGGTCTCATGTTTTTGTAGATGTAAACAGATTTATCAGGAATATCTTGCTAACAATGCATCAAAGATGTCTAAATGAAAAACCATAGCGAAAGACAAGCCATCTGAAGAGTAGAGAGATTCCAGAAGATGTAAGAGGAACCAGACAAATTAACATTAGCAACAAGATTACTATCAAAGATCACCTCAGTCCTTTTTGGTTCTTGTTTGCTGGGAGTACTTGGTCCTACTTGATCTTATTATCCCTTCTTCCACTTGTTTTCAGAGGTCACAGGAGCCCATCAGTCAGGAGTTATGAAAAGTTCATTATCAGAGGTATCCCTAGTGAAGACTGAGGTGACTGAATCCCTTGATGTAACATATGCTCCATCATCTAGTGTCTGACAGCTCAGACTGAGTCTCTGATCTTCTCGCTTTCTATACTTCCCTCACCCTGTCTTCTTCCCACACTATCTTTTGCTCACTTTCCATTCTTCTCTCGCCCTCTTCTTCTTGCTTTCTATTTTTCTCTTACCCTCTCTTGATCCTTTCTTTCTCTCTTTCCTTAGTCGTCTTCCTTTTCTATATTTCCCTCACCCAATTTTCATCCCTCGCTATCTTGCTTTCTATTCTTCCATCGGTATTTCTTAACTCGCCATGCCCTCTCATTCCCTTTTTATATTCTTGCTTTCTATTCTTTGCTTACCTTCTCTTCTTCCCTCAGCATTTCTTCTTCCCTTGCCTTCTTTTTCTCTCCCCCTAAATTCTTCCTTTCCCTTTGTCTTCTCTTTTCCTTGCCCTCTCTTGTTCCCTTGCCTTCTTCTTTCCTCACTTGCTCTTCTTCCCCCTCCCTTGTTGCTACTTTTCCCTCACCCTCTCTTCTTCCTTTGCCATCTTCTCACTTTCTATTTTTTCACAGCTCTCTCTTCTTGCTTCACTATCTTTTTTTCAATCTCTTTTTTTCCCCTTGCCCTCTCCCTTTGCCATCTTCTTGTCTTTTCATCTACCCTCTATTTCCCTAACTTCTCACTTTCCAATCTTCCCTCGATCTCTCCTTCCCTCGCTATTTTCTTTTTGCCTTCCATTCTTTCCTCAGTCTCTCTTCTTCCTTTGCCATCTTCTAGCTTTCTATTCTGTCCTCGCTGTCTTTTTCCCTCACCATCTTCTCCCCTTTTCTTCTACCCATGCCTGCTCTTTATTTGCCATCTTTTTGCTTTCTATTGTTTGCTCGCCTTCTCTTCCGTCGATCTCCTATTCCTTCACGGTCTTCTTTTCACTTTCTATTTTTCCCGAAGACCTCTTTTTCCCTTGCCTTTTCTTCCCTCGCCTTCTCTTTTTCCCTTGTATCGCCTTCTTTTTTTCCCCTAGTCCTCTCTTCTTCCTTCACTATCTTTTTGCTTTCTACTCTTCTCTTGCCCTCTATTCCCTCACCATCTCTTCTTTCTTTGCCATCTTTTCACTAATTTTCCTCTCTCCCTCTCGTTTCTTCGTTTGCTCTTCTTCCCTCGCCCTCTCTGCTACTTTTGCTCTCTCCTTTCTTTTCCATCTCCCCCCTTTCCATTATTCCCTCACTGTCTTCTCACTTTTTCTTCCCATGACCACTCTTCTTCCATCGCTACCTTCTTTTTGCTATATATTCTTCCCTAGCCTTCTCTTCCTCCCTTGCTCTCTCTTCTTCCTTTGCTATTTTCGTCTTGCTTTCTATTCTTCCCTCGCTGTCCCTTTTTCTTTCGCAGTCGTTTTTGCTTTCTATTCTTCCCTCGCTTTACTTTTTTCCCTCATCTTCTCCTGTCACTTTTTCCAATGCCTTCTTTTCTTCACCCTCTCTTCTTCCTTTGCAATCTTCTCACTTTTCTTCCCTCACTCCTTCCTTAGTTTTCTTTTCACTTTCTATTTTTCCACTCGCACTCTTCTTCCCTCGCCCTCATTTCTCTCACCCTTTCCTTTTCTTCCCTCACCCTCTCCTTTTCTTCCCTCACCATCTTATTCCGCTTTGCATTTTTTACCTCGATTTCTCTTAATTTCCCGCTATCTTATTCTTGCTTTCTATTCCCTCACCATCTTCTCACTTTTTCTTCTTCCTATGCCCTCTTCCCTTGCTAGCTTTTTGCTTTCTATTCTTCCCGCGCCCTCTCGTCTTCCCCTGCCATCTTCTCGCTTTCTATTCTTCCCTCGCAGTCCTTCCTTATCTTCTTCTTGCTTTGTATTCTTCCTTCACCTGCTCTTCCTTTCTTGCCCTCGTTTTCACCTGCAATCTTCATCTCACTTGCTGTCTTTGCTTTTTAGAGGGCAAGGGGTGAGGAAGACGGAGGAAGAGGGTGAGGGAGAGGAATAAAGTAAAGGGGAATGCCAAAGAAACTTGCCAAATCCTTATCTTACAAAAGCAGCAGGGACCTGTCAAGCACACTGGAAGATAGAATTATACCTGTAGTGATCTGGGGAAATTTGCATATACTGGAGAGATGTACTGTGTATGTATATTTGTTTTTAGATCATCCTTCGATACACATTAAAAGTGGAATGTCAGTTTTGCCCCTAGGTTTGGATAAAGTTGGTAATGTTTAGAACTGGTCAGTGTTGCATTGCTATCCATACCAGTTTCAATCATTTGAGTCGAAAAAAAAAAAAAAAAATACAGAAAGTATAAATTCTAACTGTTGTCACCTGTTCAACGCACATATCAGGGAGTCATGTGCAGTCTTCTGTCCACTGAGGTGCTTTGGTAGCCTAACTATGTAACTGCAACTGGACACAAAAACGTAAATCCAGCCTCAAAGGCGGTATTTCTCATCACTTGCTAATGACAGGAAGAGTGGGGAATTGTCCCCAACAGTGACAAAGACCACCACCAAAGAAAAGAAAAAAAAAAATAGACCGTGGACAAGTTTTACAGATGTATAAACAATTGAGATTTTTTTTAAACCTATTTGTTCAGTTTTACTCCCTTTATTGAACATTCACCAAAAATTTTGTATGGATGAGGCAAGAGTAAAATACAAAAAGGAATATATTTTATTTCCATCACAAGGCACAGCATCCCCATTTTATTTATACCTTTAAAATCTGTTAAAAAAATCTAAATTGGTCACAAAATAATTATAATAAAAAAAAAAAAAAAAAAAAAAAAAAGACACTCACATTGGTCCCAGCTTCTGTCATTAAACCCTACAGGCACTCGAGATCCCACAAGAATACACTCAGGCAATGGGCTGGGGTGCATTCTTGTGGGATTTCAAGTTCCCAGCTATTCCAGGAGGCCACTGTGAGGCCTTATAATGTTGTTTGTACCTCCCATAGGCCAAGAAAAAGGTACTTTTTTTTTGGAGGAATCTATTAAAGTTTTTTTTTATGTTGTTTGCAGCTAATTTTGTATGGGTAGCAGCTGGCCTACCAGACCTTCTATTTTTCATGGAAGGTCTGCTATAATTTGTAGGCAGTAGCAGAAGAGTTTTTTTTTCCAGGAAATATCCCTTTTCTTTCTCAATTGGTACCAACATTAAAACACAAAGCCCTAATAAGAATAAAATAAAAAAGTCAGACAGATTTTATTTTTTAAAAATTTAATTATATATAAAATATCTTTATAAACAGTTTTCATACTACACATGGTAGTACCAGAATACAAAACATATGTCTTCCATTATATACCGTTAAACTTTATTATAAATTAAACTTAACAAAGAAAAATTGCACATATCATTTGACCACTCTTCGGCTCTGATGCTCTGGCATTTTGCAATAGTATCTTTTGTCTTCAAGTTTAACAGTCTCCGCTTTAGAGTCCAAAGCTCAATAATGTAAAGGGGGACATTAAAAAAAAAAAAAAAAAAAAAAAAATGAAAAACAGAAATAGAAAAAGGGGGTGTCCCTCAAGTGCACTTAGCAGACTGATGGCCTTGCTTCTGCTGAGGGCCTGCTGCTTTTTGCCTTAGCTATATAAATTAGTCGGTTCCCGAGAGATAACTTTAAAATAAGAAATTAAGTAAAGATTAAGAAGACTGAATAGAGACTGAGTGTTCCTAAGTGGATTGTAAACAGCAGCCTCCATAGCTAAACATAAGGTCTCACAGGCATCAGTGAGAGAGTCAAGCAAGTTAGAAACAGCACAACAAATGGGGATTGTAAAATAAATCAAGGGTAAGAGGAGAATAAACACAAAAACAGACAGAAACAATAAAACAGCAGTCGCTTTAACTATACTTACGGACATGATGTTAAGAGAATCTTGTTGGGCCTAGAAGTAGGCCTGAGTTTGAGATTCAAATCTTCTGTTATAGATGGGCAATAAATTTTGATTTCCCAGTTACAGAAAGCATTGTTGATTCAGAGTAGGTCTGATTTTCATATGCTAATCTGAAACAGATTTTTCAGGACCATTTTGGCAATTTAGTATAGGACTTTGGCATGAATGCAACCAACCAGTGTTCAGTGATTCTTGCTTTCTGTTTTTAAATTTAAGAGCTCATCTAGGCTGACTCCAACCTCTTGGCACTTGGAAACTAGTTTTCTCAGGTTATCAGTTTTACCTCCTTCTGATGCTTCAAACAAGAGTTGCTGCAAAAGATGGGGAAGCACAACCTGTAAGGTTGATGCAAAAACACACAACTACAGACATGGTAAACACAAATAAAATATGCATAACCCCAACAAATAGAAACAGATGAAAACATTACATCTTTCCAGAGATCAGCACACAGAGGCAACTTCTGAAGTGCTCTTTCATACAAACGATGGACCTGTAGAACAAAATGCATTTGAAAAAGGAAGGGAAGAGAGAAATACATATGAATCACTAGGAGTATATAACATTCTACGTTTAAAACAAAGTCATCCATGCTACATATTTGGGCACTACCTGACCTATTCTCTTTTGAAGGAAAACACCAGATTCATAAAATAGGGCAACCTATATCCCTACATCAGATTTATGCTGTAAATATAGTTCAGCTTTAGTATAGTCGCTCCACAATATTTACAGTCATGGACAATTGTTGATTTACAACTGTTCAGGCATTTGCATGTTTCTTTTGTTTGTATTGGTATGACACAAAAAAGTGAAGACAAATCTGACACGTTCCACACAAAACTCCCAAAATGGACTGGACAAAATTATTGGCACCTTCTCAATATTGTAAGAAATAATTGCATTCCAAGTTTGTGATGCTCCTGTAATTTGTAATTAAACTCTCCTGCATCAATTAACAGGTGCCGACAATATAGAAATCCAATCGGCAACAAGTTAAAATGGTGAAAAATTGACTCAACTTTTCTGTTGTGTGTTTCTGTGTGCTACATGGAATATGGAGAAGAGAAAGAGCAGCAAAGAACTGTGAGGATTTGGGAACAAAAATTGGACAAAAGCATGGACAATCTCCAGAGATCTTAATGTTCCTGTGTCCACTATGTGCAACATTGTCAGGAACTTTACAGCCCATGGCACTGTAGCTAATCTCCCTGTCCAGTCCATTCTATTTTTGGAGTTTTGCGTCAGATTTAGCTTTTGTTTCTCCACCTTTTTGTGCCATACCAATAGAAAACAAAATGATGAGAATGCCTAAACATTTGTAATTGCAACAATTTTCTGAGCGAAGTGGTGCATTATCTGACAGAAATGCAGGGGTGTCGATATTTTTGGCCATGACTGTATTAATAATATATATAAAGAGCTTTAGGCAAGTGACAAATATTTACCTCTCCCCTGGTGTACTGTAACTGCCTTTGCAAGTGATGTGACCAAACGCAGGCACTTTAGTCATGCGATATCAACTCAAGATGCCCAAGGCAGTGACATTAATGCCAGCCATACAGCATCAGCATTCAGGCAAAACTGACCAGATTCCAATTTAAGTACTTTGTATACACTTTTTTATTTTTGGTTTTCTTTAACCTCCCTAGTGGTCTGATTATGTCAGTATTTCTGTGCTCAAAGTGGTACATTTTTTGCAGGGAAATATGTAGTTTTTTTTATTGTAGGCCTGTAATTCTTAGGAATAACTCACTGAAATCTGTCTGAACAAGAGTCTACTAAACATCCCGGCTATGTTAAAGTTTGAAACACGAAATCATAAATTATAATTTAATAATCTTAAAAAATAATATATTAGTAAATTTAATAATGTAATCAAACCAAAAACACTGAAATTTGAAATAGAGCGCCAAGTTCGCACATCACTGAGCAAAGTCGCAAAATCGTTTTCAGTGTCCGATGACAAATTTCCCCACGAATCATTATCACTCAATTCTGCCAGTGATTCTAATTTTCTATCGCTGTTCTCTAGCTGGTCTAAAACCGCTTTTGACCTAAAGGGGATGCTTTTTGGACGCCATGGACATTTCTCAGTTTCCAGGCAGAAAGAACAGTAAAAATGCAGGCAGGGCACAGGACAAAGCACTAGGGACAAAATGTATATGAAAAGCTTTGATACAGTAATGTTTTACTATGGGATTTTAGTGTATTAGTGAAAGTCACTTTTTAAAAATTTTTAAAATTCCCGCCGGTTATGTTCCCATACATCCTGACGTCGCAGGGAACGGAACCCGGATGCCGGCATCGGCTGGAGGAGATGGCCGGGGACGCTGCAAGGGGGACATCGCGGGAGCGAAGGGAAAGGTAAGTGATCGAGGGATCCCGGAGCAACGCTGCAGGGTATTCCCGAGCGTTCTTCTGCTGTCTGGTCGAAGGATATCAGCAATTACTGCATGCTGAGTTCACCGAATCCCAAAGGGAACAGTAATAGTAGCACTAACACAGAATACTGTTGACTGTAGACTACAGTATGGTAGGTCCCATTCCTTTTTATCTGCATCTACTCTGTTGCAGTTCAATCCCATCCAAAATGGAACACAAACTAACCCTAGGATCCCACCTAAGCGTTTTCTGCAGCGTTTTGCAGAAATGCAGTACAGTCCATTTAACATGATTTCCTATGGGACATGTTCACACGTGCGTTTTCACCCGGTGCGTTTTTTGGAAAGGGTCAGGGACTTTTTTGAACACAAAAAGTTGCGTTTTTGTTTCTATAAACTTCAAAGGAAACGCTGCAGAAAAGCATGTATTGCGGTTTTTTTGCCATGTTTTTGATGCATTTTAAATCTGCCTAGCAACAAAAGGATAAAAAAAAAAAAAAAAAAACCCCAAAAAAAAAGCATCAAAAGTGCTGCAAAAACCCAAGTGCAAAAAACGCAATAACACAAGGCAGAAATGGCTCAAACGCAACCTGCATAGGTGTGAGCCTAGCCTAAATGAGGGACGCCAAGTATTTAAGCTCATGCTCTGGAAGCTGCAACACTTAGATTTTCATTCCAAAACAGGAAAGTTAGCCAAGTACTATTTGTGGAATAAATACAGTGCATTCCTAAAGCAGTCAGACCTCCTTCACTTTTTTCAATTTTGTCATGTTGCAGGCTGATACTACAGTTGTTTAAATTAATATTTTTCTCAATCTGCACTCAACACAACATAATGACAAAGTGAAAACAGAATTTTAGAAATGTTTGCAACTGTAAAATAAAACATTTTTAAAATTAAATACCACATTTGCATAAGTACTCTCAGATGCTTTGCAACAACACTTGAAATTTAGCTCAGGTGCCTCCCATTTCTCTTTATCATTGCTGAGTAAATTAAATTGATTGGACATGATTTGGAAAAGCACACACCTTTCTATAAAAGGCCTCACAGCTGACAATACTGTAACAGAGCAAAAGTTCAAAGAAACTGCCTGCAGAGCTCACACAGGATTATTGCAAGGCACAGATCTGGGGAAGGCTACAAAACATTTCTGCTGCACTGAAAGTTCCTAAGAGCACAGTGGCCTCCATAATTCTGAAATGGAAGATGTTTGGCACAACCAGGACTCTTCCAAGAGCTGGTCGCCTGGCCAAACTGAGCAGTAAGGGGAGAAGAACCTTAATAAGAGAGGTGACCAAGAACCCAATGGGACTGATCCTGTGTGGAGATGGAACAAAGTTCAAGGAGCCCTCCACCAATCTGATCATTATGGCAGAGTGGCTAGAAGAAAGCCCCTTCTCAGCGCAAAATCCATGAAAGCCCACGTGGATTTTGCAAAAAAGCACCTGAAGGACTCTCAGACTGAGTAACAAGATTCTCTGGTCTGGTGAAACCAAGATTGACTGGCCTGAATTCTAAACGTTATGTCTGACGGAAGCCAGGCACTGCTCATCAATCACCTGCCCAATACATCCCAACAGTAAATCATGGTGGTGACAGCATCATGCTGTGTGGGTGTTTTTCAGCAGCAAGGACTGGGAGACTGGTCAGGAGTGAGGGAAAGCTGAATGGTCAAAGTACACTGATATCCTCAATGAAATCCTGTTCCACAGCCCTCAGGACCTCAAACTGGGCTGAAGGTTGACCTTCCAACATGACAACAATACTAAGCACCCCACCCAAGATAACATAGGAGAGGCTTAGGGACAACTCTGTGAAAGTCCAAGAGTGGCCCAGCCAGAGCCCTGACTCTGGAGAGACCTGAAAATGGCTGTCCACAGATGGTCCTCATCCAAAAATGACTGAGCTTGAGAAGATTTGCAAAGAAGAAAGGCAGAAAATCCTGCAATCCTGGTGTGCAAAGCTTTTCACATCATTCCCATAAAAACTTAAGGCTATAATTGTTGCCAAAGATGCTTCAACAAAGTACTGAGTAAAAGGGTCTGAATACTTAAGTATATGTGATATTTCAATTTCTATATAATAAATTCAGACAAATCTAAAATTCAATTTTCAATTTGTCATTATGGGGTCCTGAGTGTAGACTAAGGGGAAAAAAAAATTAGTTTTAAACAGGTGTGTCAGCCTGCAACATAACAAAATGGAAAAGCAGTGAAGAGGGTCTGAATACTTTAGGAATGCCCTGTAGTACAATGTGTTAATGAAACCCCTTTAACACCAGTATTGTTGTTACTGTAGCTCTCTCTATAGCAATATATAGGTAAACTTACCTCCTTCTGTCCTTTTAGGAAAGTTTCTGCTGCAATGGCTCTAAGGGTATCAAATAAAAGAAAGAATACAATTACATTATGTTATACATTAAACAATTACTACCAGAAGATGAAGACATGTAACACAATAGAAACAACCAGATAGCTTCAAAATCAAGAAATAAAATTATACCATTCAAGCTGGCTACTTTGTACTAACGATTAAAGGTAGCACACAAAGGCCACTTTTATAAAACATCTTTAGACACCAAAACTGGTATTCTGATTACAAATCATAAAATGTATCATTACCTGCACACTACATAAAATGCAAAAATCTTTGTACATTACATTTTCCAGATGGGCAGGCACATTGGGAAGTTATATGTAAAAACATCTTCGACTGCATTTTCACAGTTTGCATATTGTTGTCTTCCAATTCTTGCTTAAGTACCCTAGAGATGGATAATTATAATATACACACTGACTGCACATGAGAATAGTAATACAGTGTCAAGCTGCTTGTATAACTTAAGTGCACCCATCAGTGCTCAATCCCTTTTCTTTTTGCCTTAACCTCTAGCAGTTCTAGAATACTTAGTACTGTAAATGTGCTGTAGGTGTACCATTCTCCCAGACGGGTGCTTCTCACAAGACTTTTAGAGTATCATGATGGTTCTGCATGCATGTGGAGATTGCAGAACACTTGAAGTTGAGGTTGGACTTCAAAAACTACACCTAAAGTACATACAATAACATAATTGCTGGGGTGGGGTGGCAGAACTGTTTTAATAGTTTCCTTTTTACTCCCCAGAAATACATATGACTTGTATTCTCTTCCTGTCAGAGCAGAGATATCATTTTTCTCATAGGTTGAAGGATGACTTGTCAATATCTGGTTAGCAGTGACCAAATGCTGCACTAACATCTTAGCCCAAGAAAACACTTGTAAAGTATTTTGATGATACATGACCTCAGAGCAAGATTTGCACCTTCAGTCTCTCATCTGCTTTTAAGGGTATTTGGCCCTGGGAACACTGTACCATATTTGGTGGCAATACCCCAAAGTACAGAGATTATGGATAAGGGTACAGTGGGGATAATAATGATTTGATCCCCTGTAGATTTTGTAAGTTTGACAACTTACAAAGAAAGGGTCTATAATTTTTATCATAGGTGTATTTTAAATGATAGAGACAAAATATTGACCAAAAATCCAGAAAAAAAACGCATGACACAAATGCTGTAAATTGAGTTGCAGTTTAGTGATCAAAATAAGTATTTGATTCCCTACCAATCTACAATAATTCTGGCTCCCACAGACTGGCTATGTGCTCATATGGTACACAGATTAGTCCTGTCAATTTAAGAAGGTGCTCCTATTGACAAGTCGTTATGTGTATAAAAGACCCCTGACCCCAGAATCTCTTTCTTCCATTCAAACCTCACGAAGACCAAAGAGCTGATAAAAAAGGGCATCAGATTGTAGACCTGCAAAAGGTTGGAATGGGCTACAAGACCATCAGCAAGAAGCTTGGCGAGAAGGAGACAACTGTTGGAGCAATTATTCGCAAGTGGAAGAAATGCAAAATAACCATCAATTTCCCTCGGTCTGGAGCTCCATGCAAGGTTTCGCCTCATGGGGTAAGGATGATCATGAAGAAAAAAAAAAAAAGTGAGGGATCAGCCCAAAACGACACAGGAGGAGCTTGTGAATGATCTCAAGGCAGTTGGGACCACAGTCACCGAACAAATCATTGGTAGCACAATACGCTGCAATGGATTGAAATCCTTTAGCGCCCACAAGGTCCCCCCCTCCTTAAGAAAATACGTGTACAGGCCCATCTAAATGATTCAGAGAAGGATTGGGAGAAAGTGCTGTGGTCAGATAAAGACCAAAATTGAGCATTAGCTCGACTCGCCATGTCTGGAGGAAGAAAAATGCCGACTATGACCCTAAGAACACCATCCATACACAGTCAAACACGGAGGTGGAAACATTACGCTTTGTTTCTCTGCTAAAGGTACAAGCCGACTTCACCACATTGAGGGGCCAATGGACGGGGCCATGTATTGTAAAATCTAGGATTACAACCCTCTTCCCTCAGCCAGAACACTGAAGACGGGTCGTGGATGAGTCTTCCAGCATGACAACGACCCAAAACATACTGCCAAGGCAACAAAGGAGTGGCTCAAGAAGAAGCACATTAAAAGGTCATGGAGTGGCCTAGCCAGTCTCCAGACCTTAATCCTATAAAAAAATTTATGAAACTTCGAGTTGCCAAGCAACAGCCAAGAAATCTTTAACATTTACAGAAGATCTGTAAAGAAGAGTCCCTCCTGAGATTTGTGCAAACCCAGTAACCAACTACAAGAAGCATCTTACCTCCGTGCTTGCCAACAAGGGTTTCTCCACCACGTACTAAGTTATGTTTTGCTTGGGGATCAAATACTCACTGAACTGCAACTAAATTTATAACATTTGTATCATGTGTTTTTTCTGGATTTTTGGTTGGTATTCTGCCTCTATAGTTTAAAATACACCTATGATAAAAAATATAGACCCTTCATTTCTTTGTAAGTGGGAAAACTTACAAAATCTGCAGGAGCTCAAATAATAATTTTTCCCACTGTATATAACTCATCCAAACCATCCTTCACAAAAACATATCCTGGAACCCATGAGAGGTTTTATTTTAGGTTTGTTTTATTTCACAAGCCTATTGCTAAATTCTGGAGGAAGACGACCCTGAACTTTGAGGTGAAGCAGCGGAATGAATATGGGTACTATGGTTCTTTGTATTTTCTACTTTTCCACTGTTCTTCCTTTCAATCCCTTTCCGGCAGTTACTGCTCCTCTAATCTTATTTCCAATGTCCAAGCCGTCGTATTTCCTCCCTTCCTCCTATTCCCGAATATCCTTATCCCCATTCCTCTTAACGTCAACTAGAATATTTGCACGACAGACAATACTGTCCTCTATTCAAAATAACCACACCAAATAGGTGGCGTAGGCGTTTTCTTCCTTGCTCCCCACTTTTGGACTGAAGCAGTATCTCTTCTCTTTACCCCTTACCTACATTTGGAGTCATTTAGTATTTCAGACCAATGAGCCAGTAACAATTGTACCGTGTTTCCCTTTGTACTCGCATTTTCATTTATATGAACAGCGTGTCCTTCTGTAGCATGACTGGTAACTCGCAATTTATATACTGTACACACTGAACACACCTTAACTGTACCTCTACTTTTGGAAAAACATTTAACAAAATATTTGTAAAAGGATGACCTGTCTAATGTATAAGTTTAAAGCTTATAGATGACACAGGGTCTAGTTTGCTGGAGAAAGCCTTTGCTTGTCAAATGACAGATTTTGTGATGGTCTTATCACCACAGACATCGGCCAGGAGACTGTAGAGTATCAAGCTGGCCTTACATTGATAGAATTTCAAACGAAAATGCTTAGGAAAAGTCTTAGGAAACAAACGAACATTTGAAAGCCGTTCAAAAGGTTAAGTTTTCTTTTAACATTTGATTTTGGAATGAATGGACTCTACTGAATGAAAACCACATACACTGTTAGAAATTTGTTCATTCAAGAAAAAAATTTCCATCCTGCTCCTTCGAATTTGCTCATCACTGGGGTCGAAAAACGTAGATTTGACCCCATTAATGATTAGAAAAACTAGCAAACTTCCTTAGAACATTTTCTTAAAGAGTTTTCATTCAAAATTCTACCCATTTATGGTCAAGCTTTATTCTTTCTGCTCTGCCAGGGAGAATACAAGCAAAAATTCTAAAATAAAATGAAAGTAATTGCTGCGCAGTATTGTAACAATTTTAATATGCTATTCATTAGCACTGGTAATGGCTTCCTTTAAGTTTGCATAAAAGTTCCATATATTGCTTATAAAAGTTTTATTTTTTTTTTTTAATTTAACCAGGTGTGGGGGTGCTACACAGTATGCGTCCTCCTGCATTTGGCAGAAATTCACGTTTGTCAAAAGACAGCCAGGAATTGCTCTGTTAATACAGCAGCTGCTGTGAAAAAAGGACCTTTTTAAAAATAGCTTCTTTTTACCATTCATTAATCCTTCAGTTCCCCATACACTGCAAATTTAAGCTGGTTCCTGAGGAACCAAACAAAAATCGCAGATTGGCCCTGTCAGAAAATCAAAGGAGATGGGGGGGATTGTAGTCTAATGCAGCCGCAGCTCAGGTATTCTGACAGCTGCCACTGGCGACTATTAAGCTGGCCATAGACTAGCAGGCTGATCGAAAAAAAAATTACATAAATAAATGGATTCCCTCGTCAACACAAACGAGCTGTTTTATTGTACTCTGACAGCAGGGACTCCTCCACTGACAGAATACACTGACCAGTGGTGCAGGCGACTGGCTTTATGTTCTGATATTATGAAAAATTTCCAACTTTCCCATGCAAGATCCTTAGAGCAACTTCTCCCAAGAAGGAATAGCCTTAGATGGAATCGAAATTCAGCTGGTCCCTGCTGAACCAATTGAAATTTCAATCCATCTATGGTCAGCTTTAGAATACAGTAGTGCAGCAAGGGGGAATCACTACAGCACAGATGGAGAAATTCCTTTTTTATAATGCATTTTTATAATGAGAAACACCCCAGATGCTTACTATTGGCAAAATAAATGTTCAGTTAATAAGTCCCAAAATCAGGAAAGTATGCCATATCAAAAAAATGCTATTGCTGTATTACAAAAAGAATCCAATAAGTGAATTCCTAAACATTTAAAACTATTAGCTTACCTGAGTGCAAGTCCAAGATTTGCAGGCATCATGGAGGAAAAGCGCTCTAAAATCTTAGAATGCTGTGACTTGGGAACACAGCTCATATAGAAATAAATAACCTGAAAACACAAATAACCCAATAAACATTCAGTAGTGTCTATAATATTACAGTGCAAGTCTACAACCTAGTCTACAGCATACAGCAAGCAGCCTGGGGGTGGGCACATGCTGAAGATTATAGCCTTTTATTAGTGTTCTTTAATGAGAAAGATTCTATGCTGCCCCAACAACCAATCCAATGCAATTGTTTGTGCATATCTGAATCGGATTGGCAGCTGCGAAGCAGCACTAAACAGGTCTCACTCATGATTTATACTTGAGGGAATCGGACTGTGTTTTCCTTTAGCCCAGTCATGGTGCACTGATTTCAGTGAGATGAAGCTGAATAGAATAAAACCAATAATAAGCTTTTCAGAAAGAGAATAAGTGCATAAACATTTTATAATAAAGACAGACCTGCCAAAGCCTTAGAAATAGTTCTGGAAATCTACAGCTTTTGCAAACCTGGATGCTATTGCTCAAGGCTTTAAGTAGAATGGTAGCATGGCATAAAACTTTCTATATGGAAAATTGTGTTGTGTGAATATGAAAAAATATATACACACACACACACACACACACATACACACACACACACGTCACTTTATTAGGTACACCTGTTCAATTGCTTGATAACACAAATTGCTAATCAGCCAATCACATGGCAGCAACTTAATGCATTTAGGCATCTAGATGTGGAGAAAGACGACTTACTACAGTTCAAACCAAGCATCAGAATGGGGAAGAAAGGGGATTTAAGTAACTTTGAACGTGGCATGGTTGCTGGTGCCAGACAGGCTGGTCTGAGTTTCAAAAACTGCATTTCTACTGGCAACGATCTCTAAGGTACAGAGAATTGTTCGAAAAAGAAAATATCAAGTGAGTGACAGTTGTGTGGCCCAAAATGCCTTGTTTATGTCAGAGGATGAATGGGAAGACTGGTTTGAGATGATAGAAAGTCAACAGTAACTCAAATAAGCACTCATTACAACCATGGATCCTTCTAGCAATGGTTCAGGCTGGTGATGGTAGTTTAATGGTGTGGGGGATATTTTCCTTGCACACTTTGGGTCCCTTAGTACCAATTGAGCATCATTTAAACGCCATGGCCTACTTGAGTATTGTTGCTGACTATGTTCATCCCTTTATGACTACAGTGTACCCATCTTCTGATGGCTACTTCCAGCAGGATAATGAACCATGTCACAAAGCTCAAATCATCTCAAACTGGTTTCTTGAACATGACAATAAGTTTACTGTACTCCAATGGCCTCCACAGTCAACAGATATCAATCCAATAGAGCACCTTTGGGATGTGGTGGAACGGCATATTTGCATCATGGATGTGCAGCCAACAAATCTGTAGCAACTGCGAGATGCTATCATGTCAATATGGACCAAAATCTCTGAGGAATGTTTCCAACACCTTGTTGAATCTATGTCACAAAGAATTAAGGCAGTTCTGAAGACAAAAGAGGGTCCAGTACTAGCAAGATGTACCTAAAAGTGGCCGGTGAGTGTATATACACACAGATACATATGTGGGTGTGTGTGTATATATGTATATGTGTGTATGTCTATGTATGTATGCATGCATGCATGCATGCATGCATGCATATGTGTGGGTGGGTGTTCTCCAGATTTCCTCAGACTTACAGAGAAGAATCTGTATCAGAAGCAGACATCAGAGAGGATACCTCAAATGATGTAACCAAAGTCAACATTTCAGGTAACCAATGGTCAACAGTTGCTTAACCTTTTGACAGATATGACCTATGGCATATATGATACAACAGCGCTATCTAGAAGTTGAGTTGTGAAATGTTCGCCCATACAAAAGTAGTGAGAACCGATATGCCCATGTGGGATAGTCTAACTAAACTTTCTAAATAAAAAGGCCAGCACTTTAAGCGGAAGAAGAACTCAATGACCTAACACCAAAGTAGGTCTGTGCCAGAAGAAACTTCAACTGATGACGCTTTTGCCTTATCTCCTGCAATTGCTTGTAAAAGAACACTGGGGTCCTTGGCCTATGGAGATCGTGGAGCCAGTTAAACCTGAGCTAAGTACAGTAACTTCTAGCCTATTCTTATTGTATACAGAACATATTTCATGATTATTCACTAGAAAGTAGGTAGCATTTGCTGTATGTATATCTGCCAGTCTTGAATTGTATTCCTATAACTGTAATAGTTTGTATGTGCAGCATTTGTTTAGTAAAAGCACAATAATACAGTACAGAGGGTTTTTAAGCTTACTCGCTCTATTTCAAAATAATATTAATAGACGCAAAGCAAAACAAAAACATCCAAAAAACTATTCAATGAAAATATGGGAATATCATAGAAAAAAATAAAAAAAATAAACAAACTTACTGAATTGTGAAACTCATAGTTGGTCCAATAATCAGCTGTGCTAAAAGGAGTTGGGTGCCGGGTAGGAACAGTCATTAGACATCTGTTTACTAAATCTGTAAAATGCTTACTATCTTGGACTTTATTTCTGGATCCCACAAGTTTGCTGTTCGTAAAGACATGATAACTGAAACAAAAAGAGCCAATAAATATTATGACAGCTGTATGTGAGAAAGGTTTCCTGTGAAATGATAGAATTCTACTCACTCCATCCAAAGCTTCTGCAGCATATTCGGTTGCATCACAGTCCCCAGTGCAGATTCATATGCATCGACTGCCTCAGCTGTGCTAGCGTAAACAGACTGCCATAGGCTGCAGATAAAAATTAAGTACTTGTCACAGTGGCTTTGGTTGGTAATACAGGATATGCAGTGCCTTAGACTCTGGAGGACAAGGTGAAAATTAAAAGTAACCCTCCAGTTTCACTGCAAAACATAACAAAGAACCAGTATTGCTTGTAGACTCCCTTCAGTCGATCTTTCCCCATTACGGACTGACCATGTCTTGTGCAGTCTTTATATGGAGACTATCATCTTGGGTAAATGCAGGATTTTGCTCCAGTAACTGAAACAGTGTGCAGCACAGTTGTTACATCACCAAATTTCCACAGACTAGATGTCAGAGGCAGTGGTGCTTTAGGTCTCATACAGCAGATATATAGCTATGAGGCTGTAGACATAGGAGTCCCTTGGCACACTCACATACTAAAAAGTGTACGGCTATTTTCAGAAGGAAGGTGAGAGTACTGCTTAACCACAGTTATTTCTAAATGAGCCTTGTATCATAAGATAGAAAATCTTCACTTTCTGAGTTCAGGTCCACTTTAGAGTTTTACCAGATAAACATACAGTTGACAGCACAAAACAGCTCACTTAACCTCCTTAGCGGTCAGATTATGTCCATATTTCTGTGCTCAAAGCGGTACATTTTTTTGCATGGAAATATGTTTTTTTATTGTAGGCCTGTAATTTTTAGGAATAACTCACTGAAATCTGTCCGAACAAGAGTCTAGTAAACATCCCGGGTATTTTAAAATTTGAAACACGAAATCAAAAATTATAATTCAATAAATAATCATAAAGAATAATAATATAATAACAAATTTAATTTAATAATATAATCAAACCAAAAACACTGAAATTTGAAATATAGCGCCAAGTTCGCACATCACTGAGCAAAGTCGCAGAATCGTTTTCAGTGTCTGATGACGAATTTCTTCACGAATCATCACTCAATTCTGCAAGTGGTTCTGATTTACGATCACTGTTCTCTAGCTGGTCTGAAACTGCTTTTGACCTAAAGGGATGCTTTTTGGACGCCATGGACATTTCTCAGTTTCCAGGCAGAAAGAACAGTAAATGTGCAGCAGGGCACAGGACAAAGCACTCGGGACAAAATGTATGTGAAATGCTTTGATACAGTAATGTAATACTAGGTGATTTTAGTGAATTTCACTTTTTCAACTTTCAAATTTCCCACCAGTTCTGTCCCCCGAACATCCCGACGTCGCAGGAGACAGAACACAGAAGACAGATGCCGGCATCCGCCGGACGACATTACAGGGGACACTGCAGGAGGGACTTCGCGGGAGCGCAAGACAAGGTAAGAGAAGAACAGATCCCGGAGCAACGCTGCAGGGTATTCCCGAGTAAAGCTCGGGGTTACCGCTTGTGGTACTGAAACTTTACCCCGAGCTACACTTGGGAATACCGCCAGGGAGGTTAATAAACCTGGTTTTCTCCAGTAGCAATAATTTAAGACCAGCAGAAGGGAAAAAAAAAAAAACTTACCAGAAAACAAGCCAGAGATAAGATGTTTGCAAATCTGAAGCACTAAAACAGCCTTCGACTTTGCATACAGGCACTTTGAAATCCAATGGTAAAGAGAGATTCAGTAGATGCCTGGGAAGGAAAAGTAGCAGTAACTTACATAACTAGATAAGCATGCATTTTTGCTAAAAATATTTCCTTCCTGTGATTTGGAATGCCTTGGACACCCATTTCTAAGGATTACATGTGGTCATATTACGTAGGTTCTGCATTTTCACTGAAAAAAAGTGTGTAATACAGAAATGTGTAACTGGCTACATCACCAGGTAAAAACAGAAAAAGCCAAATAAAAAGAAAACTGATGTGGTCACCACACTGAATGATGATTGGTAAGCTGCAACATAGTACAATTATAGTTTGGGGGTTTAAAACCACTTCAAAACACCATACAAACTTCTTGACCTCTCTAAAAATATTCTTTTGTGTTTTTATTACAAATGTGAAATAAAGTTAGCTGTAAAGCAATAACATTTCTCAAAAATGTGTTCTTAACGTAAACAATTCATGAAAAATAATGGCCTGCCATGTTTGACCTTCTTTCAAAAAAAAAAAAAAAAAAAAAAAAAAAAAATTCCAGTCACATGGCTTTAGCTAGGTTCACACTATTGCAGTTTTGCGGGCCACGTTTGTGCAGGCATGGCAGCCCATTCATCCACTGTGCTTGCGTTTCCTTGCAGTTCATGCAAAATGAACTGCTTTTTTAAGATGCACGTGGGGGGGGGGGGGGGGGGGTTGGGGGAGAGAATAAAAATAAATGGCAGCCCTGCACGTTTTTACAGAACAGCGGGTTTTGGCTGTGGGAAAAGCTGCAATTCCAGTATCCGCAATAGTGTGAACCTAGCCTTAATGCTGACCTTGTGGTTTCAAAACTAAGTAAATAACCTATAACAAAGTATGCTCCAGGTCAGTAACTCAAATATTGAAACCAGAGATCAGCAAGACAGCCAATAACAGTATTCCAAAAGACAGGTTATAATTGACAGCCTCTGTTTCTCTCATGTCTTAACAAATGTCCTGTTTCGCCTAGTTCCAGGGAACTATAGTTAAACCACATCGCAGGATGGTACGTTACTGTACTCACTGCACACAGCCAGGATGCCCTTCCACCACATAATCCTAAGTACCTCTTACCATCCACACACAGAAAAGATGACAGCATACAAAGAGTTCATAAAACTTGGTGTGGGAAAACATCTAATTTATATTCGCATAATGATATAAAAGCATAACTTACCTCAGAAGATCTACTGGACTGCACTGATCATCGATGTTTTCAAAGAACAACTCAATGAATTCTTTCATTAACATTGGTATATTATCAAGACATCCCTGCAAGATGAAAGATTTTCTTGGGATCATCAAACAGAAAATGAAAAATGACTCTTCTATAAGCCCTTGATTAATCTGTCACTAACACGGTCACATCGGGTGCGACTTAGCATGCGATTTGCATGCAAGGCGACTTGCAAATTGTATGCCAAGTCGCGCCCTATTGTCCGCCATTACAGCGGTCATATCAATGCGGTTCCAACTTGGTTGGAGCCACACCAATTTCTAAAGTAGTGCATGTACTACTTTTGGTGCAATTTGCATCAACATCTGTGTCAGATTTCTTGCAAATCACACCTCAAATCGGCAAGTCACCCGACTTTGAAATCATGCGACTTCACTGTAAGTCACACAAATTCAAAATCGGCTTTGATGTGACTGGGGTGTAAAACTGCTTAACCTCACAAGGAAAGAATTCAGATTTTCAATGCTGGAGAAAACCAAGTAAACTTAAAATTATGCTAATGCAAATGTACTTTGCACCAAATGGTGAGGTAAAAATACACAGGTAGAAACGGCCATATTAAAGTCAACTATTTTAAGGCTATAGTTCATTTGGTGCCAACTATACACATAGTAAACGCAATGGAAAGGATACATTGTAATTCAAGAAACACCAACAAATTTCATATGGAAACTAATAGTTATTGAACTGAGAAATACACAAACGTGACAGCAGCTCTGCACAGTACAAATCTGAGAAGTGCAAATTTTACCTGTTGTACTAAAAATCTGCAGACATTATATAATATTTGCGTGTTTCCAGGATTATTTCTGAATGCAGTCATCCATACTTCCATGCCATCAACTGGTTGTTCAATTTTAAGATATACAGAACATAAAGTCTCTAGTATGTCACAATTATCACTCCAACCATCAAGCAGCTGTTTACAAATGTCCACTGCTGCAGAAGGCCTAGGAAAACAAAAGCCCACAATGTTAAAGAGTGTATCATGACCACTTTATGCACAATAGTATGTACAGTTCTTACCTATTTAACATAAGATTGATGAGGATCATATTTTTATAAAGTGGTAGGCAAACTTCTATTCTTTCCTCGGCATTTAAATTTTCATCAGAACATGAAAAGACAGCAGCTAAGGGAAGAAAAAAAAATGAAATCAGTTAAAATGTGGTGTAAATATTCCAATTTTCATGTTGGTCTTGATATGATGGATTTAAATTTTGGTTTGAGTTGATACATTTTAGCTGAGCACACGGATGGTAAAAATTTAATTTCGTACTTACCGTAAAATCCTTTTCTTTGAGACTATTGAGGGAAACAGAACTTGTAAAGCTGGAATATACTGTTGCCGACAGGAGAATTGGATACTGACAAACCGAAAAAAAATGTAGGCCGGCCCAGAACTCCTGAGAACTATTTACAGCTTGCTTTTTTGTGCAAAACAGCACCAATGGCATAATCAAAACACAGAGGTGAGACCTGTGTTCCTGAAAGAACTCCAAGTAAAGGATTTTACAGTATGTGCAAAAAAAAAACCTCTATTCTAATCCATTGAAGGACACAGGAAATCTTGGACAGTTAGGACATCCAAACCCAGTTCAAATGAGGGGAGAGAAAGTAGAAAAATGCTAACAGGCCTATAAAGAAACAGAACTGGGGACTTTCATCTGAAGCTAGCATGAGATCAGGCTCGAACATTCCCTTATAAAACTTGTAGAATATGTGAACAGAAGACCATGTGGTAGCCTTGTAAATCTGAGAAACAGTAGCCTAAGGCTTAAGAGCCCAAGAGGCACTAATAGGTCTAACAGAGTGTGTCTCAACAGGAATGGGGGGGGGGGGGGGGGGGGCACCCAATCCTTACAATCATAAGCTTGAATGGCAGTCTGCCTGAGCCACCCAGAAAAGGAATGAGAAGCTAGTTTACCCTTACAGGAACCTTTAGGAATAACACAGTCAGTCCTTCCAAATGAAGCAGTGGCTGCAAGAACTCTCAGCCAAAAATTACATCCAAACAATGGGGGGAAATATCCTTCTGACAAACTGGAGCCAAAAGAGCAAGACAGAAAGCAGGGAAATCCACAAGGGGAGACACTGTATATCAAAAAAAAGGGCAGGCAGGGGTCCTGGAGTAAAACCAAAAGAGACCTGACCCTTGATGGTGCTGAGGGGGCCAGATGCTGCTTGAGACCCATGTGTAAGAAGGCAAGGATACATCCAATTGAGAATTTCCGGGGGTGACAGCCTCTCATCTTGTACAAAGCAAATGCCTTCCACGCATGGTGAGGGAACATGAGAGAAGACCTAGCATTTACCATTGTAGGAATCAGAATACTGAAAGCTAGGAAGGTAAATCAGTCCTTGAGATAGAAGATCCAGACAATCTGGAAGAACCCATGAAGTGCCTGGCAACAGTCTGATCAGGTTGGACTACCACACCCACCTGGGCCAATCTGGGATTATGACTATCACTAAAAATTTCCCTCAATTTTGACCCTGAGAAGCAGGCAAGTAAGGGGCTGCTTGAGAGGACTTGAAGGTGTACAACAGTATGTACTGATCCCACAGAGCTACCAGAGTGTCCACTGCTTCCACTGGAGGATCCCTGTGCCTGATTTGGCACAGCAGAAGCCAATCAACAAGTGCCGGCCAATGTATGAGCGCTGGCACCCATTGACCGTCGAGAATGACAGGGCACAGCACTGCCTATGTAAACAAGGCAGAGTTGTGTCCTCTCACCAGCGATGTGCTGGACTGGCATTACCTGCAGAGCAGAAAATGCAATCTACAACATCCATTTGTAAAAGCAGCACATATCACACAATAAACCACTGGTTAGGCACATATTTCACCCTTTGATTGCCCTACATGTTAACCCCTTCATGGCAAGGGTCATTTAATACAGTGACTGTGTATATTTTTAGCACGGATCACGGTATTAGTGTCACTGGTTCCCAATAAGTGTCAGACTGTCCACCGAAATATCGCAGTATTGCTATAAGCCGTGATTGTCACCATTACGGGTATAAAAAAAAAATTCCAGTATATATACACACCATAGTTTGTAGATGCTATAACTTTTGCACAAACTAATCAATATATACGCTTTTTGGGGTTTTTTTTTTTTGTTTTGTTTTTTTGCCAAAAATATGTAGCAAAATACATTTTGCCCTAAATTTATGAAGAAATTTGATTTTGTACAATTTTTTTTATTGGATATGTTTCATAGCAGAAAGTAATTTTTTTTCCGAAAATTGTTGGTCTTGTTTTGTTTATAGCACAAAAAAATAAAAAACCCAGAGATGATTCAATACCACCAAAAGAAATCTCTATCTGCGGAAAAAAAAAAAAAATTATATAAATGACATTTATGTAGTGTTACGTGTTCCAGGTTACATGTTCCACCCGTTCCCAATGCTGCAGCTGCTGCCTGCTGACCCCCCCCCCCCCCCCCCCCCCCCTCCCAATCTGACAAAATATATGGGGAGAAGTTCCCCATACTAGTTGTCGGATTTGAAAACAGCGAGGCTGTACGGGGCTCCGCCCATTTGGCCACTTCATTCATCCATAGAATTCTGTGAATGAATGACCTGTAAGTCCTTACAGCCTTTGTAGCTGTTGGCTTGTAGTTTTCAATGAACTACTGTGGAGCGCTGTGGTAGTTCACTGAATCTTCCTGTCAGTATATCTGCTTGCCTGTACAGGCAAGCAGATATACTTACAGGTCTGCAGGAGACCTGCATGGCACCAGAGATCTGCTGATCGCTGGTGCAATGCTTTACAGGCTCTAGCATACAAAAATAATAAATGCACATTTTTTTACCTCCAAAAAAAAAGTGCATCTATTATTTTTGTGCAAAAGGTGAACTTGTCCTTTAATGGTGGGAAAAACTACTCACAGCACTCTACCCAGCGATGACAATATGTTAACGGCTTCCACAGAACGTATTCTGAGAGTGCATTCCAAATAGCCTACTCACAAAGTGAGCCTTCAGAGACAAGGTCAAGCGCTAAGACAATGCCATGGCTCTGGACCTGGAAGGAAAGCGCTCTAACTTTTACCAGCACACACAGGTCTGGAATGCGCCACAATGTGGAACCCAGTGCTGAAGGTCACATTACAGGCTAGCCCAGCAATGTCCAGTCCAGCAGCCACTCCAAAGTCAAGCTGCGGAAAGGCTGACTAGTTGCATATATAGAATGGCACAGCAATGATGTAGTAACAGATATAAGGAGTATAAAAAATAGGCAACAAAAAATGGTTAGACTTCTCATCGGAGCGGAAGAAACTATATCAATGCTTTTGATATCCTGGGAAAAATTATACACTATAACACCCTCAACCCCCCCCGAGTCAAGTGCCGAGTTGAGTTGAATTGCAGGCAGCAGTATTAACTGATTGTACTGTACACACCTCCTGTGACCCTCAATAAGAAAGTTGGAGAACTGCTTTGTATTGGGGTAATTTGTGCCCTACAAAAACATTAAACAATTCATCTATAAATCTTTTTTGCGATATTCAAGGATATATTGTTCCAGGGATATTATTTCCAAGGTAATCTTAATTTATTTTGCTCTGCAACAGTCTGGTAGTGATCAATTTACAATGACAAAAAAAAAATAAAATAAAAATTTAGCGCATGCAAAATGTAATGAACGACAAAGGCATTGTTTTTGAAAGACATGACATGTTGTCAGCACAATACACACATTACTTGAAAACTAAATAAAAGCATAGGCCTGTATCTTAGCACTTTGGCTGTGTGGAAATATATTTTGAATTTTGTCTCTTAACACACTACTGAGGCATCTTTTGGTAGATTTCCATTTATGCAGAACATTTTTGACCCCAAGCGCACTCATTTTATACCCCACCCTCTCTATTTGCTTTGTGCATGTATGGGAGATGGAGTACGACATACAACAGATTTTGGGTGTAGGCACGAACTAGGTTTACAATGGCTAGATTAAGTTGCTTGTGCCACCAACACAACTAAATCCCAAAAGGAAGTTATATATAGACAAAACATTCTGTAAAAAGATGTGCTACTGAAAATGTATACCACTGCAAATGTCCCTCTAACTTTTTCAGTTTCTTTTATCTTGTTTGAAAACTTTTAGAAAATAAGTATGCAAACTAAATTTAAAAAAAAAAAAAAAAAAAAAAAAAAAAAAATCACAGGACAGACTACTACTTTTAAAAGAGTACATATAGCCGAAGCGTGTTTGGGCGTACTACCTCATGTGGGTCACAGGAGTGTACTTTTGCGACCCAGAATCAGCCCACAGTGGCTTAAATTCCACTGTCAGCTGATGTAACAGAGCTGCTGCAGTTACTGGATGTATCCCGACAATGCTGAGATCCACCCAGATGCCTGACCGGCAGCTGGCTCAGCCTCTCTGTGCACCGCTGAGAGCCTGAGCCAGCCGCTCCTGACCCCTCCACAGCCTGGGCCGTCTCAGTGAACGCGCAGAGTTCCGTTACTGCTCTGTGCTCAGAGCAGACCTGAGAACTGAGACATCAGCAGTCACATGATCACTCAGTTCTCAGGCTTAAAGACGGGGGACAGCTGCAACATTAGCTGCAGGCCATATAGGCGAGTATACATGTTTTGTTTTTTTTTTTTACTTCTTGCACGTCTCCTTTACCCTCTAGCGATGCCTTTGCTGTACAGTACAAGAATTGTTACAGCTAAAAAGCAAGAAGAAAACAAATAAGCAAACTCTGACACACCTTCAAAATAGAGCAAGCAGCATGGTAGGATCAGTCTTTACACTTTGGAAATTCAGCCAGTGCATTATAAATGGCTCCTTGTTAACTATCCTGGAAGGGTTTGCAACTGTTGCGTCATAGAAATTAGCAGGTAGAGTATTGTACTCCATGAGGTGAATGTAAGAAAGCCATGCTAAGCAGCGGTCCTGGGGAGTAAGGTGATCTGCTATACTCTTCTCACAAGGAGACTTTAAAGCATTCTGTGAAGCATATTGAAAAAAATATAATTAAATCAAGATAGATGTTGAAAAACTTTTAGAACAAGACACATAAGAAAAAAAATAAAGATGTTATCAGTTTCATGGTCACTTTACATTTTTATACACAGACGAGAAAAAAAAAAAAAAAACTCCAGATCAATAAAAAATGGAATTTTGACTTTCCTGTAAATTGCATATCTTGAAGCACAATACAGAGCCTGCATCATTTGGGGGACCCGAGAAGGGAGGAGTGACAGGTATGTTATTTTAAAGCAAAACACATTTCTAGGTTTGCAATCACTTTAAAATTTGCAGGAAGAGATTTGCCCTTAAAAGTGTAAGCTGTAGCTATTAGAGGTCCTGAGGACAGGATGATAGAGAATATGTATCAAACATATTGTTTGGTCTCAAGATTGGAGCCTGGTATTACTTTCCAGTGACATTGTGGATTCAATGAACAATTTTGGAATTTTAATGTATTTGTTAAAGGGATTTAAAGACTAGAATAGAATAAACAAACACCCCCACTGGGCTTTGGTACCATGAACAGATTAAAAAAAAAAAAAAATCTTTTGAACCTATCTTGTGTGGGTATTGGTACAACTACTCATTGGGACAAGAGATGTTTAAGGGCATTTTGCAAATCTGAAAGTCCTTGAACAGTCTTTGGTAGATTTGATAGAAGGCGGCAGTGAGGGGGTAGAGTTCTGAACTCTATTTTGTACCCCCTGGAAACCACTGATTGAACCCGCAGGTCTGGTATGTTTGTGATCCGGAGAGAGGAACCGTAGCAGACATATCCCCACTTAGGAGTGAGGGTGTTCCTTCATTGGGAAAAGGACTTTGGGGAAGACTGAGGCCTAAATCTGAACACAAGTTAAGAAGTTAAACCCTGGACTGAGCAATTAGGTGTTCTACATTATGCAGAGGTAGAGGGGAGTTTTGGGATCTTCTGCTATGGAAATAAAAAACTTCTCCCATGAATTGGTCAAGTGCCTACCCAACAAAATGTCTACATAACGACTTCACGGTTCAAGAAAGCTCAATAACAGCCTAAAGCACCTGATACTAGCATCAGAAGAGGCCCGAACATTTTTCAGGTATAATTTAACAAACATCTGAACAGAAGCCGAGAAAAAATACTTCATGGACTTTCAGCACCAGTCATTTAACAGATCTTATAGAATGTGCCCTAACTATCCTACAAACTATAACCTTTGACAATAATCTGTCTAATCCACCTAGCAATGGTGGGGATGCAAGGAGACACTTGCAGAGGACCTCAGAAAGCACAAAGAGGAAATCCAATTTCCAAAAGGAAGCAGTAGCAGATGTAAGAGCTGATAGCATGAAAAACGTCCAAACAATGCAGGTAAATCTTCTTAGGATACTTCAGAGCAGGATACAAGGAAGAAAGATGTGCTTCTTCTATTTCAGATGGCAATGGCAGGCAGGGATAACAGGTGGAATAGTCTCAGCAGGAAGGCAAAGCGCAACTACATTACCACCCAAGCAGCCAACGCTGTAAGGGAACAGCCGGATGGATGTAAAAATGCAAATCTTTAAAATAATGTTACCTACTACCAACACAGTAGAGACATTTACAAAAGGGGGATAACATAATAAAGTGCATAACACCACACATGAAAAAAAAAACAGGACCCGGTCACAATTACAGGGAAAAGCTGCCATATCTCATCCATGCTGCAGGTTACCAGAGGGAACCAATCTTCACCAGTCATGGTGGGCCTACCCACCAAGGGGACTTTAGAGACTAGGCGCTATAAGAATGGACCAAGAGCACAGACTTGCATCACCCTACAATTAACTACTTGTTAAATGACGTGCCAAGCTGAGCACTGAATGCAGGAGCCAGTGCCCGAAGCAAACATTACAGACCAGCCCCACCACTATGGGGTTTAGATACAGATCCTGAGATGCACATCAAGGGTAACAGATCCAGAAACTGCTAGTGAGCCATGAGGCAATAAATAGTTGGATCATGAGAGAAGTGTCAAGTGAAGCAATGAAGACCAAAAGAATTGCTTTAGAAAACTTATATAAGTTTTGCTGTAGGATGCGACTAAGAAAAGGTCAGGAAAGACCTACTAGAAAAGCTGAACTTTGAGGTTAATCAGAGGCACTTTAAACGAAGGCAGGTGTGTACAAACTCATAATTTAACATGATTTTGAATGTGATTGCTTAATTCTGAACACAGCTACATCCCCCATTTATACAAGAGTGTGCACACGTATGCAACCATATTATTTTAGTTTTTTATTTTTACTTCCCTCCATCTAAAACATTTCAGTTTGTTGTTCAATTGAGTTGTACAGTTTATAGGTTACATTAAAGGTGAAAAGTTCTGAAATGATTTTTCTGTGTCTCATTTTTTTACATCACAGAAACCTGACATTTTAACAGGGGTGTGTAGACTTTTTATATCCACTGTAACTAATGTACAGCTATCATAGAATGCTTTCTAAATTCTGGTGTTCCTCAATGGACTATTAAAAAAACCACAAGTACCTGAATTTGACTAGTCATCAGCCTCTTGAGATCCCATATACAGCTGCGCTCAGACTTGTAGAGGGAAGAGCAAGTTTAGGAGCCAATCAGGTGTAATGAATGCAAATATATTAAGAAGGAACATGGTGATAGAAGGAAATAGATTATCAGCTCAACTCCCCCATTAATCTATTTAGAGCCTAGAATCATAACTGCACCCTGCAACACAGGCCTCTGGAGGGACAATGGATGTAAACATTCCCAATGCAGCGGACGGCCAAGTGGTGTGGAGTGGGTCCCTACTCACTTGAGGTCTGTTTGGGTATAATAAATGGGATGAGAAAGGGGAAACCTGTACAATGTATTTAATACTGCAGCACACCTATAATTTAAATGAGGAAAGAAACTCAGACTCCAGTTCTCCAATTTACTGCAGAATGCAGATAGCATTGGCATTAGGACAGTTTGGGGGGTTCTCCTTCGAACTCAAACTGGACTGGGGCCACAAAATAAGCTGCAAGGTACAGTATGCAGACAAAAGCACAAATCTGACAGGGATGCTCCAGAGCAAGCATACTGGTTATTCAGAATCTACTTTGAAGGGCTGACAGACACACTGAAAATATATTATTGATAAAGCTTTCTTAGAACACTATTAAAGCGGAACTCCGGATATCATCTTTATTGCATACTTACATTGGAACAGCCTGAACCGATGTAAAAATGCACATATTTGATTCCTGTGGGGCCTCTGGGGAAGCTGACTAACACTCTAGTAGTCAACGCTACTACAGTGATAGCAGCAATGATCTGGGTTCAGTACCACGCAGCCTCCCCTCTGCACACTTGTATTTTTTTTTCAATGAATACAAGGCATTCTCTGATTGGACGATGTGGAGATCGTGATAACACCCTACAGTATCCAATCAGAGAATGCCTTGTATTCATTAAAAAAAATAGTTCTCTGAATGGCAGCAGTGCTGAACGAACAAGCCCCTGTGATCAGTGCATAAAAAAAGGGGAAGCCGTTCAGCATAGGACCAGGAGGAGCGCTGCTATCACTGTAGTAGCACATATTACTATAGTGATTGTCAGCTTCTCCAGAGGCCCCTCAAGTATGAGATATACATACTTATATTGGACCGAGATTGGTCCTGAGCTTAATTCATTTCTTTATAGTACTCGATATAAAGAGAAAAAAAATTCAATATACTAAATAATTAGCATTTTATAGGACATCTCCATTAGACTAAGAGAACACTAATTAGAATACAGCTCATGTGGCTTTACCAAGCCCACTCTCCTAAGCAAAGGACCACAAGAAACAATTTCAGCTTTTAAATAAAAAGAGGGTTAATCATTCTAAAACTGCACCTTGAATACAAAGGATGACCTCTAGAAAGAACAATTATGTGCAGTACCTGTAAAATGGCATGGGCGTTTTGGATTCTTCCTGTAAACAGGTTTAGATGAGCACGGTACAGCAGAATTTCTAAACACTGCAATGAAAGCAGTGCAGATTTCTGAGGATCCTGTATTTGCTGCATAAGGTACTGTAATGCACGGCTGCACACCTGATCCTTCCCATCAAAGGAATTCTCCAAAGTCAGAAACTGGAAGGTGAGATTAGATGAGAAAGAGAATTGGTATACATATAAGTTTTCTAAGCCACATTTTTTTCCCTGTATGTGTGCATACAAATTTAAATACCAAAAATAGTTAAAGATCAAATGAAAGTTTACCTTATATATAAAAAATAAATAAATTCAAATGTAGCTTGAGTACAAGTGTATTTTTTTTTCTTTTAAATGTTAATAGGCTGCACTTTTTATTACTACTTGTGGAGAGCTTTAGATTCCAGTGCCAGAGAATATTGGCATAGCAGCTGCTTGACCTGTTGACAGTGTCAACTTTGCCCCCACCCTCATCCCAATTAGTGTCACCATTTGAGAATTTAGAAGGTAACTTTCATACTAAGCAAAGAAAAAATGAGTTAAAACCTGAATGTCAGATAAATTTAATTTCTTACAAAAGGCAACAATCATTTAGGCATTTTCATACAGCATAGCGTAGTTCACAGTACTAATATTTCCCTCAGATTTGTTTTACAAAACTGCAACAAAAGTGACAGATTAGAAGCACTTACACTCCACCAAATCTGAAAGGAAGGGGCATATTCCACTGCGGTCTCACACATCTCCTGAATTTCTTCTGCAGTGCCCCTTTTAGAAAATAATTTAAGGTAGTGGACCCAGATCTCTTGATTATTTCTGTTATGTTCTAATGCTCGAGATAATACATTCAACGATGAATCCAAACGTTCTGAGGAAGTTCTGTAACATAAATAAAATCAAAACCACTCAGGAAGTTTTAGTAAGGGGTTGTACATCTATATATATTAAAATCCTATGATAATGTTCACTATTTAAAGAAAATAAAAATGTTCATACTATGAAGATGCACAAACAACTTTATTAAAAAAAATTTTTTACAGGTTTACACCTACCTGCTCAGGTTCCCCATCTGCACTCTTGGCTCCTCCCCTCCGCCAAGAGCCTCCATAGAAAGCGGCTTTCTATGGAGGCACTTGTGCAGGCTCGCTCCTAAGCATGTCTGCGTCTACTGATAAAGACAGTGGGACTCAGCCTCACCCTCCACTCCGTCACTGGTTTTGACAGCAGGGGGAGCCAATGGTTTCCACTGTCTCAACGAAGCCAGTGAGACCAGCAAGTGAAAGAATAAGGGAGCTGCAGACGCGCAATGCCAGGAGTGCATTAAGGTAAAAATGTTTAGGCTCGATAACCAATTTACCATGGAGCTACATTGTGATCACTATGAACCAATCATAGCTATCAAAAGTGTAAACACTATGGTGTTTACAAACACTCAGCCCTTCCATCACAGAAGAAGCTACCCTTCCTCCATCGTAAATGAGCTGAATGCTTGTAAATATAGCAGGAAGGAAAACCTTAAAGGTGCCACTGACCAAATGATTGTGGTATATCTCCCCCCGTCTTTTTAATTTTTTTTTAATGTGGCAGTGAAGTTTTGTCTGGAAATGTGTGTAAATCTGACAAGTTGAATGTAAGCTATCAGTTGGAAGTCATTAGGCAGTTGTACATCATCCCCAGTATGATAGTATGCCCTTTATAATTTAGCAATTTACTATACTGTTTGTGCTCCCTATTTATTTTTTACTGACATTTGTTTTCATGTTTTGGGGGTTTTAAGAAATTTTCAGGGCCCAAATGATTTTTTAAATATGTGCAATAAACAGATCTGGCAGCAAAAGGGTCAAAGTGTTACTGACCACCAATGATGTTTGGATCTGTAGTAAAAAGCAGCACACACTACACTTGTTAGGCATATAATTAACCCCTTCCCAGCCAGTGTCATTTGTAAAGTGACAGTGTACACTCACCGCCCACTTTATTAGGTACACCTTGCTAGTACCGGAAGGCTTTTGCCTTCAGAACTGCCTTAATTCTTCATGGCATAGATTCAACAAGGTGTTAGAAACATTCCTCAGAGATTTTGGTTCATATTCACATGAGTTACTGCTGCCTTTCTATCATGTCAAACCAGTCTGCCCATTTTCCTCTGATCTCAACAAGACATTTTCCTCCACATAACTGCCACTCACTAGATATCTTTTTCGGACCATTCACTGAACAGAGATGGTTGAGAGTGAAAATCCCACTAGATCGGCAGTTTGTGAACTACTCAGACCAGCCCATCTGGCACTAACAACCATGCCATGTTCAAAGTCATTTAAATACTCTCTTTCCCATTCTGATGCTTGGTTTGAACTCCAGCCAGTCAACCCCACGTCTACATGCCTAAAAGAACTGAGTTGCTGCCATGTTATTGGCTAATTAGCAATTTGTATTACCAAGCAATTGAACAGGTGTACCTAATAAAATGGCATTTGAGTGTATAGTATTCGCACTGACCACGGTATTGGTGTCACTGGAGATGTCAGTGGCAGTTAGTGTCAGATTGCCCACCACACTGAGTCTTCTGAATGTGTCTATACTTGCTTAGAGTTGTTCACTGTCTGAAATATAAAATATATCTACAAACTATTTAGAACTACTAAATTACAGTTAATCTATCTCTGGTGTATTGACAGGCACTGCAGTGTAGGAGGCTGCACATGGCCAAACAAACTGGCCAACATAGGCTGAGGCAATGTAAAATGGGTCAGCACTGCATCTAAGATCTGGATTAATTATGTTTTCATCAGGAGGGGGGGGGGGGGGGGGGGGGGGGAGCATAATTCATTTATTTATTACCTACACATTAAGGCAGTGCTGTGAACAATCAGCAATTGTTTTAGATAAAATGTGTACAAAAGGCAGAACAAATACATGACATAGTTCCACTTTGTTTTAAAAATAAAACTGTCACATTTTAATATTAAGTGCCCACAATGCAAAAACAGATGCACAATACTTAGTCACTGTTAAGTGCTTTAAAACAATAAGTTGATTGTGGTTGTGTCAATGAATAAAAGTTAACAGTAGGAGGGAAGACTGAATTATTTAGCAGCTGAAATAAATCTCACACACAAATTATTGCTAGAATAAAATAGCACATTCAAAGAAAAACAAAGAGAACCTACCCCTCATTTTGATTCAAGCACCTGTATGCCAATTTGATCCATAGCTGTATATCTTGGGGGTTATCAAGCACGCTTGCCTCCAGGTTAGAAATGTCATCAGTGTCACTTGTAAAATACCTGACATCATCTGTAGTGACAACACCATCATGAATAGGAACCTTTGTTTTGAGCTCTGAGGGACTTGCTGGAACTGTAGGTGAAATAAAATGGGTCAAGAAATATCAGATCTGCTACTGTTGACCTCCAAGTAGTATTGACAGAGAAGCAAAGCTAACACACACGTCAAAGATTTACTGTAAATTTCTTTATGGTCATCTATGAGTGACCAAGTAAAGAATGCAAGGTTTTTAAACAAAGAATAAAAGAATATTAGGTAATCTGCACAAAAATAGCAAAAAGTGGAAAGCTAGCAATTTAAGTGTTTGTAGAAAATGTAACTTTCACTTTCAACTACTCTTTTTTCCCATACAGTTTCAAATCACTCTCTCAACCCATTTTTTCTCCTTTGTTCTTGATTAAATACAGAGAAGCTGAGCTTTTCTTTTGCCTGTAGGGGCAAATTTTCCTTCACTTCTTGTCCTGGAGACACAATAGTGAGAGAACCCCCCCATTAATTGCCACTAGAACAGCACTCCCCTGTTTTGGCTTTATATGCACTGGAATACATGAAGTACGAACAATGAAAATATCACAAGGCCAACGGATTAGTCAACCATATTAAAAGTGGAAAAATTAATCCAGGAAATTACTCCATGTATGCACACAAGTCCAGATTTTCTTTTGCTCCAAGCTTACAATATACAGTATCTCATTAGATGGATCTAGTCTGGCAAACTATCTACATATCACTTTCACTTACATTTGTTCTTTTTGATCATTTTAGATTCTTGATCCTCTTTTTGCTTACAGATCAAGAAAGAACTTTTCTCCTTTGTAGCAAGTTGGACCATGCTATACAATGTTTTTAACCTTCCTCTGGAACAACTGTGGGTTGAGTATATGCTGGTTTTATTTATTAATTTTTCTATTGGTTGAACTCAATGAATTGTCTTTTTTCAACCTAACTGGGTAACTATATTAATCTTACCACAGCTAACTGCTTTTGTAGTCTCCTCTTCATCACTGCTGCTACTATCTGAAAGAGGTTTTTTTCCAGTACATGGGCTTCCATTTTCTCTTCTCTTTATATGTAGTGTGTGGTGGAACTGTGAAAACAATATGACAAAAATACTAAATCACAATTGCACTAAATGTCAATTAAAATCATCAATGATTCAAAAAAATAGAAACAGATGTAAAATATTGTAAAGGCTTTTTGAAATTTTTCTGAACAGAGATAGGGTTAAATATGCAGGGGAGGTGGCGCCCGGTGATTACCCAGGATCTACGGCCAGGGGGTTTTACCTGACAGAATGCATCAAGGTAAAACCTTCAGCCTTTTATACAACTTTAACCACTTGCCCTCCTGAGGAATTACCCCCCCCCCCCCCCCCTTCCTCCTGACTAGGACATTTTTTGCGTTACAGCGCTGCGTTACTTTAACTGACAATTGCGTGATCATACAACACTGCATCCAAATGAAATTTACAGCCTTTTTTTCCCATGAATTGAGCTTTCTTTCAGTGGTATTTGATCGCTTGTGGTTTTTTATTTTTGAGAAGAAAAAACAATATTTTTTACTTTTTGCTATTAAACATGTCCAGTAAAAAAATTAACAATCAAATTTCATCATAAATCTAGGCAAAAATGTAATCTGCTACACGTCTTTGCTAAAAAAAAAAAAAAAGATCCCAATACATTTAAATTGGGTTACGTGAAAGTTATTGCATTCGAAAATGGCGGTGTATATATACAAAAGGGTTTTTGTTTTTTCTGTTTTTTGCTAGTAATGGTAGTGCTGTGCACAGCCATCCAAAGCAGTTCTCTCCCTGTCAGTACTGAAATTCTATTTCTATACTGATGCGTGTTAACATGTTGGAAAAACTTCTCATACTAGTGAGTGCTGCCTTAGGGCTTATATTTATAAGCTTTTGCACGTTTAGATTTTAAGGCTGCCATTAAGGGCCATGTTATATTGGATTCTGAAACTGTTATAGAAGTTACTCTTTCTGGGAAAATCAGGCAGTGAGTTAACGATTCTACAGAAAGTGGTGAGTTGTAAGTGAGGCAAAACATATTAAAAATGCTTCAAATGTGCCATGTAGTTTTTTTTTTTTTTGTTTGCAAGGGCATTTAGTTCTAGTAGCTGACAGCTCTACTTTACAACACTTACAATGTAATAATGAGATGAAACAGTTGAATTGCAGAACCAGAAATCCTTTCCCAGTTAAGAGTTTACAAACAATATTCTCTACAGGATTCAAAAAGCAGACAGAAAAACTTACCGTGATTTAGGCTTTCATTTACATGACTCACAAGAAGAACTGACATCAGATCCATTGACATGCGATCTCGGTTCACACCAAAAAGTCTGTCAACGTATTTTTCTGCAAAAAATCACAAATAAAATGTCAGACATATCAGGTCACCGATCAGATTATAACTTGCCTGGGAAAAGACAGTTTGAGAACCTAAAATCTAGTTCTATTTGATTGTTATGGGATAGATATAGCCAAGTCTTAGTTGAGAAATGTAATATTTAGGTTTATTTTTGATGTAATGAAGTTTGGGTATGGCTGGTATTGGGGCAAGAGAGCAGTTACATTTTTGTTAAACACAAAAAAGACAAGACATTGGGGGAATGTATGTTCCATCTCTAAAGGACAGGTCATAAAGAAACCTGAAATGAAGCCCTCTAAAATAAACTGCATATTTTATAGAACTATAAAATCCATTTCTTGGAGTACAGTACAAGACACAGGCTCTCAGTCATAACAGATTGGTTATATGCTGCACTTTCAAGTCACTGGACACTGGCAAAGCCACACAGAGCTTTAACACTCCCTCAAATAACAGCTTCCACCATCCTCAGTTTTGTAGCAAGCAAGGAAGGACCAAAACCCAGAGGGTCCCAAGTCCTGTACTCCAAGAAAAGATTTTAAAAGTGCATAAAAATCCAATTTACTTTATCATACAGTACAGGACACAGCATGTTAATTATAACGAAAGGATGTCCCAAAGCAGTATTGAGGGGAGGGTAACTAGGCAACAAAAGTTAGTCAACAGACCCTCAAAAACAAATTCCTATCTATGGCCAAACTAAGATCAAAACACAGCCTGCGGGACTTTGAGGCCAACATGGGCATCAGCTGAAGCCTGAACAGCCCTGATGTTAGTTGATGCCATGAATTCCTCCAGTCAAAGGGCCACTACGATTAATCTTTTGGATTCCATCCAGAAATGTGTGACTTTCAGAAAAGGATGGGGCCTCCTCATTCAACTTGGAAACACTAAAAATTTTAGAATAGAAACCCTGATCACTCTTCTTCCCTTTGGCACCTGTATCGCAACATTTTGAGCCTGAAGTTGGGACACAGCTTTGAGCAAATCCACTTCACACAGAAGAGACTAAGACAAATTGGACAGTCAAAAATTAGGTGGAGAACAGCTCTGAAATTCCACTTTGTAACCAGAGGATATGACCTGTACACTCTTCAGTGTGGAGACCAGTAGCTGAGGAGAGGCAGATAGTGATGCTTTGTCTCTAAGGAAAAACAATGTGGTTAATAACCGCACAGTCACTCAATGTAAGTACCAGGATACTTAACCTGTCACAGTAACAGCTCCCAAACCTTCCCAAAAATGAAGGCCCTGCAAAACTTAAGTGATGGCCAAAGGACACCAGGTCACAATAGTCTTAAAGAATGATCCCTAAATAAAGTGGAACACTATCTGCTCCAGACTGCAGCCCCAAGTATGGAGAGACCCAGCAAGTGGACTCCCCCCCAAACCCCAAGAGACTGACAGTTTGCACCAAGAACATCTTGGTCAAAGGAGACCATATGGATAATCTTGCCCCAAATCCAAGCCCACACACAGAAGGGGATCTGGGTGAGAAAAGGGTGGACATAAGGTCTAGTGCTTTGAGAAATAACAGAGGCCTCAAAAGGGCATTGAGGGGCCAGGTCTTTACAAAAGAATGGAACAGTAGAAACTGGTCAATGCCAATCTTGAAAAAGTATAACTCCATGTCAGTTTGCATTCCCAAAAGTCACTACTAAAATAGGAAGGAGCCCCAGTGGCTAGGGAACAGACAGATCTGGAAAGATACACTACTGTGTGATGACAAACAAGGGTTTAGCCTGTGAGCTGCATTCTGTGACCTGAGAAAAAAAAAAAAGAAGAAGAGGTATGAATCATAGTGTACTGATTCCACAGAGTAACGAAAGTATCCACTGCAATTGCCCACAAATCTGTAGACCAGGAAACAAACCTGTCCAGATTTTTGTTGACCCTTTAAGCCAGAGTTTCGCACCCCACACCTACAACAAAGGTCCTGGAACACCATTGTGTGCAGACCAACTTTCCTGAGTCAAGACGCTACTGAGGAAATCTGCCTGCCAATGTCGGGAATGGCAGACAAGGAAGAAATACAAAGTTGCGCCAAAGACAGGATTTGCCCCAACCCTCTTGCTGTAGATACAGGACAGTGGAGGACATTGTGCAAATTATAGGGAAATTACAAGATATAGGCAAATCATGATTAGCCTTTTGGACTCTGCTTGCCATTTTTGTGCACAAATCCAACTTAGGTCCTCCTCAATGCCTTGAGACTAGATAGCGTTCAGGCTTCTAAAGTGACTCATGGTACAGGCAGGGACCTCTTTACTATAATATTTTGGCTCCCAGAAAATGGCCTGTTCATCTACATGTTGACATGAGAAAGCCATGATCTATGTAAGGTGCAAGCACCTGGATGTTCATGAAGAAAGCACTGATTGCTTTGAAAGCGGCTATAGATATCAACACATTAAGGGGCCCGAACCAGAGTTCTGCATATTAACAGCTTCTCGCCCAGCCTATTGTCAAATGAGAACTGAGCAGGAACACTCTAGTTCTGGGAGGATGTCATACAATGTCCTCCCCCGAACAAGCTGTGTTGCAGCACGATCTGCCACCTGCTACTTCCACCGGATGCAGCAGATGACAGATCAGTGTAGCGGCCCGCTTCCGGAACCATGTGATCGCTGTGACCAATCACAGCAGATCATGTGACAACTGTACACAACAGATGGTATCCATTCTTGTCATTCATTGTGTTTGTACTAGACTATGGTGACTAATCACAAAGATCAACAGGACCAATCACAGCCCATCTGCACCATGTGATTAGCTGTGGCCAATCACAATAGTAAACACAATCAATCGACTTCATTCAGGAAAAAAACTGTTGTTTATAAAAGTGATATTCACCGTTATCAGCAATGTGCAAAAAAAAAAAAAAAAATCCTGATTCTCCAGACTACTTCTATGATAACATGGTGTTGCTCTGGTCAAAACACAAAAAAATAAATAAATAATAAATTAGGGAAAAAAAACTGCTGCCACCAATCAGTGTCCATGATCACCACTACACGTTATAAGAGGACGCTGTACTGCACTGGTTACAGCATGTTAAAAAAAAAAAAAAAAAGTTATAACCTTTACATTTCCATATTTAAAAAAAAAGTGGCAAAAAATTACATTTAAAAAACCCACCATATCTTGTACTGTCTACATTACATTACAAAAAGGGGTCATTTGAGGGATATTTCTAGTGTCCTGCCATTTTAGGAGCCTCAAGAAATTATAAGCCATCAGTACATCAAGATTGACTGTTCGGTCCATATATATTTGGACACAGGCACAATTTTCATACTTTTGGCTCTGCATGCCACCAGAATAGATTTAAACGAAATGCACTTCAAATGATTTTGAAGTGCAGACTTTCGGCTTTAATTCAAAGGGTTGAACATAAACATCAAATACAAATTTTAGGAACTGCACCGTCCCTCCATTTTCAGAGGCTCAAACGTAACTGGACAAATGAATATAATCATAAATAAAATGTTCATTTTTAATATTTTGTTGAGAATACTTTACTGGCAATGACTGCCTGAAGTCTGGAACCCATGCATGTTAGCAAAGACTGGGTTTCCTCCTTTCTGATGCTTCAGTTCTTTGTTTGTGGGTCTGTGTTTAGTTCTGCCTTCAGCAAGTGAAATGCATGCTCACTTGGCGGTTGACATCAGGTGATTGACTTGGCCATTGCAGAATATACCACTTCTTTTGCAGTGTGTTTTGGATCATTGTCCATCTGTACTGTGAAGCACCGTCCAATCAACTTTGCTGCATTTGGCTGAATCTGGGCTGACAGTATCTCTCTAAACACTGCAGAATTCATCCGGCTGCTATTGTCTTCTGTCACATCAATAAACACCAATGACCCAGTGCCACTGGAAGCCATGCATGCCCATGCCATCACACTGCCTCCACCATGTTTTACAGATGACATTGTGTGCTTTGGATTATGAGCTGTTCCAAGCCTTCTCCAAACTTTTTTCTTCCCGTCATTCTGGTACAGATTAATCTTAGTTTCAGTCGTCCAAATGATGCTTTTCCAGAACTGGTTTTTTTTTTTTAATTTTTTTTGGCAAAGTGTAATCTGGCTTTTCTATTCTTCAGGCTTATGAATGGTTTGCACCTTGTGGTGAACCCTCTGTATTTGCTCTTGTGAAGTCTTCTCTTGATTGTAGACTTTGACAATGATACTCCTACCTCCTGGAGAGTGTCCTTCACTTGTCTGGATGTTGTGGATGGGTTTTTCTTTACCATAGAAAGGATCCTGCGATCATCCACCACTCTTGTCTTCCGTGAACAGCCATGCCCTTTTATGTTCCTGAGCTCACCAGCACGTTCTTCTTTCCTCAGAATGTACCAACTATTGATTTGGCCACTCCTAATGTTGATTTGTTTCGTTTTTGAAGCCTTACAATGGCCTGTTTCACTTGCATGGACAGCTCCTTTGAACACATGATGTAGGTTCACAGCAACAGATTCCAAATGCAAATACCACACTTAGAATCAACTCCAGCCCTTTTACCTGCTTAACAAATGAAGAAATAATGAAGGAGTAGCCTACACCTGGCCATGAAACAGCTTTTGATTCAATTGTCCAATAATTGTTGGTCCCTTAAAAAAGGGGGGGAAGGCTACTCTTAAGAGCTGTAAATCCTAAACCCTTCCTTCAATCTGGATGTACATACCCTCAAATTAAACCTGAGAGTGTGCACTTTCAGCCCATATCCATTATATAACTATAGCTTGAATATGTTTTGGGTAAATAACAGAAAAAAAAAAATATATATCTACCTTTCCTATAGACTGAATAATAAACACTTACTTGGGTTATTTTCACTAAAGTAGCATTATACATTCTGGCCTAAATTTAGGAAATATGCTTATTCGCAAAATTTTAAAATAGGATGTGTTTGGTCTTTTTCCCTTTATTTAGCAAAAAACCCAGTGGTAATTAAATACCACCAAAAGAAAGTTCTATTTTTGAAAAAAATAATTTTCATATGGGCACAGTATTGCATGACCGTGTCATTGTCTAAGTGTGAGAGCAATGAGAGCTGAAAATAGGCCTGGGTAAGAATGGGGGTGAAAGTGCCCAGTATTGAAGTGGTTAAACTGTTAGAAAATCAGGGTAATTTCGTAAGGGAAACATTTTGAGTGTAAAACTGCACCTATCATTTAAATAAAAACTTGGAGCCATAAAAAGTAAAAATAAAAAAAACAACAAACATTACCAGTTGCAGCTATAATTTCCTCATCAGTACTTTTTTCAGAGCATCCAATCAAGTCCAAGTCATAAGACAGAATATCTTGAAATAGCTGTTTACGACTGAGCGTGCAGTCACGCATGTGCTGCCTAGAAAATTAACAAATGTAAAAAAGATAGTACTTTCAGTATTTGCTTATTTGCTGCTGAAAAAGGAAATCCTGCTAGAAATGCAAACTTACCACTGACAGTCGTCATCATTGCATGTGCCCTGAAGGTCAAAGCGACAGAAAAATGTCTTAGGTTCAATCATGTTGCTATAAGATACAGAGCTCAGGAGCAACTTCTCCTTTGTGCGAAAATATGGACTGAACCTGCAAAAGATTGTGCATTCATAAGTAATACAAATAATTTGAATCCTGACCTGTTCCAAGTAGCTAAGAGTTTGTATTTATTTTCTCTTAGAAGAGAGGGACTGCAATCATTCTTTTGCTCTACTGCCTACCTTATTTTATATTACTAGGTTTTCTCCAGTTAACATTTTCAGGAATATGCCATTTTTACATACCAGCTAAGATTCAAACACATGTATCTACACTGTGTGCACAACTATTAGGCGAGTATTTTGACCAAATCATCATTTTTATGCAAATTGTCCAACTCGAGGCTGTATAAACTTTAGTGCTTGTTGGATTTAAGCACATCAGGTGATGTGTATTTTTGTAATGAGGGAGGGTCTGGCCTAAGGTGATTAACACCCTATATTAGGCTAGGTTAACATCTATGTTTTTTGCATTTGAGCTGTTTCTGCATGTCGTTTTGCATTTTTTTTTTTTCTCTTCTTGTTGCTTGGCAGATTTAAAAAGCAAAAAGCATCAAAAACGCAATACATGCTTTTCTGCAGCGTTTCCATTGAAGTCTATAGAAACAAAAACACAACTTTTTGCGTTCAATAAAGTCCATGACCCTTTCCAAAAAACGCACCAGGTGAAAACGCACAGGTGTAAACATATCCCATAGGAAATTATGTTAAACGGACTGTACTGCTTTCTGCAAAACGCTGCAGAAAACGCTTAGGTGTGAACCTAGGGTCAAGGAGTGCATAAAATATTTAGGCAGCTTCTTTTCCTCAAGCAAAATGGGCTAAAAAAGAGATTTAACTAACTCTGAAAAGTCAAAAATTGTAAAAAGTCTTTCAGGGGATGCGGCACTCCTGAAATTGATAAGATATTGGGGTGTGCTCACAGAACCCTCAAAAGTTTTGTCTCAAATAGTCAACAGGGTCGAAAGAAACATGTTGAGGGGAAAAAAAAAAAAAAAAAAAGACCCAAATTAACTGCGAAAGATTTGAGAAGAATCAATGGTGAAGCTAGCAGGAACCCATTATCCTTCAGTGTTGTCAAATTCCAAAACTGCAACCTACCTGGAGTGCCCAGAGCTCAGAGACATGGCCAAGGTAAGGATGGCTTAAACCCAACCACAAATGAACAAGACACATAAGCTGAAACATCAAGACCTGGCCAAGAAATATCTGGAGACAGATTTCTCAAAGGCTTTATGGACTGATAAGAGAAAGGTAACTCTTGACGGACCAGTATCAGGCACAGATCTCCACTACGACTCAGCCGCCAGCAAAGTGGAGGTGGGGTATTGTATGAGCTGGTATTACTAAAGATGAGCTAGTTGGACCTTTTCGGGTTGAAGGTGGACTCAAAATAAACTCCCAAACCTACTGCCAGTTTTTAGAAGACACTTTCTTCAAGCAGTTGTACAGGAAAGAGTCTGCAGCTTTCAAGACCATGATATTTATGCAGGACAATGCTCCATCGCACGCACTGAAGTACTCCACTGCATGACTAGCCAGTAAAGGTCTTAAAGATGAAAGAAAAATGACATGACCCCCATCCTCACCTGACCTAAACCCTATTGAGAACTTGTGGGCCCTTCTTAAAAAGGAGATTTACATTGAAGGAAACGTCAATAGATCAAGAAACTGACAGACCCCATGAATGGAAGGCTTATGACGGTTATTGAAAAGAAGGGTGGCTATACTGGTCACGGATTTTTATCTTTTTTTTTAACTGTCTGAAATGTTGATTTGTAAACTTTGAGCTGTTTATTATTCTCACATTCACACTAAGCTAAGCCTTTTTCCAGACGTTTTTTTTCAAGTGTGTTTTTTGAAGCAGATCTGTAAATATTATAGGTGGGTTTTTTTTCAAGCGTTTTTCATTTAGGCTTTTTTGCTGTGGCCAATAGAAATAGCTGCTCTTTTAGCTGAAAACGCCTGAAAACGCTCATTTCCACTGTTCAGGTGTTTTCCATTCAAGTCTATGGGGGAGAACACGCTCAGATCTGCCTGAAAAGTAGCACAAGTACTTTAGTGAACGTTTTTGAGCATCAAGCTGAAAAACACTCAAGTGTGAACGGGGTCTAACAGATGAAAATAAACAAGTAGAGATGGAAAAATGTTTGTTTTTCATTTAACTGCATAAAAATTCTGCACACCAATAGTTGCCCAGTAATTATGCACACAGATTATTCACTTTAACTTTCTTAAATATTCAGGTTTGTGGTTTAACATTTTTGGATTGACCGAGAGCACTGTAGTTGTGCAATAATGAAATGAATCCTCATAAATACAAATACAACTTGTTTATTAATTGTGCACACAGTGTAAAAACTAGCACTTTTGTCATCAATTTGCAATGAGAAAGCGGATAATGTATGTAAAAAATCATTAATTCAATACAGTGGTGATGTAGTCAATAGTCATTTTAAGGCTATTAAATGTGCAGTACCTTCAGTAGGTCAAAAAAAAAAAAAAAAACAAACACTCCAAGTGACAAGTCTAAAGATCAACCACAACACAAGGTATTTAAAGAACTGGCAAAGGCTGCCACCTTGTGTATGTGGATGCTCTCACAGCTTCTTTATTACAGCAATATAATGGATTAAAAATTGCATGTTTCAAGCCTCAAAGTACATATTTACAGTAGAATATTAATGTTTCAGTATTCCAGTAAATGGTTCAATTAGCAATATGCTAGTAAATTTATTTTATTTAAAAAATGGGAAAAAACAGATTTGTGGACTGACTGCAAATTTCTTAGCTCTCGGGGGGGGGGGTTGGTGCTCTGGCTGACAAAGGAATATGCCTTCCCTAAAGGAGATTGGAAATCAATTAGATAGTTGATCCTCCCTTGTAGTCCATATCCCAACACAAAGTGCCAATTGTTCTGTTTGTAGAAGTAGTACGGCGGTACAAAACAAAAATGCAGCAACAGAAAGCCAACCTAAGGAAACTGGAAATATTCAAGTGGGAGATCTGTAACCCCAAATGAAAGGAAGGAAAAACAAAAAACATTATGGTATAGGGAAAAAGAAAAAGAAAAAAAAAAAAAAAAACACGACAAAAGAAAAAAAATCTGATGTACCTGTAAAATTCCAAAAAGCTTGCCAGTGTCCAATCACCTGAAAGTACCAGCCTTCAATCCAGGGTCTATGAATAATCATCTTGTTACTGTACTCCAAGACATGGAATTTAGAGTTGAGCATAGACCACAGGTTAAAGGCTGGTACTTTCAGGTGATTGGATATCGACAGCCCCCTGGGCACCCCCTATGACCCCACCTCACTCTGAGGCCTCAGTTTGTAGCAAGCAATGCAGAGTAAGCCAGAAATAGAAGGGAGGGTGGCTTGTGTCTTGCACTGTACTCCAAGATATGGAATTTACAGGCAAGTCAAAATTTCCTTTTATTTTAATCATACAAAATAGGGCAAAGCCTGAATATTCATAGAACCTGGGATATTCCCAATCAATGATTGAGAAGGGTGTGCAACAACTAGTCAAACACAACTGTCCCAACAAGGGTCAACAGACCTACCATCAGAGTGCTGCTGGAAGAACCTTGTGACTAAAAGCTACATTTGCCCATCTGTTAGACCTTTGAAAAAGGTATGAACAGAGGCCTAGATGGTGACCTTACATAGCTAGGCAAAAAAGGCTTGGTTCCAGAATGCCCACGAAAAACCCCACCAATCTGGTCCAGCTGTAGCAATGAGGTGTATTATCCACATGTCCCATGTGAAATTGTGAAGGTAGGACAAAAAAGGACGTCTGTCTATCTGATAATTGTTGCTTAGAGGTCAACACTGATGGCCCTGACTACATCCAGGAAATGGAGTACAATTTCCTTTGAAAGTTTTGCAGCAAGGCACAAAGTTGGTAGGACTAGGTCTTCAATGAGGTGGAAGACTGATATAGGCTTAGGAAGAAAAGAAGGTCTTGGATGTTAAAACTCATTGGTCTGAAGAATGAGGAAGTGCTCCTTACAAAATGAGCCACTGACATCTGACAGATGTGATAGCAACTAAGAAAGCCACTTTGCAGGACGGTCCACACACATGCAATCCAAAGAGTGCTAAACGTCTAACCTGCCCTCCTGAAACTTTCCAAGCAGTAAATCACTACGCAGTTTTGTTTTTGTATCTGCTCACCAGTCCATTTAAGCACAGACAGAATTCTTCAGTGCTGATAAAGGGGGAGTGTGTTTAGCCCTCTGCACTATTCTGCTATGAATCAATTTTATCGTTAACTTGGATGTTACTTTGGCACACCTCACTGGATTGTGTATGGATTTTCAAATCTGGGTCCTTTACCCTTTTTCCTAAGGGTAGGTCCATTTTATGGAGTGCTGCAGAACCAGAGCAAGTGTGCCCAGTGACAATTCAAGAGGTCCTTAGAAAATCCAAATCCAGCACCCAGTTGCTCGTGTTTGGACTTTGTAGGAGAGATCATCTAACTCTGAGTAGCTCTGTGTACCAGATTCTTGTTAGCCAATTTGGTGCAATGAGAATCACAAGTTATATCTCTTGCTCTATTTTGCGAAGCAGATGAGGCACAATCCCCACTGAAGGAAAGGCATAAATAAATGAACTGAAGCCAGACAATTATCAGCACACAAGTTTGCCAGTGAGGATCCTTGGTCCAGGCCAAGAGGTAACTTGTTGAATCTGGAGGCCAGGATATAAATATCTGGGGTGTCCCATCTCTAAACATAGCAGGTTGAAGATGCCAGGATGAAGGCCCCATTCCTATTGGTCCAAGCAGTGACAATAAGTCACCTTCCAATTGTCCACTCCTGGGATGTGGAAAACAGAGAATGCTAAACAGTATTCCTCTGCCCATGAGATGATCAGGCTTGCTTTCTTCAAAGCTGAGGGACTTCTGGTACCCCATTGGTGATTAATGTAGAAAATTAGAGGTCTGCTCAACAAGAGGGGTCTAGTAATACAGAACCATCCTTATTGCTCTTAGCTCCAGGGTGTTGATGGGAAGCTTAGCATCCTCTGTTGACTATGTTCCCTGGACTGTGAGGGAGTGTAACAACTTCCCCATTGTCAAGGCCGGGCTGGAAATCCACCAAGCTAGGAAATTTCTTGCTGGAAAAGAGCAAACGTAGGTTGAAAGGGGAGGTCTCACATGAAACTGAGGAACAGCCTTGAAAGAGGCCACCACGAAGCCCAACACTCATGAAGAATCTCACAGGAAGGGCATCTCTGTAATCTCAACTTCAAAGAATGAATTCTGGGAGAGCAGTGTTATTTTCTGAAAGACTTTAACTTGGGCTGTGTCTAGAAAGGGGCTAAAGTAATCCATGCAAAGAGGGTTAGGAAGCAGCTTTAATTTCAAGGTATGTCTTTCATAATGTGCTAGTATGCGATGCATACTAGCACAATATGCCTTTACCTTGCAGGGAGAAAGCTTTTTTTTCACTACCATTTTAAAGACAGGCGCATCCTGTACTCATATATGGTAGTTGCCTTGTTAAGATTAGACTCAGCTGAATCCATGGTGGAACAAACCGCTCTGAACAAAATCCATATCAGATAAAAAGAGTCAGCAAGTGCTTAAAGGGAGCAAACAGCTTATGGGATGGAAGAGCCCATGGAGCATCTGCGGACGATCAGATGAGGTCAGAGTACCACATCAGCCTGGGCCAGTTATGTAGGTCACCAGAATGCCCTCCATCTCCCCATTTGGCATAAGAGGATCTCTGCAGCTAAAGACAAGAACTGTCCAATTTGTTGCTGAATCTGGAAGCCAGGAAGTCCACATATCCCCTCCAACCCGTGACACAGGTCCTGGACAACATCCAGGTGTATCGATCACTCCCGAGACACTGCCAGCTGAGGAAGACTGTCTGATGAATGACCATGCCTGGGACGTAAAATTGCATACACTGCCAAAACATGAATTTTTTTATTTCAAACTATTGCCAGGACAGGATGATATAAACCTAATTTGTCATAGTGACACTTCTGATTCCTCTCTGTTGAATAATATTCATCACAGTTGTGTTATCTGACTGGATCCTTGGATGGCCCTTCACTGCAGGGATAACCAAATCGCCAAAAAAGTGTCTAGGGCTTTTCTCCGCAGAAATATAAGCTTGCATCCAGTGAGTTTTCCAAGAAAATAAAAAAGGAAGGACCTCCCCAACTCTAGAGCTGGATTTATGAGCCACCTGGACAAGGACAGCCTAGTCTTAGGCATCAGGTAAATTAACCTAAGGACTGGACCAAGCTGTTGGATGATGAACTGTAGGGGTCTGAAATGAATGGGGTACATGGAACTGCTTTGACTGAGGCCACCATTAGTTCCAGAACCTGTGTGCAGAAATGGAGGTGGATGATGCCTGGATTGAAGAATATGAGTCTGGGGGGGGGGGGGGGATTGCAGAGAACTGAAGTTTCTCCTAGTAAAGAAAAACCCTGGCTTGAGATTCATCTAAATACTGCAAGATAAGCATGTTCCAACAATAATTTCTAAAGGTTTAGGATCACACTTGTAAAGTCTGAAATGTCCATACCACACTGCTGGCTAGAACTTCAGCTGACAGTTCCCTCAACAGGGGTCATCCAGCTATTCCACAATGGATAATTTGGAAGACATGAAGTGAGGACAGGGTCAAGAGCAGATTTCTAGCTTTTATCTCCTGTGAAGCATCTTTAACACCCAAGCATCCAATATGCTAACAGACCAAATGTCCACAACAGCTAACTGAAGTCTCCCAGCTTTGGAAAGTTGGGGAGCCCTTTTGAAAAGACTTAAGTGAGGACTTTGGGGATTTGGATGTCCAAGGTTTGAAGGACAACGAATTGCGTGGGCTTGGTTTTAGAGGTTGAACCCTTAAGTAACAAAATTAACACTTCTTGGCCTACAAAGTGGGATGAACAGACTCAGACATTATAAGTGGACCTTCCATTGTACTGTAAATTCTGCTCTAAATGTGCCTACATAAAATTAGATCAGTATCAACCAATTCATCTGACAATCGTTTATGGAAATATCTATGTGAACTCTGCAGACACCTTCAAACAATCTGATCTCTGGCCAATCACTATATTCCTTACCATAGATAACATGCTGACGCTTGCTCAGTGCATAACTACACATGCTCAAAATAATACAAGCATGCACTTTTATGTTACATTTATTCCAACTGTTCATCCTCTCAGCACAATCTTAAATCTTTGTCCCCTGTGATTTGTCAGTTTTAAAACACCCACCTACACAGAGCACAAACTGAATTATGTGGATCTGGTTAAAAACAAAAATCAAAAAGGACTGTAAGTAACTAAAGCATGCTGAAGGGACAGAGCACCCAGTTACATGGATGATCTCACACTGTATGCATGGTAAAATGTCCGTGAATGAGTACATGTCCCTGGCCTTTTCACCTGGTGACCTTCACTTTGGGCTGCAAAGGACACATGCAGACAGGAATGGACTACACCGATTTCAGCACCAGTCCTGTACCCCTAACAACTGACTTGATTCAGGCACACTATCAGCAAGACAACGAATAAGAGAGAAGATAGCAAGTCTCAGACTCCAACCCAACAGACAACAAGCCGCGACCAAGCTGCTGGGGAGCACTGCCCTATACAACCCAAGGCTGGAACTAGCATTGGCAGACACAGCAGACTGATTCTTTAGGTTTAAGGTCCTGCACACTGCATCAACCATAGCTAAAACAATTTCTTAGAATTTAAGAATATCAAAAGACTGACCTCTCATGTATAAGCTCATCAGTTGCAAAGTGAGACAGTATCTCTGCGGAAATATCCACAATACAAGTAACCAGCAACTCTGAAAGACAACTTAAAGCTTTATAAAGCTTTATGGATCCTGTATTTATGTAACCAATAAAGATTTCCATTAAGAAGCTTTTCGAGTTGCTGGCTACTTCTATTGTGGATATTTGCTGTGAGGAGTGGATGCCTCAGCCAGTGCACCAGTCTCCTGTTTCCATGTGGTGAATAGAGCAGTTGAGCTTGGGTAAGATTTGTTATTTCTGCAGAATGGTTTTAAAGCTGCTAAGGTCAAAAACATATCATATATAGAATCTGCAGGAATGTGGGCAGGAGCTTGACTGTGGCCTGTGCAACCCAGCAAACAACTGGGTAATTTGGGTCATTAAGTCCTGCAAGGACTGGAAAACCCTCAGACAAAAAGGCCAGAGCACTTTGCCACACCAGACCGAACTTAGGAGACTTCTGAAGAGGGGAAATATTAAACAGCAGGACTCCAGACATCGGTACCATCAGTAGGGTACGCTGCCTGATGAAGGCAGGAAGGAAGGCAGGGAAAAAAAATGCTAGAAAAAAAGAAATCCAGTCTTCTAGGGCACAATCATGCCGGTAGTGGGAGGGATTATATCTTGAGATGGCCTACAGTTTTATTTGCCAGTGTCCAATCTCCCTGATGTTGGCAGAATAACCCTGATTTCTGGTTTTCCCCAATGGATAAGAAATTGTGTTAGCTGGTGTCCTTAAGGGCAATATTAAATGCAAGGTTAGGAAGATTCACATTCTATTTGCCCGGTTTACCATTTCCACTGAGAGTGAAAGTGAAAATTGTCACCAGAACTGTAATTAAAGGGAAATCCTCAAATGGGGGCACTAGTTCTGGTGACAACCAGGATTGCCTTACTTAGGATAAATTCCCGCACATCCTGTTTTGGCTATGGGTCAGGAAGTGAAGGGATATCTCCCCGATAGGACACCAGTTAAAGAGAAAATCTTGCCCTACTCGATCTAAAATATAATAAATTAGAACTAAAATCAAACCTTTTTTTTTAACTGCTGTGTTTTTGCAACTAAAAGACTACATTGTATTTGTAACTGTTTTTCCAATTTAAAGCAAATCTCACATGAATCAAGGCGACTGCCACTGCTGAGCTGTCACTCTGACAATGTTAATTCCATGCTTAAAACATGAATTTAATAAGGAAGAATGCAAACTATTAGTTCTAACTTCACTTGTGCCTACCTGCTTCTCTTGGTCAGTAAATCAACTTATCAGCATGAAGTTCAAAAAACTAGCCAAAACATTTCCTGCATGGACAGGCTTTTTTTTATAAATATCTACCTATTGGAAAGATGCTCATTTTCTACACTGGGAATTTAACATAAAACCAAAGTGCATTTCTTCTTACCTATAGGACTTGAAAACAAGAAGTGGGCTCTGATATGTCCCAAAAGGGAAAGGTTTTAGATCTGTCTGTTTTGTCTGTGTAGCAATCAAATCCATATCCACTGGTGTCACCTGGAGAAAAAAAAAAAAAAAAAAAAAAAGCATACACCATTATATAAAGATTCAGCACAGTGTAAATTAACGGTTTTTACCCTCATCAAATCATCAGGGGTCATTCCAACTGAAAACAAAAAAGGTACTCATATTTCCAATTCAATAAATGTTGCAGTTTATTCAACACTAACTGGAAGATGTAGTATAAAACTCTGGATAGAGGTACCTCAAAGCACAACAGTTAAAGGTAAATTTATCAAGAAAGATGTGGGTATAGAAAAGAATAACCCCCTTTAAATAATTACATTTTGTTGCTTTGCAGCCTGAAATGAAGACAGTTTTTGTTTTATCCAGCTGTATTTACTCAACTTATAACATCCAAATGAAAGGTATCACACCAACATGTCAGAAAAAAAGTCAAAAACAGAATCACTGAGTTGGCAAAAAGATCACCCTTTCCTAAAAACAACTTGTAAACTCAAATCAAGTGTAGCCAATCACCTTCTCAATGGCACACAAAGCAATTTGACTTTCAAAGTGATCAGCTTTGATCATTTTGGTTAGCTCACCATGAAAATAGCTTTCCAGGAGCATTTTAGTACTTGGTAGTGCAACTGAAGCAAACAATCAACTATGGATGGCAAGACACTGTCAAAAGACCTACAGGATAAAGCTGTGGACAGTCACAAGTCAGGAGATGGGTACAAACAATTTCAAAGGCTTTATCAATGCCTAGAAGCACAGTGAAGTCTATTAAGAAGTGGAAGGTATTTGGTACAACAAGGACCCTCCCTGGATCAGAACATCTTTCCAAACTGGATGAAAGAGCCAGAATGAAACTGGTCAGGGAGGCTACCAAGAGGTCTACAGCAACTCTGAGCAGTTGCAGGAATATGTTGCAGGAATATATGACAAAGAGTGGTCACTGTGTGTGTGTCACAATATCAGAAATTCAACACAAATGTGGCTTGTATGGGGGGGTTGCAAGAACAAAGCCACTCCTCAGACTACAGACTAAAGGCTTTAATTAAAGCAAAAGATGGTTCAACAAAATACTGACAAGGGGGTGATCCTTTCTCCAACTCAGTGATTGTTTTTTTTTTTATTATTATTTTTTTCCCCCCTCAATATGTTGGTGTTCTATCTTTCCTTTGGATATTTTAAGTTGCACTGAGTAAATACAGCTGGATAAAACAAAAACGGTGTGTTCTTTTCAGACTGCAAAGCAAAAAAACGTGATGGTTTTAAAAAAGGAGGGGTGATTCTTTTCTATACCCACCTTATCTAATGGAAATCATACTGCCTCGAATTTAGTGAGAACTAACACTGCCCCAAATAATAAATGTATGCAGGGGGGTGTTGAGTGAAAGGAGATGAAACAAAATCACCGAGGTTCAAGGGAACAGCTATGCACCCAATTCAAACATGGATATTACTTACAGTCCAGTGAGAGTCAAACCTGGTACTTCAACAAAAATATATCCAGGTGTGGGGACAAACCAGCTCTGATCCTATATTGATCCAGGTGTTGTTGGCCAATACTGACACTGCAACGGATGAAACCGATCCAACCATCGTACGCATCAAAGGCGGCATGCCCCTTCAGGCCATCCTGTGTGACAGTTATTGCCCTATACTGGGGATGGCTGGCACTCTTTGGTGATGCTAGAGAGACAACAGGAATCTAGAATACCCAGTCTGTTGCCCAGCAGTGAAGACAAAAAAACAAAAAAACCATTGACTGGCAGTAAAAACTGCAAAAATAAAATGTACAAATAGCAAAAACCAGGAGCTAGAAAGCTCCATGTCCTAACTCCGAACACATTATAAAATAACTGAACTCGTTGCTGCAGATGGGGGAAAAGCCACCTCCGGAGGGCCGCCCCAGAAGTGTGCTTTTAGTTTAGTTGCACCTAGCATCCTGCTCCTGTAGGTGGCAAAATCAAACCCACCTGATATTAAGTATGGCTGTGTCCAGTGAACAAGAGAAAATATCTTGATAAACGGGAAAAAAAAGTCAAATGAAATGGGTCTGCACTTCCCTGATGGAAAAAGACATACATTTCTTAGGACACTAGCAAAAAAAGTGACGCTTGGTTAGAGTGGGAGGGGTTATATCAGCTAACTATATTTTTTGCTAGTTTCCAGTTCTTCTGAAGGTGGCAGTATAACCCATATTTTTCAGAAATCTTTTGACCCTTTGTCTCTTAACCTGTTTGTGCAAATGTACGCATATGTACGGCCTCTAAGTGGGTGGGCCTTGACGCCAAGAGGCTACATATATGCATACCAAAATGTAAATAAAGCTGTGCAGAGAACAAGTACCCTATGCGTTCCCGGCACAGTTATAGTCGCCTAATGGAAAGCACCCAATCGTTACTTGCGATTGGGAGCTTTCTGATTTCTGAACCTCACCTCCCGGCATCAGAAACCTCTTAAAGGCCTGGGAGGTGCCAACGTTAAGGGGTTAAGTGTTACAAGAAAATGTCTTTTTTTTTTTTTGGGTGTCCACTGCATTAGCAGCCCCCTACACTGGAAAGTGCTTGTTTATCAAAATGCACGTTAATACATGTGAGTTAATGTAATGCAACAGAACACAATGGTGGGCCTTAAAACCTGTCTTAACCGCCTTTCCTCTACAGCCAGTAAAGGCACTCTCACTAAATATTCAAATAGCAATTGGTAGAGCTTAGCCATAAAGTCAGGCCCCTGTATTAAATGCATTTTCTAGCTAACACAGAAGACAGCAGGTATCTTTTGGTGTCAGTACATTGGCAGAATGTTTACTTTTAAACACTTTAAAATAGACTACAGGTGAAATTTAACCACTTGCCCTCCAGAGGATTTACCCCCCCTCTTCCTGAGCAGGACATTTTTTTTGTGATACAGCGTGTTACTTTAACTGACAATTGCGCAGTCATGCAACGCTGCACCCAAAGGAAATTTACGTCCTTTTTTTTCCCTTCAAATAGTGCTTGCTTTTGGTGGTATTAAATAGTCTGTGTTTATTTTTTGCGCTATAAATAAAAAAAGAACGACAATTTTGAGAAAAAAAACAAACAATATTTTTGCCTTTTGCTATTAAACATATCCAGTAGAAACATTTTAAAAATCAAAGTTAGTCATAAATTTAGGCCAAAATGTAATCTGCTACATGTCTCTCTGCTAAAAAAAAAAAAAAAAAAATCCTATTACAAATGGTGGTATATATATATATATATATATATATATATATATATATATATATATATATATATATAGTATATATATATAATATATATAGTAATAGCGCTGAGCAAGCTGTTGGTGCTATATAAATCCTGTATAATAACAACAATAATATATACATAATTTGTAAAGAAGTTGGGACAATGTGCACAACCGGAGACTAGAAGAAAGCACAATACTCACTTTTCCTGAAGACAGTTTGTCCTGTGGTACTAGTAATGAGTCTCCCCTTGAAAGAAGCTCTGCTAACAAGTCAGAGCTGGAGGACCAAAGACTTCTAAGTTCATCAATATTTAAACCCATAAACAGTTCTGGCCCCTCTGTAGAAGTCTTAGAAGGCTTAGCATTGCTGTCCCTATAAGGTGTAAGCTCAGTGTGCTTCAAATTAGGTTTGGTAAAGGAGTTTACATCACGGAATGATCTCCGTCTTTCTTTAACAGAAGTAGATAAATCCTCATCTTCTGCTTCATTTTCCTCTGCGTCAAGGGTTATTTTGTCCTGGGAGAGGTCATGGAGAGATGGTTGTGGTAGTACAAACTCTGGTTGCTCTTCAATCACAGGTGGATAGTGGACAGTCTGTTCTTTAATTTTTCTAGCTTGCATTTCTTTAAGTTTTTGAATTTTGAGAGCATATTCTTTTTCTAATTCTTGCAGTCGCTTCTTCTCGAGTGCAATAGCCTCTGCCGACTGCTTTCTGGGGCTGTCTGATCCCGGATTTGGTTTAAACATCTTATTAGCCTAAAAATATGAAAGCAAAACTGGTTAAGCTAGGACACATATTTCTTCAAAGACCAAAAGGTTTTAATTTAGCCAAGACCATGAAACTGTTTAAATAATGTGTTTTTTTTTTTTTTACAACAACTTACCTGTAAATCCCATTTCTTGGAGCACAGTACAAGACACAGGCTCAGACCCTGGGTTATAGGCTGGTACCGTCAGGTGATTGGACGCTGGCAAATCTTTTGAGGACACACCCCTGGGAGTAAACCTATAACCCTACTCTATGAGACCTCAGGTTTTGGAGCAAGCGATGCAGTGTAAAAAAAAAAAAAAAAAAAAAAAAAAAAAAAAAAAAAAAAAAAAAAAAGGAAGAGGGGAGGGTTGGTCTGTGTCCCCTACTGTACTCCAAGATACGGAATTTGCAGGCTAGTCAAGATTCCTTTACTGGAATAGTACAGGCCAAAGGTCTTATGTTCAAAGATCTTGGGACATCCCCAAGCAATGAATAAAAAGGGTGGGCAACAACAAGGAAAACAGAACTGTGCCAACAGACCCAACAATAACAAGGGTCAACAGAGCCAACTCAAGAACCTTCCTGTCAAAAGCTATATCCACAGAAGATTGTACATTAACCTGATAGAACTTTGAAAATGTATAACAGAAGTCCTTTAGGTGCACACCTGTGAGATTAGTTACTGGCCTAGAGATGCTAGATCATAAAGCAGGATGTCACTTGTCAAGCCCTGAGAAAAGGATGAAAATGGAGTCAAGTTTTCCGGATGAATGTCTTAGCTCTAAGCTTGACTCTTAAAGCAGAACTCCAGGCAAAAACATTTTACCATGTCCTTGCTGCTGACCTCCTTCCTTCACTGAATATGTCCTCCATCTTCTGGTTTACTCAGTAGTTGCTCTGAAATAAGCTGATGATTTTCAAATAAAACCGTTAATCCCCTGTGGTTTTCCTGTTTGTAAGACCAGTGGCTGCTATGCCTCCTATTCCCCCCAACCACTGGTTGTGGCACAGCCCTTCTGGTCAGACTTCTGGTCTGTACCTCCCAATGGGGCAGCGTTCCAAGTGGCTGCAAACAGTGTTATCGACATTTTGCAGATAGGAAAAAATGTGCCAATAATGGCTACTGAATATGCAATTTTGCCTGCGAATTTACCATTATTCTACCCACAATTTTGCTGCGTTTTTACTCCCGATTTTGCCAAAATTTTACCTGTGATTTTGCCTCAATTTTACCCGAAATTTTGCCACAGTTTTACGGTGTGTTTTTGCTGCATTTTCAATGCAGTTCAGGCCTGGTTCACACCAATGCAGTTTGTGTTTTGTCAGCTTTGCTGTGGTTTTTTTTGCAGTGCATTTTAAATTTTTTTTTTGTTTAACTTGTTGTTGAACAGATTTAAAAAGAATAAAAAAAAAAAAACCCCAAACGCACGCATTCACACTAAGGCATATAAAATTGTGAATGGACTCGATGTGATTCTGCCCACGATTTGAAAACACGCTGTGAAAACGCGCAGTCATTTCGATGGAAGCTGAAAACGTGGACCACAGTTGCTGCGATCGCGGTGCATTTTTCCGCGCACCAGACGCGCCACAATTGTGCAAACAAAATCACGGGACACCCAAAAAAGGTTCCGATTGATTTTGGGCATTGCAAGATTTTTTGTTGGGCAATGAATGGCACCTGAACACGCGAATTTTCACATTTTGTTCACAGCGCGATTTCAGAATAGTGGCAATTTCCTCCCCCCGATATGAAATTACCTAGTGTAAATGGAGCCTTAATATGCGTTTTTAATCCGCCTAGCAACAAGCTCGCCAAAAAAAAAAAAAACAACATCAGAATTCCCACATTGTGGAGGGATATCTTATTTCCTGTTTTGGCTATGCAACAGGAAGATAAGAAATGTCTTCCCTATAGGACAGATTTTTTTTTTTCTTCTTCTTCGACAGGGTTATAACCCTCCCTTACTCTATCCAAAATGGGATTAGTTTTGCCTTTAGTTACACCTTAAGAGAACAAGCAGGGGTAATAGCACCTTTGAATACTGTGGGAGCAGAGAATAGGTCAAATGGCAGCGTGATAAACTGAATTTTTGCCTTTACTGCAAAGCACAGAAAATGCTTATGAGGTAAATGCGAATATGTAGATGGTCTTCCAGGAGGGTCTCCAAGAGATAATGGAGCTTCATACAAAACTTTGGAATGTAAAGATACTTGTTTTGGGACTTTAACCTAAGATAGTAAGAAAACCCCTGTTGGGTTTTGGTAGCGTCAACAGGTTAAATATAATACTCTGAACCTGTCCTCCATAGGTAATGGAATGATGACTAACTAGGACAAAAGATGGCTCAGGGTGTTCTACAAATCTGACTGACCCTGCCCAGATTGTGGTTGAAGCAGGGTGGATAAAAATCAATGATTTTTTAAAAAAAAAAAAAAAAAAAAAAAAAAGATTTTTTTTTATTTAAATTGGATTTTTTTTATTTAAATCGGATTTTTTTTAAATAAAATGCTTTTTGAGGAAAATATATTACCATCCAAAGGTTAATCCATCATGAAATAAAGATTATGTTTTTAATTATGTAGAATAAGGCTGTATATGTTTAATTTTTTGGGTAAATAAATTCCATTACCGTATATACTCGAGTATAAGCCGACCCGAATATAAGCCGAGGTACCTAATTTTACCACAAAAAACTGGGAAAAACTATTGACTCGAGTATAAGCCGAGGGTGGGAACACCAGTGGGAAGAATCGTGCCTCATCATTGGTGTCAGTGGGAGGAATAGTGCCCCATCATTGGTGTCAGTGGGAGGAATAGTGCCCCATCATTGGTGTCAGTGGGAGGAATAGTGCCCCATCATTGGTGTCAGTGGGAGGAATAGTGCCCCATCATTGGTGTCAGTGGGAGGAATAGTGCCCCATCATTGGTGTCAGTGGGAGGAATAGTGCCCCATCATTGGTGTCAGTGGGAGGAATAGTGCCCCATCATTGGTGTCAGTGGGAGGAATAGTATCCCATCATTGGTGTCAGTGGGTGGGTGTCTGTGGAGGAATAGTGCCCCATCATTGGTGTCAGTGGTGGGAGGAATAGTGCCCCATCATTGGTGTCAGTGGGGGGTGCCCCATCATTGGGGGGGGGAATAGTATCCCATCATTGGTGTCAGTGGGAGGAATAGTGCTCCAATGATTGGTGTCAGTGGGAGGAATAGTGCCCCATCATTGGTGTCAGTGGGGAGGAATAGTATCCAAACATTGGTGTCAGTGGGAGGAATAGTATCCCATCATTGGTGTCAGTGGGGGGGAGGAGGAATAGTGCCCCATCGTTGGTGTCAGTGGGGGGAGGAAAAGTGCCCCATCGTTGGTGTCAGTGGGGGGGAGGAATAGTATCCAATGATTGGTGTCAGTGGGGGGTGGAAAAGTGCCCCATCGTTGGTGTCAGTGGGGGGGAGGAAAAGTGCCCCATCATTGGTGTCAGTGGGGGGGAGGAATAGTGCCCAATCGTTGGTGTCAGTGGGGGGGGGGGAGGAAAAGTGCCCCATCGTTGGTGTCAGTGGGAGGAATAATGCCCCATCATTGGTATCAGTGACACCAATGATGGGGCACTATTCCTCCCACTGACACTTGCTGACCCCTGTTCCAGTACGGTGCTGCTGCAGCCAGCATATGTGGTTGCAGCAGCACCTAAGCACGGCACACTTACCTGCATCTCCTTCACTCGATTTTCGGGGGCCGCTCAGCTCCGCATCCTCGCCGGTGATTGGCCGCCTGTGTGCCTTTCCCGAGCTACAGTTCTGGCGGCCAATCACCGGTGAGAATGCGGAGCCGAGCAGCCGCGCGAACATCCAGTGGACTTACCGAATGAAGGAGCAGCCGCGCTTCCTGGACCGGATCATCGTGGGACCGGAGCCAGGTAAGAGACAGCAGCCCCCTGCAGACATTGACTCAAGTATAAGCCGAGGGGGCCGTTTTTCAGCACAAAAAATGTGCTGAAAAACTCGTCTTATACTCGAGTATATACGGTAATCCATTCACAATGTCATGCTCTTCCAGAGGTTTTTGTAAGATTATTGGGCAGTTTCTCTGCCTACAAGATATTATCACAGATGCTTGATTTACTTTTGCAGTTCTCAAAACTGAAATTTGACTCAGCGGAGATCACATGCCTCTTCTTCACAGCAAAAATGTTATAACCTGAACAGAGTTATGAAAAAACCTTAATCCTAACTTCTACAAACCTATGAATACAGAATCAACCCCTTCAGTGCTAAGTTTCAAGAAGTTCAGGGAATAGAAACAATATTTTTCTGATTGTTTGGAGTGGAATAGATCTGCACAAGAAGAAAGTGAAACTAAGTGTGAGGAGGAAGGGGTCTTACAGTCTAAGTTTCTTAAAATATATATTATTTTGTTTAGCCAAATTAGTTAAACATGGATGTTTGTTTAAGCAAATAACATATGCTGGAATGTTATTGTTTCAGATGAATAAATCTATTTAAATTATTATTAAGGTAATGATTATTTTTCACCTTCCTGAGTACAACAGAAAAGTTGTCCAAATATGAATGATTTACCTATTAAACTGGGGATAAAAAAAACTAATATGAAAAGTTGTTATTCTAAAAATCTTCATCTACTTGTATATTAAAGTTATACCAGCAAGAATTAGTCTTTATGTAGAAAACTATGATTTAAATCAAGCCTTACTGACTAGTGATTTAAATCGTGATTTAAGTCAAATCCACCCTGGGTTGAAGTGAAAATAGAAAGCAGTGAGGAGGTAGAATTTTGAGCGCTATTTTGTACCCCTTTAAAACCACTGTTTGCGTCATAGACATCCCAAATGTGTGAGTTGAGAGACAGAAAAACTAAGACTTCTCCCACTCTTGGAAGTGAGAGCACCCCTTCACTGCAAAGAAAGCTTTGGAGTAGACTTGGTGGATTTTTGTGCTCCAAGTCGAAAGGAAGTACTGAAATTTGGCTTAGAGGTTCAAGCCTGGGTAGTGTTGAAGTGCTCTAGGTAAAAGCCCCTGAAGGAGGATTTTTTTTTTTTTTTTAATTAAAACAACAAGTATGTTATACTCACCTGCTCTTTGCAGGTTGAACTGCACAGAGTGGTCCTGATGCTCCTCGTGTCTATCGCTGGCAGTCTGATCCTCCTCTTAATGTGTACTCATAGCAAGCTGTTTGCTATGGAGGCACACTGTCTACTCACTTCTGAGCTGTGTGTTTATGGAGCTGCGCTCCACAGACTCACACAGCAGGGCTAAGTCAAAGAAAGGTCCTGGAGTACAAGGTCCTGTTGAAGCCCTAGGGCTGCAGACAGATCAACTACTGAATCTACAGGGAAGGCGCAAGAGCACACGTAAAGCCCCTATGAGTGACAAGAGCAAGGAACTGGGTAAATTAGGACACAGTCTTGAATGCAATTATAGAAAACCCAGCTAACAGCCATCAGAGGACAGAATTCCAGGATGCAGATATCAGCACCTTCAGAAGGTATGGCACAGTCTTCTTCAGAACAGCTTGTGGAGTCTGAGCTAGAATCACCTGATACAGCAGGACTGCCCCCTTTGTCTAGAAACAGACATGCTGCATCTGTGTTGTAGTAAAGCATCTCAAACTCTGGGTACAAAGTAAGGCCTCAGGTACACACAAAACACAGACAACTAGTAGCAATTAGGGTAGGATTTCAGTAGGTGACCAGCAGGTCACTGCAGGTGGGCAGTAAGAACAAACCAAAGATCAGAGTTCCACATGACTATCTGCAAAGCAGCATCAAGGAGATGCTTCCTTGGGGATGAATGGTAAGAAAGAACACATGTGACACTCGACTCTACAGACGCTACAGGTCAGTCCCTCAACATCAACCTTTGCTGTAGAAGGAACTATGTGAAGAGTAGGTATTAAAGGCACCCAAGCAATTTTAAAATGAAGTGGCTCTCAAAGCTCAGTCCAAACAGCCTACTTAAAGGAGGAATCAGAGACACAGCAAGCACTGCAATGCCAATGGCTCTGGACCTGGAAAGTGCTCAGTGGCTTGCAGGTAACATTTTAACCAAAACAGGGTTTGTAAAGTGCCTTATATCCAAAGCTCATTACCACTTTCAGGGTAGCCTCTAGTTGGGTCATGGTGTGCCACTCCAAAACCCAGGCAATCGCACAGACCAGTTAAAAAAGCCAATGCAATGCTTAACCATGAAGTCAGTCACAACAGGAAAAACAAAATTAGAAAGGAGCCGAGATGTTTTTCATACAAATAAAAAAATAATACAAGGCAACTTGTGCCGTATTCTTAGGCAAGGCATTAAAAGCATAACATGAAGTAAAGGTTCACATTAATAGCTACTAACTTTCTCACTGCATGAAAATAGCAGTTGGGTGCAGAACACAGCAAAATCAGGCCCCTAGTAACAACATGGCCAGAAAAACACCTTGTGTAATAGTCTGATTTTGTTCCAATTTTGACTGAATTGGTCAGGTTTTAGCTGTACCTAAAAAGCACAGTGCAAGGGCCGACTGCTCCTTTAACCTGAGGGAGAGTAATAGCACTCTTACTTACCAGATCCTCTGCTTCCTGGCACAGTTCCCCTATGCTCCAGCAGTTGAAAGCCCCTCTGTGTCAACACTTCCAATGCATGGCTATGGACCATTCATCTGTCTTGATGATGTCAGGAGCTTAGACTGCCAAAGCATGGGGAGGGAAAAAAAAAAAAAAAAACTGTAGGAACTAGGGATGCACCGAAATTTCGGTGGCCTAAACGTTTCGTCCGAAAATAAATCGGCAGATATGAAAATAAGCACCGATACAGGTGCCGAAAATAACCCCGCCCCTCGCCTGCCACACCCCAGTGGTTTTCACCCTTACATGAGAAATCATTGAACGATCCCGGCGCAGGGCATAGAGATAAGTGAAAGAAGGATGGCCTCCACTCATCTCTATGCCCTTTGATGACCAAAGCGATGTTACTTCAGATTTCGACGCATTGTAAAAAATGACTTTTTTTAAAGCACTAGATCATAGCTTTATTTGATCTAATGCTTTACATTGTAGAGGAGAGATGTGGGGGTCTTACCTCTCCATAAAGAGGACCTGTCTCTACTTATTGCTATCACAAGGGATGAATGCATTCCTTGTGATAGGAATAAAAGTGATTAAAAAAATATATATTTTTAAATAGGGACAGAGTAAAAAGTTAAAAAAAAAAAAAAAAAAAAAAGTTTAAAGTGCCCCCGTCCCCTCATGCGTAGTGGTGAATGCATACGTAGGCCACGCCCATATACCTAAACTGAGTTCAAACCACACATGCGAGGTATCGCCACAAACGACAGCAATAATTCTAGCACTAGACCTCCTCTGTAACGTTAAACTGGTAACCTGTAGAAATTATTAAACCATCACACATGGAGATTTTTAAGTACCATAGTTAGACGCTATTCCTTGAGCGTGCATAATTTTTTAAACATGACATGTTGGGTATCTATTTACTCAGCATCATATCATCTTTCATATTCTACTAAAAGATTGGGGTATATATTGTTGTTTTTTTTTTTTTTTTAAATCATTAAAGTGCATTTCTTTCCAAAAAAATTGCGTTTGAAAAGTATATTGATTTTTTAAAAAAAACTGTCCATTTTGGTTTTCGGCCAAGTACATCCTGAAGTTCCAGTTTCGGCACCAGAATTTTCATTCTGGTGCACCCACTAGTAGTAACTAGTCTAGTCGAGTTACTACTAGTGGAGGATTGGGAAAGCAATCTTACATAAATAGCTCAAATTAATGTTTTTCAATATTACAGACTGTTCCTCAAAACTTGGCAGTGATTACCTTCACATCCCAGGTTAATTACACAATAAGAGTTTACACTTACTCCAACAGTGCTTGGCTCCAGCTTTCTTTTCCCCAACTCTTGACTAACCACTGCTTTAGCCCGGGCAAGTTCTTCCCCAGATTTTAAAGCAAGACTCCTTGTATCAAGAACTCTGAGCTGTACTTTGGTAATCTTTAGAAAAAAAAAAAATGCACAGGTTAAACATTTGCTCAACACATTGCACTGTAGGTCATACATTTGGTCATCAAATAACAATAAAAGTATTGTAACTAAGCAAAAAAAAAAAAAAACACAACAGGAATATCATTCCTTGTATGAAGGTAAAAAATGTTCAGGTTAAAACATTGTCACCTCACCCAACCACCCCCATATCGTTCTACTTTCCTGACCTCTCACTCTATCCAGCGCAGTGCTCGTCTGCCGCAGCTCTCTCTTCTCCCTCCTTTGCTGAGGCAACAGGAGCCATTGGTTCCCGCTGCTGGTCAAGTCCTGTGATGAGGGGGTGGGGGCAGCGGAGCTGAGGGGTGTGTGTGTGTGAATGGACACAGGCAGAGCAGTTCAGGATCGAACATTTCAGGCGTGCCACCATTAGTAGCAGCAGCTTCTGGTGGCACACCAAGAAAAAGGAGGAGCCAGAAGTGCCAATGGGGAACTGAGAAGAGGAAGTTCCGGGCCACTCTGTGCAATTCCAGTGCATGGAGAAGGTAAGTATAAACAATTGTTTCAAAATCATAGCAGTATGTTTAAAAAAATCATTATAATAGCTTTTATTTCCATACACACAAATGCATTGGGAGTACTGCACAGTCTATTTCAAATCAAAACATGAGAAAAAGGTTTCATATTTGTTATTACTTTGCAGAAAGTGGAGAAAAACTGGATTTTTTGTACATACTTGTAAAATTAATTTCTTGGAGTACATCACGGGACACAGAGCATGCTATTCATGACTATGTGGTTATACGCCACCTATAGGTGAATGGACACTGGTCGACCAATCAGAGGAAGTCCTCCCCTATAGAAACCCTCCTACACAGGAAGTACTTCAGTTTTTCTAGCAAGCAATGACATTCCAGAAAGAGGGGCGGGACCTCTGTCCCATGATGTACTCCAAGAAATGGATTTTATAGGCAAGTATGTAGAAAAAAAAATCCAGTTTTCTTAATCACGGGACACAAAGCAGGCTATTCATGTCTATGTGGGATGTCCTAAAGCAATAAAAAAAATTTGAGAGGAGGGTGACGCCATGATAGCCACAGTCAACAATCCCTCAGTACCTACTCAACCATCTGTAAAATTCTGCGGCCAAAAGCAGAATCCCCTGCAGCTCTGACATCCACCTGGTAGAACTTTGTGAATGTGTGAACCGAAGACCATGTAGTGGCCTTGCAAACCTGAACCACTGATAGTGGATTGCCCAATATGCCGTCACACTCCTAGTAGAGTGTGCAGTCACCCAAAAGGGTGGTACCTTACCTTTCAAACCATAGCCTTGAATGATCAATTGGGGGATCCAATGTGAAAATCACTTTGGATGCCGCCTGCCCTTTCCTACCCCCCTCAGGCAGCATAAACAAAGCATCTGACCTCCTAACTCGGACCTGTACAGCACCCTGCCGGAAAGTGTCTTGGTCAGTGTTATACTGCACAGGGTTCCGTTACGCAGGGTCCAGTGCCGTAAGGCTGCATTACAGGCAAAACCCCCCGAGGACTATTCTCTTTATCCAGCGAGGCTTGAGTACCAGTCATCTTGGCCAAGCAGCTTTCCGAATGGATCCGATTAAAGTCCATGATTCCCCAGGGAACCCATCCAGACTTTAGGTATGCTCCTTGGAGCACAAGCAACACTTTCAGTGACCATCCACCTTACAGATATGGGCAAAAAATACTTCCTGTGTAGGAGGGGGTTATATAGGGGAGGACTTCCTCTCTGATTGGTTGGCCAGTGTCCATTCACCTATAGGTGACATATAACCAACTTAGTCACGAATAGCCTATTTTGTGTCCCGTGATGTACAAGAAAATGAGTATTAGGCTGTTGAAAAAAAATTGTGTCTGCATTTTTCTTTACAAACTCAAACATTTACTGTTTAAACTGAAAAATGCTTGAAGGTTTAGCTTTCCTGTGAGTCACTGAATATTTAGTTGTATAACCACTGTTTCTGAGAACTGCTTCACATCTGTGTTGCATAGAATCGACCAACTTCTGGCACCTGTGAACAGGTATTCCAGCCAAGGATGATTGCACTACATTCCACAATTCCTCTGCATTTCTTCGTTTTACCACAGAAACAGCATTTTTAAAGTCACCCCACAAGTTTTCTATTGGATTAAGATTGGGCTGGTCACTCCATAACGTTAATCTTGTTGGTCTTGAGCCAAGATGCTGCTTGCTTACTGGTGTGTTTGGGGTCGTTGTCTTGTTGAAAACACCCATTTCGAGGGCATTTCCTCTTCAGCATAAGGCTACATGACCTCTTCAAGTACTCTGATGTATGCAAACTGATCCATGATCCTTGGTATGCGATAGATACACCAAACACCATAGTATGAGAAACATCCCTATATGTTGATGCTTGCGCCACTATGCTTCACGGTCTTCATCGTGTACTGTGACTTGAATTCAGTGTTTTTTTTTTGGGGGGGGGGGGGATGCGGTCACCTGACAAACTGTCTGCTCCCCCTAGACTAAAAAAGAACATTCTTGCTTTCATCAGTCCACAAAATGTTGTGCCATTTCTCTTCAGGCCAGTCCATGTGTTCTTTAGCAAATTGTAACCTCTTTAGCATGTCATTTTCTTCAACAATGGGACTCTGCAGGAGCTTCTTGCCGATAGCTTGGCTTCACATAGCCAATGATCAGCTCCGGGTGATCAAAGTGGTCTAAAGTTACCTGTGAGTACTGTAACAATTAGAAGATGCACAAGTCTTTGCCATTATGGCTATTCTTCGATCCATTTGAATGGTAGCTTTCTTGTTTTCTTCCAGGTCTTTCTGGTTTTGATTGCCATTTTAAAGTATTTGCGATCATTTTAGCTGAGCAGTTTCTGTACTTCTTTATATGTTTTCACCTCTCAAAGTATGCTTTTCTTCTTGTCTGGAATGACCCATTTTTACTTGGATTGTAAGAGAGAAATGCACTATACCCAGCATGTACAACATTTGCTGCCTTTATCCTTAAATAAGGGCCACCTGTGTGACACCTGTGTTTTTCACAGACTGAATGACCTCACTAATAGACCTCCACACTGCTATTATTTTGAACATGCCCCTTTCAATTAAGGATTCAATTACACAGAATGGGAAGCATGCATGTCATGACTGTTGGATCTGTTGGTTTTCTATTACTACACCTACTAGTAAATTATTTGCCATGTAGAAATATTTATACCAAAAAGAGTGATTGATCTGGTTAGTGATGTTGGACTGCTATTATTCTGAACACAACTGTACATGTTAAAAAAAAAAAAAAAAAAAAAAAACCACAACATTTAGGACTTTACAATCAGCTTAATGCTGCTACCACTACGTGATTAGAACACAACCAGAAAAAAAATCCAAGTGGCAAGTGTTAATCTGTAACTTGAAAATTCCTGTTGCAGTTTACTTAATTAAAAACATGAATTGTTCAAAATTAGAGCAGCTAGGCATCTAACATTCTGAAATGTACTTATTTTCCAATGACGTCATCAGTTCTGAGAGTCCATCCTTATGGGAAGCAGGCACAGCCAGGAACACTGGCATAGGTTATGAAAGGGCCTAAAATAAACCAGCATACTGAATTCTATCTAGAAACATGCAACTCTTTCTAATGTACATGGGCAACTTACATCGGACTTGGAAAAGTAAAAATGACAGGTGTAGTTAAGCGAAACAGAGAAATTTTCATTTAAAATTTTCACCTGTTCCTGTAAGTTTTTGAGGAAGACCCTGCTGGCATTCAGAAATGTTTCGGTTGCTTTCAGTTGTTCGGTGAGTTTGGTCATTTTTAGCTCTGCATTTTTGATCGATTCCTTTTTCTTCTCCTCCTGCTGCAAAAGATTTTTCAGGACAGACTCATCCTTGATCAAGAGCATTCTGTACGAAGTAAATAAAAAGGTGATAAATACTTATGGACAAAAAAAAACAAACCACAAAAAACAGTACAAACCTATTCTATTTAGAAATCAATGCTCTCTAGATAAAAATTGTGACCCTAAAACCTGACATTAGGTCTAGACATTTATACAAAATGTGTACAATAATGTTGCTGCTTCAATTTCACTTGTTTACAAAGAAATCTTGAATAAACAACTCTATCACTAATCAATTCATACTGACTGAAAAAAGATTAGGAATCAGAATCCTGATGAAACCATCACACTAGCAAGGCATTTTAACATGCATCACTTCATGGCTTTGGTAACCTGTTGGTACAGCAAGCAACCAAAAAAATGCATGCACATACATTTAAGCTACCTCCTAGGATGCGCCCCTTCAGTTACTGAAGGTAAGGAACTCTGGCTAATGTTCTTGGAGGAATACTTTAGCTGGCCCATAAATGGAATTTTTTCTGTTTTATGTCTTTTTTTTTTTTTTTTTTTTATTAGCCAGGTGATCCAAAAAGCCCAATCAATTATTCAACTTCACAAAAAATTATCAAGATCTCAAATCAGATCCAAGCAATACTGCAGCAAGTAAAAGCTGAAAAAGTGAGGTACTGCAGTGTGTTACATCAAACATTTTTGTTCTTCAATTAATCTTACACTGTGAAACCTAGCAGGTAACCCAATTTCTCTTGTATAAAATTCAGCAAGCAATAAATGTCCCTCATCAAAGTTTATTCTGAGTGCTATGGACAGTGTTTGTGTAGATCTGTTCAAAAAGCAGGTGATAACTAACCCTTCTTACACTTTTCTGGTGCACAAAGTCAAGACACTAACAGGAATTAAAGTGAACTCTCTCAATCAACATTGAGTAATTTGAATCCGTATGCAACTAGCATTAGTAAATAGATAGGAAAGCATATCATATTTACTTGTTTTAAATGTTTTGGTTTTTTTTACAGTTCTTTAGTTACTTCCTGGTTTCCATGTCTAGGCAAATGTTGTCATACATACCAGTAGTCTTCATGGGAGGAGGGGTATTCTCAGCCAAGTATGCTCTCTTGTCTGTACGCCTGAACTAAGGGCAGATAGATTCCAGGAAGTAAATGCTACATGAATCATCTGCCCTTACTCAAGATGGCTGCAACCAGAAATGCTAGGGGGTGTTTTTCTAAGTGATTTAAAAAAGCATGGAGACATAGATGGACAGAGGAGTTTGCTTTGAATATTAAAAATAAATCAAAGTGTTACTAAACCCCGGACCCTGCATTCACTATATCTGGTCTCCCACAGTACACGGAAGAGCAGTCTTGTCACTTCAGCAGAGCACTGGTTAAAGCTTGTAGGAGTTCTCTTTCTGCTCTAGGAGAATGCAAAACCCCTGGCCCTCTGTCTGGGGAAAAAGGTATTATGGTTAATAGAGATTAAGATTGAATTATGTGGCCTCAACAGTAAACAATATGTCTGCCGGAAATCTTATACAGCTGATCATCCAAGCACCACCATTCCTACAGTAAAGCATGGAGGTGGTAATATCTTGTTATGAGGGCATTTTTCTGCAACAGGGACCGACGAAATTGTCAGGATAGAAGGAAAAATGAATGGGGCAAAAAAACGTCAAATTCTTGAGGAAAATCTGCTGCCTACTGCTAGAAACTTGTCAATGGGAAGGAGGTTTACCTTCCAACATGACAATGACCCAATGACCACACAGTGGTTGAAGGAGAAAAAAAGTGAATGTCCTTGCATGGCCTAACCAGAGCCCAGACTTAAACCCCATTGAAAATCTGTGGAATGACTTAAAGACTGCAGTCCACAAACTGTGACCATCATATTTAACTGAACTTGAGCAGTTCTGCAAAGAAGAGTGGGCTAATATTGAAAAGTGAATTTATGTACGCCACTGCTGCGGTGTTGTTTGACTGAATTTGGATCAGATGATCCTCCAGTTGGATGGCCTATTTCTGTAGAGACACCCAAATCACCTGAAGTTCCAAAGATGTCGATTGGAAGACAAGACAAGATGGCAACAAAGTCCCCTCCACCAGACAGGGCACAGAAGGCTCCTCCCCAGCTGTCGTGAGGATCTTCCAAAAGAGGGAAGGTGACTTTCTGAATTCTGAGCCGGATTTCTGAGTCACCAAGCTGGGGTAAAAATGGTCCTCAGTAACAGGTGAATCTGTCTGTCCAGACACTGTATTGACTTACATGTTCCACCACATCAGAATGCTAAATTGTAGAGGTCTGGAGTGAAACTAGGCAAACTAAAGTGCCTTGAAGGAGGCTACAAATAGCCCTTGGACTTGCACAAAAAAGGAGAATTGGAAAAATCCAGAACCGAAAAGTTTGAACCAGAGATCGAGACACTCTAAATCTTTTTATACACACACACACACACACACACACACACACACACACGTTCCACGGTCCAGCACTTTAACCAAAATGTGGCCATAGACACTGGAGGCATCTAGCAAATGGTCACAGCTGAAATTCAACACTGTAGGCATCCTTTACAGGCGTTTTTTAAGCAAGGGATAAACCTTGGCAGCAGTTGGATCTCTTAAGGGGTTATGACCAATCAGAAATTATCTAAACATCCTAGGGGATCCATCACTGGGGTAGTTCTTTCTTAACAAAATACTTAGACGCTTTGGAGGGGTAAAGAGTATATCCAGGGGTTTTCATAGAGAAGGTCCTCAAACAAGTGGAAATTATGCAACACCTTAGCAGACCAAGATAACTTGTATGAGCTAAGGCATGAGACTTAACAGTAACAACAAACGAGCTTCTAGTTTTAGCACTCAACACACATTATGCTGTAAATGAGAGAAGACACTTAATCGCCTCTTCCCAAGAAAAAATTCAGTTCAGCTAATCATTCCCCATAGCCGAGTTCCTCCATGCCTCTTATCAGGTTGGTTGGTTACCCTTTTCTGCACCTTTCTCCAGATCCCAGAGACTATACCTATTTTCATACAAGAGCATAATTTTGCTAGCTTTAGAAACTGCAGCTTGGCATTGCATGCTATTAAAGTGGTTCTTCAGTGTGCAGTTCCCCCCTCAGTCCCCCCTTTATACTCACCTGAGCCTCATCCAGTGATGTGCATGAAAGCAGAAGCTCTGCCAGGTCTCTCCCAGACACAGACATAACAGTGCAAGCCATTGACTCCCACTCTCTCAGACACACAGAGGCGGCTCAGAAGAGAGTACACGAGTGCCCCCAGAGCAAGCAGCTTCCTCTGGAAGCACTCAGCAGGAGGGAGGAGCCAGGAGCACCGGTCAAGGACCCAAGAAGAAGAGGATCAGGGCTGCTCTGTGCAAAACCATTGCACAGACCAGGTAAGTGTAACATGTTTGTAAAGGTTCTTTTTTTTTTTTTATAAATGTTTGTAGCCACCAAGTTATTTACTTTACACTTAACAATAAACCTAATTTGCCACATAGTTAAATTACAATTAAAAAGTGCACTGAAGTCAGATTGTAAACTGAAGACAGCATGTAACGATGTTATTCCACTGCATTTCATGGTGTAATCTGCAAGCACTGAACTGGTACTTTTAATCCCAAACTCTGTATCATTTAAAAATAGGTTAAAAAGGAAAGATCCTAACACTGAACCTTGGTGTACACCACTAATAACCAAAGGCCATTCAGAAAGTAATGATTAGTGATTCATATTTTGAACACAGTCTTTTAGCCAGTTTTCTATCCATTTGAAAACTATGCCAATCCTCAAGTGGTCAGTAGTATAACCCAATTGTTTTATAAAAAATCTGTGCCCCCAGTGGATAAGGAAATAGATAAACTCTGAAAGTGTATACTTCATAAAAACAAACATCAATTCAATGAAAAAAAAAAAAAAAAAATTAAGATATTAAATCAGATAAGACTATACAACAATCTATAAAGTAATGTATCACCAAAAACGTACTTTTGCTTTGTATGCCTCGATTCAGCTTCTGCTACTTTTAGATCCTTTACAGGTTTACGGCTGCCATCTACTTCTATATCAGAGTTCGCTGGAGACAGATTTGTTCCTATCTGGTCCACTTTTAAGGGTTTCTGCTTTTCACGACTGCACACAAATTAAGAGGTTGTACTTTAGCCTAGATTATGTGGTTAAGCAACAGTATATTAGCTGGACAGTATGAAATTACCTAGAAATCTCTTCCCTCAGAAGTCTGTATTCAATCTTCTTATCTTCTGGTAAGGTTTCCGGAGTCCTCAAAGGATCATTTTCTTTTTCAGATTTTGAAGGTGCTTTTGGTTTTGATGCCTAATTAAAACAAAAATATATAAATATATAAATGATATATAAATCTTACACAAGTATGGACTCACCCTACTCAAGATAAAAGGGGGGAAAAAAAAAAAACAAAAAACAAACTTGCATACTGCCTACAAATGGACTTCTATAACGTTTTCAAATGCATCTTCCATAGACTTGAATTTAACATGCCCTAAACAGTGCTAAGTGCCATCTGCAAGTACATGTGTTATTTTCCCAACTGTATTTTAAAGAATATTTGATTCCCTGCAGATTTTGCATGTTTGCTCACTTACAAAGAAATGAAGACTCTATACTTTTTATCATAGGTGTATTTTAAATAAGAAAGACAGAATATTAAACAAAAATCCAGAAAAAAAAAAAGATGATACAAATGTTATAAATTAAGTTGCAGTTCAGTGATTAAAATAAATATTTGATCCCCATGCAAAACATTGCACTTGGTGGAGAAACCCTTGTTGGCAAGCACAGAGGTAAGACGTTTCTTGTAGTTGGTTACCAGGTTTTCACACATCTCAGGAGGGATTTTAGTCCGCTCTTCTTTATAGATCTTTTCTAAATCCTTAAAGGTTTCTTGGCTGTTTGGCAACTCGAAGTTTCAGCTACCCCCATACATTTTCTATAGGATTAAGGTCTGGAGACTGGCTAGCCCACTCCATGATTTTAAAGTGCTTCTCCTTGAGCCTTCTCCTTGTATTTCTTCCATTTGCAAATAAATCGCTCCAACAGTCTCCTTCTCACCAAGCTTCTTACCGAAGGTCTTGTAGCCCATTCCAACCTTGTGCAGGTCTACAATCTTGCCCCTGTTGTCCTTTGACAGCGCTTTGGTCTTGCCAATGGTGGTGCCTAAGGAAAATTCTGTGGACAGGTGTCTTTTATACACAGATGTCGAGATGTCGTTAGGAACACCTTCTTAAACTGACAGGAATAATTGTGTACCACATGAGCACATAGGCAGTCTATGGGAGCAATAATTATTGTTGGCTGGTAGGGGATCAAATAGTTATTTTACTCACTAAACTGCAACTCAATTTCTAACATTTGTATCATGTGGTTTTTTTTTCTGGATTTTTGGTTGATATTCTGTCTCTATCACTTAAAATACACCTATGGAAAAAATAATAAAGCCTTCATTTCTTTGTAAGTGGGCAAACTTACAAAATCTGCAGGGGATCAAATAATTATTTTCCCCATTGTAAACACTATGAATTGGATATTTCATACTGGCCGAAAATACAATATCAACTGACTAAAAAAAAAATACACATTTCAAAGAGATAATAAAACTGTGGTATAAAAAGTGCAATGTTGATAGACCAGGGCTGGAGTGTGAACATGAGAAACTAGGGGACCTACTGGATGTCAGGGACATATAGACTAGTATGGTGCTGGACTAAACAACAGTTAAACTACGTGTAGAAGCTGAATATTCATATCTATGGGACAGATGACCAGGAAGGGGATAACCCAACCATTTTCAGTAGTAAAGTACAAAATATTTCTACAAAGATATGCTCACCTCTGCAGTTCTTCTGGCTTCTTTGATCATAGATTCCAACCCTCCAAATACACCAAGGCCTGGACTAGGTGGCTCTGGGTCTGACTCATCAGAGTCAGAAGCATTCAGTGTTACGACTACTGACTTGTGCTTTGGAAGCTGCAGTACACAAAACAAAACACAGCAAACAATGTATACAAAGCAGAATACAGAAGTGTACTTCATTTGTAGTTTACACAGTATAATCCTAAACAGAGGGGGGATACCCATAGCCCGATAGCGGTTGTAAACCTGACATGAAAAATGTGCAAAGTATATCCCTCAGTACTTGAATCCAAATCAGTCAAATTAGCCAAAATTACCAGGATGTTAATCAGGAGAGGAAACTTCAACAACCAAATTCCTTGAACTGATCAGGACTCCTGCCTAGCATAGAAAGCTGGAATCTGCTGTGAGGATATTCCAAAAGATAAGTAGGAAAAACTTCCATGATTCCAGGGCAAGATTTCTGAGCAACCAAGCCAGAACATACAAACAACTTGGTCCTTTGCGCTAAACAAATCTGTACAGGGATTTGATTGAGTCCCACATTGACAAAATGTATCGTAATGGAGGTCCGAAGTGAAGAACACACTAATGGGACACCTCCACAGACAAGACTCTCAGGCACCAAAGAAAAGCCAGAGAATCCTTAACAGGAGAATCAATTCAGTCTGACGTTTCACCTATGGAACAAATACTTTGGTCCAGGTTGTGTCAAGGACCAGAGCTTTTATCTGAAATGAGTCGATACCAACGACTAAGTGCAGAATCCAAATCAGGATAATATAAACTACCTTTTCCGACAACCAGCATGCCAACTGTTCACTCTGCAGGAGGTTGTCCAAGTATCACACAATGAGGATGCAACGACAACAGAGTGCAGTTAATACTGGGGCCAGCACCTTGGTAAAACACCTGAGGTGGTGACAAAGGGCAGAAGGCAAAGCCCAAAACTGGCAGTGTAGTGGTTCTTTCTAATTTATGGACTAGAATGAAGATATTCATATTTAAAAAATCCAAGCTGGGGTGGAGTTCCACCATTAGGTATAGGGATGGTAAACAGGTTAACCACTTGCATTCCAGAGAATTTACCCCCTTCCTGACCACGCAATTTTTTGCGATACGTCGCTGCGTTACTTTAGCTGACAATTACACATTCATGCAACACCCAGTAAGGTAGTCACAGTCCGCAAACGAATACAGATTTAAGCCTTGGACATAGTGTATTTTATCTTTTGGGACCAACTTCCTTTGAGAGCCCAGAGAAGCCAACCCAGCACCGGCTCCTTTGTATTGAAAGGGTCTGCTCTTGGGACCAATTTGGGTATTCAGATGCAACAGTGTGGATTGTGGACTCAAGAATTTGAGTCATGGATTCACAGAAACCAGGACACCAATCTGTGTGCCAGACATACAGAGGGACAAAAACAGCCCACCAGGCCTGCTTGCTTAAAAAAATAAACAGAAACCACACACACACACACACACAAGATTATTACCATCTACATTGGAGATCCATTATTGGTGCACATGCTTCCTCCTTTTTAGAGCTGCATCACAAAGTGCACAAGAAAATAAGATACTTACATGCCTATATATACTCGGTGGTTGAAAATGTTGTTTACCTGTAAAATCCTTTTCTCGACGCACATCACAGGACACAGGGTATTTTCATGCCCATTATTATTATTATACAGGAGTTATATAGCGCCAATGGTGCTCCCAGCACAGTTACAAGTGCTTAACGGAAAGAGCTTTCCCATCTTGTGACCACTGTGACAGCAAATGACAGAAGTCACATGGTCATAATCCCCGCCCCACCTCCCAGCATTAGAAACCCTGAAAAGGGCTGGGAGGTACTGGCATTAATTACTAACTCTTCCCTTCAGATCATAAGTTTAAAAAAATAAGTCCACAGATCAATTCAGAAATGGTAGATTTGGAAGCTGCGTAACCCCAGTCAGAAACATGACTGAGAAATCACAGCAATTGACTCCAGTTAGTCAAAGAGCATGAACCCCCATCCAGGGGATGAACAGCCTTGTCCCCCTGCGTCTGGGGCTTAGCACAAAAAAAAGGCAATACAACGTCCTGGTGGAGACGGAACAAAGAAACCACCTTGGGTAAAAAACGTAGGCTGCAAAACCCTCTTGTCACAGTGGAGCACCAGGAATGTTTCCTTAAAGTGTTACTAAACCCAGGACCCTGCATTTGCTATATCTGGCATCCCACTGTACACAGAACATGGAAATGCAATTATTTTAGTAAATATAAACTGCTAAATAACTTTTATCATCAGAAGTTAGAGCAGTCTTCTGACTTCTACCAGTGTCCAGCTGAGCACATGTTAAAGCTTGTAGGAGGCGTTTTCATTGTGCTCTAGGAGGATGAAGAACCCCAGACCTCTGTCTGGATAGTGCTGATTTGCCCTGTGCTGATCACATGCAACTCCCAAGAAAAAAAAAAAAAAAAAAAAAACGCACCTCTAGCAATACACAACAAAACTGAGCATGTGCAGAGGGACTCCACATGATATGTCTTATCAGGAGAATAAGAGCGGGGCACTGGAAGAAGGGGACGATCAGAGAAGACAGGATCATACAGCGTTTTTACACAATGCAGAAAATTAACCTTTTAGGTTCCACTGAGTATAACAAGCATGCTTCACTGCATATACAAACTGATTTTACGATTCTGGGTTTAGTAACACTTTAAAAAGGAAAAAGCGGCCAATGGCAACCAATGAAAATCCCAAGTCACAAAGACTAAAAGGAATATCCCAGATGGGTTCAAACTGAGATTTCTGTAATAGATAAAGTACAAATGGTCCCTCAAAGTCCACAATACACAGACGCTTTCCACAAAGGCGCACACACACACACACAGGAATGTGAAGCAATATCCCTGAAAGAACCACCCTGAAAACTGATCCTTAAAAACTGCCAGTTCCAGATTTCTGTCCGGACTGGAGGGAAAGAGACCAACAACACACTTGCAAGGATTCAAGAAGATTTATAACAGGGTACACAATTTTGTTTGAAGTAGACTACTGAGCCTTCCTGACAGAACAAAGTCAAGACTCTGTGGCTTCAACAGTGCCATTTAACTGTGATGGTTGACCTGAAGGGACCAGGAGTCATTCACCGACATGTTCACCATATCGAAAAATTAAGTTCGCTGGGGCAATCGGAATCAATGGAATTCCTTCACTAGAATCCTGTGATTCAGATGAGAAAGCAGTTGTAATAGCAATTATGCATAGACTAGGGAGAACTGGTCCAGTGAGTAACCAAAGAATCCCTCATGAACGCTTGTGGATCTCACTGGTCCTAGAGACAAACCTGACTGGCTTCTCATTGAACTTGGGACACCACAAGATCCACAACCAGTGTCCATCATTAGCAGAGTTCCTGGAGCACTTCTGGGTGAACAGCCCACTGCTGCGGAAACAGTTGTTGGCAGCTGAGAAAATCCACTTGCAAAGTTTCCAGGCATGGAAGGAATGTGGACAGTGAACAAAATAGTAACAGGAAATTCTAACCAATTGACTCCGCCACCGTCTGATGCGGGAGGGGGCGCAGCACTCCGCCACCGTCTGATGCGGGAGGGGGGCGCAGCACTCCGCCACCGTCTGATGCGGGAGGGGGGGGGGGGGGGTAGTGGGGAAGACACACACACTCCGATGTATAGAGGGTAATGCTGGGGACTTTGATACAAGGGAGGACTCTGATGTGAACATGCTTCCGTGTGCGAGAGTAATTTATTCACTCAGCAGATGCACCGACACTCCCCTTCCCCGACAAGCACCCAACTGGTGCTCCTTACACTGCAAGGTCTCTTCTCTCCCTGCTAATCCCAGGGTACAGTGCTGGAGACAGGCAGGGAGGTGAGGAGGAGATAAACAGCGCAATGTTAAAAATACTAAAAGTTTAGGTCCCCTAAAGCGCCTTTAATTTTTAAAAGCCCTAGACATTCCTAAAAGCACCTCTGCCGAATAACAAACATCAACCTTTTGTATTTTCCATCCTGGCAAAGCAATTTCAAGGTTTAAAAAGGGACATACATCCATTGAAAACCCCTAGGAATAAAACAGTCTCATTCAGTAGTATTTATAACAATTAAGACCTTATTTAAATATGGTTTTGGTCTGTTGCTATTTGGTCTATACTGCTTCTGCGGAACTAATTTACTGGATGTTTTTGAAAGTCTAGTATTGTGTGGGTTTTTTTTCTCTTCTCTACTTCCTTTTTTTTTATTTGTTTGAATTACTGGAAATTCTAAGTGTCATGGATATTCTGTTTATGCGCAATTATGCTCAAGAAGTTTGTTTACCTCTGTTATATGGGTTTTTTTTTTTATTACTTCTTTGCCAGATTGAAGTATATCTGCTGACTTACTGTCTATTCTATATCACCGGAAAATGTTAATAAAGACTGATATTACAAAAAATAATAATATGGTTTTGGTTATTTTTTTTTTTTTTTTTTATCAGGACAAGTAGACTATCATGAGGGACAAGTAGATTGGGACCCCGATTTATTTATTTAGTATTTCAAGAAATTTCCACACCCCTGTACCAGTAGCTGTTGATGACTGGGGAAACCTCTAGAAACTCAGCATAGTCACAGAGAAAAAACAAATTGGGAAAACATCCATACGGTTGTTGATTGGGGGCAGAATCATCTCAGGAGCAGATACCGTCTGAGATGACCTTTTTTTTTTAACCCATCCCCCTGCATGAAGAAGCACAGCCAGTTTGCTTGTGTGCACCTGAGACAGCCTCCCCAACTGGCCTCATGGGCACCACAGCCCTGTCTGGAGAGACTTCCAGAATTTAACAAATCCAACCTGAATCTACCAGCAGCTGATGATAGAAGAAAAATCTTCCAAAACATAGGCAGCCATATAATAAGAATTCCTGTGTCCCTCAAAGGACCAGAAAGAAAAATGTGTTTTACAGTCCTGAGATGATCACAGCCTGACAGAAAATGCTATGTCAAAAGAGTAGACCGCTCACATCTGAGGCAGACACCACTAGCTAATTATTCTTGGGAAAGCAACAATGTTTTAAGATACATCATGTGTTCTATCACTATCGTTTCTCAGGGATTATGCCAGTGCAGGTATAGGATTCAGGGACGAAATCTCAATGCACAATTACCTTTATTACACGTCTTATAGGTCTCAAGACTCTGGTAATCGGAATATTATTCTTCCGATGAGAGGAAGAGTTCACACTGGCTGCAGTTAACATGATCCTTGGCACAGGCATAATATTAATAATAGGAGGTGATAGAGGTTGATTGTTATTACTCGGCTTCTGGAAAAAAAAAAGAGGAATAATTACATACATACATCCATCTGTCTGGTAAACACATGCGATCTTCTGATGCCACAGAGCTAAAAGAACTAAGGGCTGTGGCAGGCACTCAAAAGTACCCATGCCAACCCTTTCCTCCCAGCTACTCCATTCACACAGCTTCAATTAATTAAACATGATCTATGAATGGAGGATGGGTGCATGACTGATGGGTTCACTCCACCCCCATTCATAGATCATGCTTCATTCATAGAAGCTGAACAGCTTTAATGGATAGAGAAGATGGTCAGAAAGGGTGGGCATTGTTAATCATTCAGTATACCTGTTGCAGCCCCTTCGTTTCCTTAGCTAAAGCTACCGCGGATGATTATGGCAGCAAGGCTATGGGGGTGGAGGTTAGAGGAGGAAGATTATGGTGAAAGGAGGGCACAGGAGCACAGCACAAGGGACAAATCTCACTGATGGCAAGTAATGTCCTTTGTGCCATTACTTTTAGGTAAAGTCGGCTTTTAAGAGTTGATCTGACAGCTTCTTCAGCTCTAAATACTTCCTGCTGTGCAATGATCAATTTACCCCTGTGACAATCTGCTTATTCTGCCCAATGCAGAACATCTTCAGTCTCCCTCTAGTGGTGGCTAGTAACTAGTTCATAGCTAAACCCAATGCAAATATATAGCCCAGCCATTCTCAACTTTTTCAACAAAGAGGAACCCATAAAATAACTTCCAGGTCTCAGGGAACCCCTGCTAAAAATTACAATATCTATTACTCATGATACAATAGTGTGATAGTCAGTGGGAAGAATGCTCTCTACACTTGGGGACACCGATAAGAATTACTCTCTTACAGATAGGTGAAAAGATCAATGTTGTCAGTGGGAACCTATCTGGGAGGCAGAAATTGCTGATTGCACAAGGAACCACTAACAACCTTTGGAGGAACCCCAGGGTTCCATGGTATCCTGGTTGAGAAATCCTGATATAGACAAACCACATTGCTGGATGTAGATCATTTTTAGTAAAGATACATTCTATACATTTTCTTACAATATCCTAAAAGCTGCATTCCTGGATATCAGCAAAACAGGATTTCTAAAAAAGCATATAACCACTTTTTAGATTAGAATTTACAGTAACATAACCAGAGAAGTCATGAATGACCATTAAAATGATGATGCTAGAATGCCTAATGTGTATAACATGCTGTATAACTTTAAAAGCGTTTTCTACCAGTTTTATAATAGATCAGTCCTGTAATTCTAAAAAAAAAACAAATTCAGGGATTGGGCAGAACTTCTCTACCAACCAATCCTTACCTCTGGTCTTACAGCCCTTTTGTTAGCCAAAGATTTTAAAAGTTCTTCACGAAGCAGCATTTCCTCCTCTTCCTCTTCATCTGCAAAAGGGGGCTTAGGAGGCTGCTCTGGCTCTTCTGGTGGAAGTGGTGGAGGCGGGACCAATATTTCAGAAGAAGCTCCAGAGATTACAGAGCCATATAAAGAGACATCACTGAGATGTGGCTGGAAGTTGACACAGTGAATTAATTGCGGATTTATTACATATCACTGAAGCACACTCAATCTGTTACATCACATGCATGTGCACGTAAACCAGAAAGAAAAGTATCCATAGGGCTCCTGACAAATGTAGCTAGATTGCTTGTCAGACTGCACAAACTCTTCAGAGATTAAAGTGATCATGTATATTCTTTGCAGACATTAGCAGCTTCATTGTGAATACTCTTAGAACTACTCAGTGGGTGAAGTGTGTCTAGGAAAATGGTGGAAATCTTGGGGCAGATTGTGCACAGATTGACAGATAACGTACAGCATCAGCAACCTTGTAGATAAAAAAGGAATTTTAACTAACCTGTAAATTCCATATCTTGGAGTGCAGTACAGGAAAAAGACTGAATATTCATAGACCACAGGTTATAAGCTGGTCCCTTTGGGTGACTGGACACCGGAAAAGCTTTTTAGGACACGCTCCCTGGGCATCCCTCCCTTTAACACTACTCCACTTGGTGAGGATTCATTTTCGTAGCAAGCAATGCAAAGGAACCCAGGAATAGAAAGGAGGGTGGCCTGCACTGTAATCCAAAATATGGAAGTTTATCTTAATCATACATTGCAAGACACAGGCTGAAAATTCTTAGACTCTGGAACTTCCCTAAGCAATGAATGATATGGGTGGGCAATATCCAGGCAAACAGAACCTGTGACAACAGGCCCAACAAGCATCAGACTCAACAAGATATTGCCATTGCAAGAACCTTGTGGCCAAAAGCTGCACCAGCAGAAAAACGGATGCCCACCTGTTAGAACTTTGTAAAGGTATAAAACATCGGACCAGATGGCAGCCTTACAATGTTGTTCAACAAAGGCTAGATGTTGGAATGCCAAGAAATACCCACCGATCTGAACGTGAACGCATAAAAGCAGAGTAGTTTTGCTCCTTTGGTTTGGAAGCGCCGGTGATGAAGTGTCCTATACACCGAGCAATGGTGGATCTGAAAATAGGATGTCCTGTCTGAGGACCTGGTGGTAGGGTGAAAAGGGAATTTGTCTGACATTAACTATTGATTTGGGTAGACTAATAGCTCTAGGTCCATGCAGTGAAGAGTAATTACCCTTGGAGAAGAGTATGAAGAGGGAAGGACTAGGTCTTTACTGAGGTAGGAGACGGACACAACCTAAGCAAGAAAGAATGGCCTTGGGCACAAGAATACTTTGTCCTTATGAAAGATGAGCAACGGCTCCCTAGAGAGGACAGCAAGGTCAGAGAAACGTCAGACATCATTTAGAGGGATTTCCCTGATTTATTCAAAGTGTGGTTTCTCAAGAGCAGAGAGAACCAGACCAAGGTCCCAAGGAAACACATGGTGCTGCAACAGGGGCGGATCCAAAATACACCATGAATAAAGGTTTTAACAAGGAAAGCAATGTCAGAGGTTTCTGGAAAAGAAAAAGGCCAAAACCTGTCCTTCTAGAGTATGAAAGGACAAGTTCTTGTCAAGTCCGGTTTGTAGAAAAGCCAGAATGCAAGTTACATAGTTCACTTCAGACAAGGAAGGATTTCCAGGTACAATAGTAGGTCTTTCAGTAAGTGACTTTTCTTGCTTTCAGCAATATAGGAATGAATGACTGGAATAGGGTGAAATAGGGGACCTAGAGAAAGCAGGTCTGGCCTGTTCGGAAGGGGCCAGGGGTCGTCTCCTACCAGTCAGAGTATATCTGTGCACCAGGTCCCTCTGGACCAGTTTGATGCAATAAGACTCAACAGTTTCTCCTCTTCCTTTACTTTGCAGAGCAGCCAAGAAAACATTAGCACTGGGGGAAAAAAAAAAAAAAAGGCATAGATTAGACTCAATTGGAGACCAAGGAATTACCAAAGCATCGGATACCAATGCTATAGGGATCCTTGGTCCTGACCACAAACAGAGCTAATCTGTGGTTGCATCTGGAGGCCATCATAGCCACATTTGATGTCCTCCATCTCAGACATATAAGGCTGAACATGTTAGGGTGAAGGGCCCATTCCTCTTTGTCAAGGTGTGACAGCTGAGGTAATCTGCCATCCAATGGTCCATTCCTGGGATGTGGACAGCAAAGATTGCTGGATGGTGTTTCTCTGCCCTTGAGATGACAAGGCTTGCTGCCTTCAAAGCTGCATAACTCCTGGTCCTTGGTGATTGATGTAGGCCACAAACATGGCATTTTATGTTTAGACACTGAAGAAGGGGGTAGTACTGTGCCATCCTTATCACTCTGAGCTCAAGGATGTTGATGAGAAGCTTGGTATCCCCTTGGTCACCATTGTTTGCTGAACTGTGACGGACTGGAACACTCCTCCCCAGCCTGAAAGACTGGAATCTGTCATTATCACCATCTAGTGATATGACAAACTACTTTCTCCATTGATAAGGCTGGGTTGGAAATCCACCAAACTATGGAATTCTTTGCTTGGCTGGACAGGAGCATGGTTAGTTTGGCTGAAGGAGCCTGCTTGTTTCATGCAAACAAGATGTTGTGTTGGAGATGTCTCAAATACAACTGGGTGAATGGGACAACTGCAAAAAGAGACCACCATGAGACCCAGAATTCTCAAATATAACATAGGGGTGTCTCAAAGCAGTTTTTTCTTTGGAAGTAATACTGTTGTGTAGACGGCTCAAGCATTCCAAGGGAAGAGAAGGCTGGATTACAAAATTTTGAAGTTTGCTCACCCAACCAAAGTCCTTGGATGTTTCAGATGGCTCAAAGGGAGACAAGTCCTTCAAAAGGCGGCGGTCTTCTGCGACTTGGATGCTGAGAGTTCTTAGAAGGGCAAGAATAGAAGGAGGGACCTTTGTGCATAATCTAGCAGAGGCAAATGGCAGTGGAACTGGAAGGGATTACCTCCTACTGCAAAGCATAGAAGAGCTGATAAGGCTGATAAAATGGGAATATGCAGATAGGCATCTTGGATATTTATGGCTGCCAAGTTTTCCCCTATTATCAGGGAGGCAATAACTGACCTTGTGGATTCCATGCAAAACATTGGAATTTGAAGAGATTTCTTCAGGAATTTGAGGTCCAAGATAGGACAAAATCCCTATTGTGTTTTGGCACCATAAACAGGTCTGAATAGAAGCCATTGAACCTGTCCTTTAGAGGCATTGCCACAACTACTGTAAGAGTTTGGTGTTACATATGCACATCTTTATATTTTCTTCATGTTTACTTGCAGACCAAGATGTCTAGCAAAAGTGCAACAAGCTTACAAACATTGACCATTTGTGATTTTAGGTATTTTCAAGACATGCCAGTATAGTGAAAGGGTAAGTAAACCAAAATCCAAATGCACGGTCAAATACTTTTAACAAAGCTACTGGCAAGACCAACTTATACAGTAGAATAGGACTTACCCATATATCTGAAGGATATTGATCTGTAACACACAATGCGGAGGGTAAATGTCCCATGGAGCTACAAGCAGAATAATGTAGTCTTGTTGGTGAGGTACCTAAAAAAAAAAAAAAAAAAAAATTAAGAACACCCCAGGGAGGTTTGATTGTTGTAAACTAGCTCAAGTAAAGCTTACTTTGCACTTCATCATTAATACAGTCCTAGAATAATTTGCTTTACCAGTCAATGTTTTCCAGCACATCCCACAGATGCTCAATTGAATTGAGATTTGGAGGCCAAATCAATACCTCAAAGACTCCTTCCATTGCTTTAGTGCCCATTTATGATGCTCGCCAGTCCATTTTAGACTATTTTGGCTATGGACACGGGTCAGCATGGGCATCCTGACCAGTCTGTGGTAACGCAGTCTCATATGCAAAAAACTGTGGTGCACAATGTGTTCTGACACCTATCAGAATCAGCATTAACTGTTCAGCAGTGTGAGCTACAGTACCTCTTCTATAGGAATAGAGCTACACGGGCCAGCCTTCGCTCCCCACGTTTATCAATGAGGATTGGTCACCCATAACCCCCTTACCAGTTTGCCGAATTTCCTTTCTTGGACCATTGCCCTTTTTTTCTGCTTTCAATACATCAACTTTAGGAAAAATATGTTCACTTGCTGCCTAATATTTCCCACCTTATTTCAGATGATCAAGTAAGTTAATCAGTTTTATTCACTTTACCTGTCAGTGCTCATAATATTATGGCTGATCGGTGGTGGTGCCATACTGCAAGACTAGTATTGTTCCACTGGCTGGCCTGCACACAGCATTTGTATCCTGGACTTGTCTAAGGCCTCTAGCATCAGGGCATAATACTTTACTGATCATAGGATCTTGTTGACAGAAAGATCTCTAGTAAAGACCTTGCAAAAGTGCACGTATGCATATACCTGTACATGTGTAGAAATCTTCTTTAATCTTCTTGTTGCCAGTGTTGCAATTTAAACATGTATATGTGAGTAAATAACATCAAATGTTTGTAGGTCTATTTTTTGATACTGTACTCATCGTTGTATTACTGACCATTACGCAGCGGTGTATTTTGTTCGAAAGACAATACACAATCGTGGCTTTTTTTTTTTGTTATTCCTGTGGACAACAGGCTTTATGCTGTTTAGTTTATCTAACCTATTTAATCTATTTATCCAGTTTATTCAAAATGAAACTGACCTTAGATCTTAAGCCAAGACTGTGTCCATGGCTTCAACTTTGACCCTAGCTCATGCAATACATAGAACTTCAGTGGGGGGACTACAAAAAACACAGAAGTTATTTAAAGATGGCCTCACACCTTGGTAACCAAAATGCATGGTAATGCAGAATGCACAATTAGTACCATTTATTTTGAAGACCTTAGGCCCAGTATTTCAGTGCACCGCAATGAAACGGATATGGTCCGGTTTTAGTGCGCTGGCAGACCCCATTCAACACTACCTTGATGCAACAAGCAGTAATGCACCATAGATTTGTGAAGAGGGATATCAGGGATAAAACTAACTACTTTTAGGCATTACAAGGAAACTGTATTTCAGTTTGTCTAAGATATAGCAGGTAAGAGACTCTGTCATCATCTGTCATCAGCAACAGATCACAAAATCATGATCAACTGCTGTACTGACTTACAGAAGTGTAGTATTGGGACTTATGAGGTCATTCACTCAATGTAAACACTATGCAGAAGCATATTGTTTACATTCACTTTAACCGCTTCCCCGCCGCCCTATAACAGATATACTGCTACAGGGCAACAGGGGTGCGCAAAATCACATACACATATATATACAGTGGGGATCGAAAGTTTGGGCACCCCAGCTAAAAATTTGTATTAATGTGCATAAAGAAGGCAAGGAAAGATGGAAAAATCTCCAAAAGGCATCAAATTACAGATTAGACATTCTTATAATATGTCAACAAAAGTTAGATTTTATTTCCATCATTTACACTTTCAAAATAACAGAAAACAAAAAAATGGCGTCTGCAAAAGTTTGGGCACCCTGCAGAATTTATAGCATGCACTGCCCCCTTTGCAAAGCTGAGACCTGCCAGTGTCATGGATTGTTCTCAATCATCGTCTGGGAAGACCAGGTGATGTCAATCTCAAAGGTTTTAAATGCCCAGACTCATCTGACCTTGCCCCAACAATCAGCACCATGGGTTCTTCTAAGCAGTTGTCTAGAAAACTGAAACTGAAAATAGTTGACGCTCACAAAGCTGGAGAAGGCTATAAGAAGATAGCAAAGCATTTTCAGATGTCAATATCCTCTGTTCGGAATGTAATTAAGAAATGGCAGTCATCAGGAACAGTGGAAGTTAAAGCAAGATCTGGAAGACCAAGAAAAAATATCAGACAGAATAGCTCGCAGGATTGTGAGAAAGACAATTCAAAACCCCACGTTTGACTGCACGATCCCTCCAGAAAGATCTGGCAGACACTGAAGTTGTGGTACACTATTCCACTATAAAGAGATACTTGTACAAATATGGTCTTCATGGAAGAGTCATCAGAAGAAAACCTCTTCTACGTCCTCACCACAAAAATCATCGTTTGATCTTTGCAAATGAACATATAGACAAGCCTGATGCATTTTGGAAACAAGTTCTGTGGACCGATGAGGTTAAAATTGAACTTTTTGGCTGGAATGAGCAACGGTACGTTTGGAGAAGAAGGGGCACAGAATTGAATGAAAAGAACCTCTGTCCAACTGTTAAGCATGGGGTTGGATCAATCATGCTTTGGGGGTTGTGTTGCAGCCAGTGACACAGGGAACATCTCACGAGTAGAAGGAAAAATGGATTCAATAAAATTTCAGCAAATTTTGGATGGTAACTTGATGCCATCTGTGAAAAAGCTGAAGTTAAAGAGAGGATGGCTTCTACAAATGGATAATGATCCTAAACACACCTCGAAATCCACGGGGGATTACATCAAGAGGCGTAAACTGAAGGTTTTGCCATGGCCTTCACAATCTCTTGACCTCAACATAATTGAAAATCTATGGATAGACCTTAAAAGAGCAGTGCGTGACAGACAGCCCAGAAATCTCAAAGAACTGGAAGACTGTTTGTAAGGAAGAATGGGCAAAGATACCTCAAACAAGAATTGAAAGACTCTTGGCTGGCTACAAAAAGCGTTTACAAGCTGTGATACTTGCCAAAAGGGGCAGTACAAGATATTAACTCTGCAGAGTGTCCAAACTTTTGCAGACGCCATTTTTTTGTTTTCTGTTACTTTGAAAGTGTAAATGATGGAAATAAAATCTAACTTTTGTTGACATATTATAAGAATGTCTAATCTGTAATTAGATGCCTTTTGGAGATTTTTCCATCTTTCCTTGGCTTCTTTATGCACATTAATACAAATTTTTAGCTGGGGTGCCCAAACTTTCGATCCCCACTGTGTGTATATATATATATATATATATATATATATATATATATATATGTATGTATGTATATGTATATACATACATACACACATATATATATATACATACACACACACGATTTTGCATTTCCGGGCAGGGGGCGTGCCCGAGCCACGTAAGCCCTACCTGAGCCGCTATTCACGGCCGTCAATCACCGGGTCCCGGCTAGAAATTACTGAGCATCTCCGACGGAGAGAAAGACGGTTTTGTTTACTAACAGTCTTCCTCCCTGTTGGTTTGGGCACACTGCTCTGGATGGCGGTGCACAGCACAACCATCCAGAGCAGTGTGCTTACAGTGAATAACACACCACCACCGCCCCCCTAGTAAAAAAAAACTCCCTACAGTGTTAACCCTTTGATTGCCCCTCATAGTAACCCCTTCCTGCCCAGTGCCATTAGTACAGTGTCAGGGTTTCTTTTAGCACTGATCACTGTATTGTCACTGGGGATGTCAGTGACACCAAGTCAGTGTCAATGTCTGCCGCAGTGCAGCTAAAATGTCGCTGATCGCCGCCATTACTAAAAGAGAAAAAAAAAATCCAGTATCTATACCACCATTTGCAAATGCTATAACTTTCATGTAAACCAATTTACACGTATTGGGATTTTTTTTTTTTTTTTTAGCAAAGACATGTCGCAGAATATATTTTGGCATAAATTTGACGAAATTTGATTTTTAAAATTTTTTCACTGGACATGTTTAATGGCACAAAGTCTAAAATATTGTTTTTTTTTCTCAAAATGGTCAGTCTTTTTTGTTTTAATAGTGCAAAGAATAAAAAAACAGGCGATCAAATACCACAGAAAGAAAGCTCAATTCGTGGGAAAAAAAGGACGTAAATTTAATTTGGGTGCAGTGTTGCATGACCGCGCAATTGTCAGTTAAAGTAACGTAGCGCCATTAACGCAAAAAATGGCCTTGTCAGGAAGGGGGGTAAATCCTCAGGAGGGTAAGTGGTTAACAGCACGTGTCTATGGAGCAATCTGTAGAAGCATCATTTCAGCTTATATTGATGTCACTGTCTTACCTGAAACCCCACTGGGACCCCCAATTTCCAGTGCCATTTAGAAATGGTACAGAGAAGAATAGATACCTCCCCAAAGCAGTTTTAACCACTTGAGCCCTGGACGATTTTACCCCCTTTCATGACCAGCCCATTTTTTTGCTATACCACACTGTGCTACTTTAACTGGTAATTGTGTGGTCATGCAACGCTGTACCCAAACAAAATTTATATCACTTTCTGCTATACTTTCTGCTATAAAACATATCACATAAATGAATATACTTCCGCGTCTCCTCTATCTCTTCCAAACTTTGCCAATTCAACTTCCAATGACATTCTTTGCTTCTTGTAAGAAACTATGTTCCTTTTTTTATGGAATCATAAGCGTTCCGCGGGTCTCGTTCTCTCAGCTAACTCGTCCCAAACCCAGCGGGGGCATTGGGCTCCCTGACCTACACCGCTATTACTGGGCGTGTCATCTTTCCCGCATAGTCGACTGGCACATTCATTCTGCTTCCAAAGACTGGGTCCTTTTGGAGAAGGCCTTTTCGCCCACTCCCCTTCCATCGATCCCTTGGCTATTGCCGAAACACACACCTCAGGTTCTCCTCTCCCATCCTTTGATAGGTCCCACGTTAGAAGTTTTCCGCAAGGCTTGTAAATCGTCGTCCATTTCGGACTCTCCTAGTCCTTTGACGTCGATACGCCTGAATCCAGATTTTCCCCCAGGGTTGCACAAGGATTTTTTTATCAAATTATTGGCCACACGATCAGATTCAAGTAAAACATTTTATTCACTCAGGCAAGGTGAAATCATTACAGGAGCTGAAGGTTAGCTTGAATATCCGCGAATTCCCTCTCTGGGCCTTCTTCTTCAGATTAGACACTTCCTGCTTTTCCATAAAATCCCGCCATAATTGGACTCGCCCTGTTACTCCATTTGAATCCTTATGCTCTAAATCCGAACCGCGGACGCATTTGATCTCTGAGATTTATCCTCTCCTAGGGGACAGCAGGACTTGCGCTTCTTTCCCCTCTTGCCGTGCGTGGAACAGAGACCTAAAGACGGATTTATCTGAGTCGGATTGGGACCGCATATTTAGGTACTCCCACACCTGCTCGAGTAATGTTTCGACGCAGGAAAATGGCTACAAATTGGCCACTAGATGGTATCGTACTCCCTCCAGACTTCATCGGTTTTAACTCATCTGTCCCTGACGTGTGCTGGAGATGTGGGACACCTGATGGCTCTTTCTTACATATTTTGGTGGTCCTGTCCACTTATTCATCCATTCTGGCAGGAGGTTCACCGGTTGGTGACTTCAGTGACCACTCTGCCCATAGTTTTTCTCTCCTGCTCAGCTATTGCTTCATCATACCCCCATTCCTAGGAGTCAATATTTCAAGTCCCTAGCTATGCATATGATCAACGCAGCCAGACTCTGTCTTCCTGTGCTGTGGGGCTCCACTCACCCCCCAACTATACGCGATTGGCTCAATCGAGTAGGCAGAGTGGCGGAAATGGAGGAACTGATTGCGACTGCACTTGACATGCCAACTAAATACTCACATGTTTGGGCCTGCTGGACCCACTTTGTTACTACCCCTGAATTCAGATCTCTCATGGGTCGGGATACCTGATTGAGCTCAGCCCATACCTCTGGTTATGCCCTTGGTTCGTTCATAATCTGCGTGGTTATGACCTCCTTTCCGATAATTTATATTTGCCTGCTTAGCTTTGGTGAGTGTTTAAGTTCTTGACACTCTCATTTATGATTTCCAATAGCTATATTGACACAAACTTCGCAGCCCAGACCTTTCGCTTCCCTTGCTTCGCCCCCCCCTTTTTTTTTTTTTTTTTTTGTTTTTCTTGCCTCTTATCCCCCTTCTCCCTCTCCCCCCCCCCCTTTCCCCCCTTTTTCCCCCCCCCCCCCCCCTCTTTTTTTTTTTTTTTTTTTCTTTCTTCCTCTTTCTCTCCTCTCTCTCTACTATGACTCCCATTCTTTTCCTTTTCTTGTCCTTTTTTTCTTTCTATTCTTTTTTTTTCTTTTTTTCTTTCTCGACAAGCTCTCAGTCTTCGATCAGGCTTAGTCTTCGTCTCATTCAGGAATACTTGGTATATGGTTAGCTTATCTCCTCTAGGGTAGTCAATGGTACTCACGACATCTTCTCTTATACTGCGATGCTCAATTAGCCTTATGATAGCGTACTGCTTTTGGTTTAGACTCCGAAGGTTCAAAAACATATCACATTTCTTCATACATTTTAACAAATATGTATTCTGCTACAAGTCTGATAAAAAAAAATCCCAGTAAGTGTACATTGATTGGCTTGCATGAAAGTTATAGCACCTACAAAACTATGGTATACATACTGGAATATTTATTTATACCACTAAGGTCAGTGATCAGCGACTTATTACTGGACTGCGATAGTGTGGAGGACAAACTGATACAAACTAATTGCCATTGATGTTACCAGTGACATTAATAAAGTGATCAGTGATAATACTTTGCACTGTCACTGTCCTAATGACACTGGTTGGGAATGGGTTAACATCTAGGGCAAACAAGGTGCTTCGCAGAGATGAGAAACACAGAGATCCTTCCCTGCATACAGAGCTCTGTGCTGAATGTCAACATGAGCTCGGGGCTGTGATTGTACACAGCTGATCAGCAGGTCCCCGCCCTAAATGACTGGTCAGGACATGTTGACAGGCTCCTGCTGTATGCAATCACAGTGAGTGCAGAAGCATGCCTGATACCTGGAAGTAGGCAGGTAGGCCTTGCCTACAGCGGCCACCCATCTTCAGTACATTGCGGGTAGTCATTAAGTGTTTAAACAGCACTGGGAATTAAAAAAGAAGTACAGCCAAAGCTCATTTGGCTGCACTTCTGTGGATTACAGGAGTGCAGTTCAATCGACAGTCCTGTAACCTGTTTTCAAGGAACAGCGGGCTAAAGTCCACTGTCAGCTGGCGTCACTCAGCCAGTTCAGGCTGTGGAAAGATCTCGACATCAAAGTTGAGATCCACCCCAGCGTCTGGAATGGCACCTGATGCAGGTTCTCAGTGAGCTCTAGAGAGCCTGCGCCAGCTACTCCCTCCCCCTCCACAGCCCAGAGCTCCAGTGAGTGCAATGGGGTGGGGGGGGCCAAGCAGAGAGCGGTGACTGACAGTCATGCTCTTTGCTCAGAGCGGAAAGAACTCAATGATCAGCAGTCAAGTGATCGCAGAGTTCTCACCCATAGAGCCAGCGGGAGACAGATGCAGTATTGGTAAGTATAATGGGGGGGGAAATACATTTCTTGTAAGGTTAAGAATATGTAAATATTTTCATGTCCATAGTCTGAACAAACCGGCACAAGGTTTTAACCGTTTCAATACCGGGCAATTTTACACCTTCCTGCCCAGGCCATTTTTCAGGTTTCAGCGCTCTCACACTTTGAATGACAATTGCGTAGTCATACAACATTGTACCCAAACTAAAATTTTATCATTTTCTTCACACAACTAGAGCTTTCTTTTGGTGGTATTTAATCACCGCTGGGGTTTTTATTTTTTGCTAAATTAACAAAAAAAGACCAAAAATTTTGAAAAAAAAACACATTTTTCTTTGTTTCTGTTATAAAAGTTTACAAATTAATTGTTCTTCATAAATTTAGGACATTCTGTACATGTCTTTGGTGAAAATAACCCAAATTAGGATGTATTATTTAGTTTGTAGGAAAGTTATTTCTGGTATAGATCTGAATATTGACAATCCTGAAGTACTGACAGCCAATCTAATTTCTTGAGGTCCAAGAATGTCAGAATAGTACAGGACCCCTTTTTGCTGAGTAGACAGTCGGAACACTTCATAAGAGGAATGGCGGTTTTTTGAAGTTGTATTTTTTTGTCATAATTTTTCCGAAAATGAAAAAATGAAAAAAATTTTCACTATTTTTTTTTTTTACATACTGTCACCAGTGCAGTACAGCGTCATCATATAACTGGCCGGTGAACAGGGACACTGACTGGTGACAGTATGAAAAAAAAAAAAAAATTATATTTTTTTTTAATTTTTTTTTATTTTTTTATTATATTTAATTTTTTATTTATTTTTTTAACAATGTTACCATAGTAAGTTTATTTTTTTTTTTTTTTTTTTTTTACAAAGAAAAGCAAGCTAGCTTTTTTTTTTTTTTTTTTTTTTGTGCTTAGCTCACAGCTAATCACATGACATGTTATTAGGCACCTGTGGTGATTGCACGGGCGGTGACAAATAGAGGTGGTAGCCAAACGGCTATAGCAAAAAACTAGCTAGCAGAAGCACTCACTGGCTCAGTCCCATTTCTCTGCTCTCAGTACAGCCAGCTGTTGAGGCAAGAGATCAAACACAAAAAGGAGAGTAAAATATTCAACTTAAATAAATGTACAAAAAAAAAGTTTAAAATAAAATTGCATAACAAGGATGACTGATAGTCTGGAGCACTTTTGGAGCAAACATAGTCACTTTATAGTGTATGTTTCTTGTCTTGGAGGCTGCAAAAACATCAGCATTCCCCAGCTATCCTACGAGAAGTAAAGTTTACCTGGAGAGTTTGTCTCACTGTCTGTGTCCATTGCAACCTCTTCATAGTTGTCATACTGGTAAACACATCCAGAGCTCTCCAGCTTGTCAGATCGTTTCTGATCTGCATCGAAAGACTGAATTTTAAAAAAAATAAATAAATAGTAAGATGGGATGTTGACTTACCTTTAAATAGCATTTCTTGAGTACAATACAGGACACAGGATGAGTAGTCATAGACAAAATGGTTTTATATACTGCTACCTTCAGGTGATTGGACCCTCGCAAAAGCTTTGCTAAGGATGCTCCTCATGGCCCCCTCTAATAACCCAACCCACAGGGAACAGAGGAGAAGGACCTGTGTCCTATACTTTAAGGTATGCCATTTATAGGCAAATTAAATACAAGCAAGTCAAGAATTCCACCCGCCAAATTTCCAGTATGTAGGTGGCCATGGGTGTTGAAAAAGGGTTCTCTGCCCAAGAGAGTAACAGGTTTGACCACTCGGAGCTACCCAACTTCTGGTATCCCATTGGCGGTTTATGCAGCCTACTGCTGTAGAGTTGTCCAACTGTGCTCTTAATATGTGACGGTAGAAGGGGGGTCCAGTACAAGAGTTATGGCTTTCGTGACAGAATACTGAACAGGAGCATCAACTCTTGTGGGGACCAGGTGCCCTGGACCATTGGGAAATTGTAGATCCTGCCCCAGCCTAACAGGATGGCATCAATCATTACCACCTCCCAGGGAGAGGGGAGAAAAAATTTCCAGGATCTCAAGGCCACAAGCAGTTGGATATTGATGGAAGTACTAAAGAAAAATGAAAATATTGGGTGAGGTTATAAGAGGTTGCATGGGGAAGGTAGGGGGAAGCATTCCTAACAGCTTTCACAATGTCCAATCACCTGAAGGTAGCAGCATATACCCCATGGTCCAGGACTCCTCCTGTGCCCAGTACTGTATGACTAAGATAAATTTTTTTTTACCATAATGTTTTAGGTAACCCCTTGGTCCCACCCCACCATTTGGTAAACAAAACCTGACCTGTGATATTGCTTATGCTCCCCTACATCAAATATACTGAAGACACACCTTGCACCGTTTAGTCTTGTCTCCTACAAGCTTCATGAACCTATTATACTGTTCCTCCTGGTTGGAAAGGTCTCGAATTTTTCTTATTTCTTCTTCTCTTTTTCTTTTTTCTTCTTCTTCCTGTTTCTTTTTCTCCTCTTCCTCTCTGCGCTTTTCCTCAGCTTTCTGTTGTTGCAACTTTTTCCATGCTTTTGTTTGTTGTCTTCTGAGCGCCTGTTTTGCTATAAGAGAGCAAACTATTCAGTGTGCAGCTGCATTAACTTACTACTGTATGTACCATGGGCCCAAAGCCTAATAGAACATCAATAGAAGGTTCAGACTGAATTACCTGCATAAGCAGCACTGTTGACTTTACGTGATGTAATGGAATTTGAGCTTCCCTTCTCAACCTGAGGCTCTGCTTTGGCCTTTTCTTTCTGGTGCTCAGTCCTGACCTTCTCTTTTTGGGACTCTGTTTGAATCTTCTCTTTCTGAGGCTCTATCTTACCCTTTGATAGTTTTTCCTTCCCCTCTTTCATTACCAATTGTTCCTTTTGCTGCCATTTTTTACTTGCAGACTGCAAAGCCAAAAGACGCAAATGAAGCTCCGACAATTCCTCTTCCTCTCTGACAGGGTTCTGGAAAAAAACAATCTTTGTTAGATCCTGCAAATTGTAACCCTATAAAATAGTTAGGAAAATAAATAACAGATAATTACAAATGCCCAAGAGGTCGCCAGCCATCTAGTAGTAAGCCCTCAGGTGTAAAGGAACTTAAACCCGACTGCTCATAAGCGAAGGAGATGGCTTGTCTGATCCATCTAGCTATTGTGGTTTAGATACTTGCTGTCCCTTCCTCGGGCCACTAAACAAAATCAAAAGGTGACTCGACTTCTTGAAGTCACTTACTCTATTCAAATATGTCAGCAAACACCACCTGACATCTAAAAAAAATGAAAAAAAAAAACACTTTGCCCTCTATGTCTTAGGGTTTTGAAAAAAAAAAAAAAGGACAGACAATCTCTTGTGGTCTATGAAACCGTGATACCACCTTGGGCAAATAAAGAGGATCTTGTCTAAGCCTCTAATACCACTAGGAAGGGTTCCTTGATCGGCAGGCTCTGAAGGTTTTATCTTTTAGGTAGGCTAAAAGATAAAACCCTAATGGAAATCTGCCACTGGCTCAAATGTTGGCTTGATTAAAGCCTCTAATACTAAGGTCAGATCCCAAGCCGAAAAATTAAGCATCTTAATGGAGGTCACTCTTTCCCTGGCCCCCAAAAACCTCTCAACTAGGGGCTCCGACGCAAGTCTCTGGTCCAAATAGACCGATAAGGTTGTCACTTGCACCTTTAGGGTGTTTACAGCTATACCTTTATCCACCCCTGCCTGGAGAAAGTGTAACACCACAGGGACCGTAGGAAGGGAAACCCCCTTCTCCTGACACAAACTAAAAAAAAAAAATAAAAAAAAACAAAAAAAAAAAAAAACACCACTCCTCACACCTTGGCGTACATCTTTCTAGTAACCTGTTTCTTACTGAGAAGAGTGTCCATCACCCTCCCAAAACACCCCCTTCTTCTAAGGACCTCCCTTTCAAGAGCCAAGCCGTTAACTGAAAAAACTCCAGATTGTGGTACAGAGTTGGCCCCTTAAAGAGAAGATCCTGACTGGAAGACACTGCAGCGGAGTCACGGACCACCTCTTCAAAGTGGCGAACCAGGTTCTTGGCCATCATGGAGCTAGCAGGATCAGTCTGCAGCTTGACTGACTAAACTTTTGTAGCACCAGCGGGATCAATGCCAGAGGGGGGAATGCATATGTCAGCTCGAAATCCCATTTCTGTGCTAACATGTCCATACCCTCGGACCCCTGTTCCCAGGCCATGAAGAAATAACGCCTCACTTTCCGGTTTTTCCTGCAGGCAAAAAGGTCTATTTCTGAGCTTCCAAAAACCAGACTAAGCTGCAAAAAGACCTCAGGATTGAGTTTCCACTCTCCCTGGTGGATTAACGATCGGCTGAGAAAGTCTGCTTTCGCGTTGGCCAAGCTCTTTATGTGGACCGTGGACACCGAAAAAACCCTACTCTCCGCCCATCCTAGAACCTCCTGAGCTAGGTCTAGGAGCTTCCGGGATCTGTTGCCCCCAGAGGATTCAGGTATGCCATTGTCGACATATTGTCTGACAGAACTTTGACTTATTTTCCCCCGAACCTGTCTTCAAAGGACTTCAAGGCCTGACCTACTGCCAGCAACTCCATGTAATTAAAGGCGGTCCCCCTTAGGTGTGGCTCCTTCAGACCCTGGGCTTGTCAGTCCTATAGATGAGCCCCCTCAGCCCCACTAGCTTGCATCCATGGTTACCCGCACTGGGTCCCAGTGAGCTCATGGTCTTCCTTCCCCCAGATTCTGAGGCTTGGGCCGCCATCTCAGCAAGTTGTTTTTACATTCTCCTGGAGAGAAACCCTCTCGTCCAGGAATTCAGCTTTCCTGCCCTAAGGAGGACAGAAGGAAGAACTGAAGCTCCCTGGAATGTAACTGTACCCACTCAATAGTCGGTATACAAGCTGTCATGAGTCCTTGGACTCTCATGATATGCCCCCAGGAGCAATCCGGAGCCGTTAACCTGGAAATGACCCCTACTACCTTTTCGGTCTTCTCTTGGGGTAAGAAGAGCCTCTGGACTCTGCAGTCCACTACATACCCCAGGAACACACCTTGGTTTGGGAGGGGGTCAATGAGGACTTCTCCCGATTGACAATCCACCCCAAAACCTCCAAGGTGAAGATCACTTTTTCCAGGTCTCTCAGGAATTGTTGCTGTGAGAACCTGTAGATCTACAGATAGTCTAGGTAAGAGATGAGGGAAATCCCCTGAAGGTTTAAATACACCACTACCTCAGCCAGGACTTTGGTGAAGATTCTTGGACTGGCCGCCAGCCCGAAGGGCTCGAACTGCCAATGATTGACCCCCTGTTCTGTGAATATAGTGAACCTTAAGAAGGCTTGGTATTTCAGGGTGATGGGAACGTGGAGGTAGGCGTCCTTGAGGTCAAAACTCTTTTGAGCAGATGTTTCCATACACTGTAAATACTTTCCATCTGGAACTTTTTGTACAGCAGGAACCTATTCAACCTTCTTGGGTTTATGATCAAACTGAATTTCCACGAAGGCTTCAGGACCACAAAGACATGGGAATAAAACACCCGTACAGGCTGGTCCGTCGCCACAGGGACAATTACCTACTGATCTGCTAAGTGCCTGATCCCTCCCAAAGAGGCCCTCTGCCTTTGTCCTGTCTCTAGGGGGACAAGTAAACACAAAAGGCATGAGGGGGGGAGCGAAGAGAATTCCAGCTAGTACCCCTCCCTTATCAACTGCAGGATGTACGGGCTCTCCAAAATCTTCCCCCATTGATGGAGGAACCTTGATAGCCTTCCGTCCACCATGAGATCTATGTCATTTGGGATCCTTACTGGTGGGTTTAGAGCCTGAAAAAAAAGGTCTGTCTCAACTTATTGGCCCATTTCTTGGGAGAGCCCTGCCTAAGTCTTTGCTGGCTCCGATTAAGGGCTCGAAAAAACGTCTTCCCCTCATCCTTTTTGGCCTTGATGGGGAATTTTTTCCCCTTTTTGGCGGACCATGATAGCACCTGGTCCAGCCCTGAGCCAAACAGCAAGAAACCCCAAAGGGCAGACCACAGAGTCAAGCTCTTGATGTCTGATTGCCATCCCAGATCTTAACCCACACTGCTCTCCGGGCTGAGTTGAGAAACGCTAACACCTTAGCTGATGTCCTACCCATCTCTACCGCAGCATCTGCAAAGGCAACTGCCTTACTGACCACTTCAATGGATTCTAACACCTCTTCTGTCTGGTCTTCCCCCTTATTCTCTTGGTACCCAGAGAGATGTGATCAATTACTCTATGCATCCAAGCATCAGAATTCCTAGCGATGCAAGCTGTTGCCAAAGCTGGGGCCATAGAAGCTGCGTTGGCCTCCCAGGCTCAGACCTACGGTCCATCCGATCCTTGATGTTACCTGAATCCTCAAAGGACAGGTCATATTTTTTTTTTAGACACTTGTGATAATGCAGCATCTAGCTTGGGAGTCTTGAAGAATTTATCTTCCTCCTCTTCCTTAAAGGGGTACAGGTACTTTTCCAGGTCTTTAATTTTAAGAACTTTCTGTCTGGATCCTTCCATTCTCTCAATACAATATCTTTGAGAGATTGGTGTACGGGTTGTACCCTAGTTAGCGGTTTCACCAACCCCCTATACATCTTATCTTGAGCCGAGACCTGTGTTGGTGGTTCTGGGATGTTCTCTGAGGTGTAAATAGCACTTAGGAACCCCTCCATATCATCTGCCACAAAAAGGTGTCTAGAATCCTCGCTAGCCTGGCTATCACCTTCCAAATCTTCCCCCTCTTCCAGGGAGCTTTGGTGAAAAACATCGGCTTTCTCTAGGTCTTCCTCCTCTGTGACCTGCGAGCATGAAGGACCCAAACCCAAACCCCCCCCCCCCCACACACACACACACACACACACACACACACACACACACACTGCTTCTTTGCTCAAGTGGCTTTTGATGAAGATCTATTGCAGATGAGCCCTCCCTAGATCACAGAGTATCCACCTCTCTGGATGTTAGAGCTGTCTTGAAGGTTTGTAAGGTGGCCAACATCTCCGTTTGCACCGACAAAAAGTCCTTCATTACTGCAACTGCCGAAGTTTCTTTCCCTGACAACTTGTGGGTCCGGCATGCTCTTCCAGAGCTTTATCATTGCAATAACCACACAGTTTGGAGGGGGGGGGGGGGATGGGTTTAGCCTTAGGTGTCTTGTGGGTGCTCTCTTGGGTAGCATCCCCGACCCCTCCAGGTACACCTGTAGGGGAGTGGGTGTGTACTCTGCCTCCTTCCTCTCCCCCACCAGCCGAGTCTGACTCACCGCCCATTGTCTTCTCACTGACTGCAGCCTCTGCCTCGCCTTTCACCCTTAGCAGGGTCCTTTGGGACTGCGTCACCTTTGCCGGGCTCCTGGGTGCACGCTCCCAAGGGTAATTCCTGGAGGCTCCTCACTGGCCTCATGAGGAAGGAGGCGCCGACTGGCACTGCCATCTTTAAGGCGGAAATCCCACCCTCACCGGAAGTCCTACTGAGAGAAAGGCTTGGTCTGCAGCCTAGCTCCCATGGACCCTGGGCTCTCCTACCTGCCTTCTGGAAGAACTAATAGCGGACTGCACCGCAGTCACCCCACAGGGTGTGCCGCGTAATTCAACATGCTGGCCGGAAAGTCTTCATACCTGCCAGAAGCCACCTCCCATGGACATGCCTCCCTCCTCGCTGCCCCGGAAGAGGGAGGAAGGGTGCCCATCCCTGGAAAGCCAGACACTTCCACTGTGCCAGGGAAGCTCCAATCAACTGGGACCCCTGGAGTGAGTGAACCCGGTTACAGACTGCCCTCCCCCGAGGGGGGGACCTTGCAGCCCCAGGCCTTAGGTCTACAGAGGAAAAAAAAACAAAACAAAAAAAAAAAAAAAAAAAAAAAAAAAAAAAACACGTTTTGCTGCAGGGAAACCCAATTAAAAAAAACTGAGGAGAGGGGGGCAGAGAATTTAAACTCTGTCAATTTTTGATTGTGTTTCCTGTCAGGTGAAGCTAGTCATCTCTCAGGAGTGCCTTTCTGGAAGATGACTAGAGGAAGAATACTCTTCTTGGAGTACAGACAATGCTGTGAGTGCGCTGGGGATCCATTGCAGTACAGAACTAAAAACATGTCTGACAGGTGGCACATGACCTTTCCATATTCACTGCTGAAGGTTTCTGCAGCCAGGAGTGAAGGTGAAAGTAGCAGTTTCTCTATCCATCTTTACCAAACAAATAGAGGTTGACTCTCACATATACTGTTTTATTGCTGTCTGTATTCGAGTTAAGGAGATTCACTTCTCTGGGGCTTACTCACACTGCAGGCACACTAAAATGATCTATTTTAGGCTAAGTTTACACTAACTTCAATAACGGGCATTTGATGAGTGTTTTTGAAGCTCCACAAATGCCTATCAAAATTGTGTGCATTGCAGTGTTGTTCACATGGTTGCATTAGCATTGCATCGTATCAAAATTGGCCCGAGTCGTGTATTTTGCACGGCTTTGCCACTTCCCAAATGCTTCCATTGGTCTCAATATTAAATGCACTGCAAACATGTCACAAACATCCCTATGGCTTTTACAATGCATTTAGAAAGTGTTACTAGCCAAGATAACACAAATCCATACAATAAAAATATCAACACGGAGCGGACATCTGGCAGGTGCTTTTTAAAACCGCGCCATTGATGTATTTTAACAAATGAGGTTGTATTAATAGGCGCTCAAATTTCTTTGCACACCTAAATGAACCCTCAGCATGTGGGTAGGTGTCAGTTTTGTTCTGCAGCAGTGAGCTTTTTGATCTGTTTTATTGGTTTTAACAATCAGTGCACACAAAAAAAAAGGTGCAAATAATGCCCACGCAGGGGCAGGGCCTTGGCCCAACAGAAAAAAAAGTAAATACAAACTAAATAGGGAAGGAGAGGGAAGGCAGGCGGACCGGATCAGAACGTCCATGTGAAAGGGGCCAAAAGAGGAACCTAGAAAACTCTGTTTGACGTGTTTATATATGTCAACCAACTGTAGCTTTTAGACCTCAACTTGAGCTGAATTTTGGTTGAAAAAAAAGCAGCACACCTAAAATATTGCAGTTCAGTCCTTTACTGTTTAGTTACTTTGGATAAGGTAAAATGTGTATAAAAAGGGAATATTGTTAAGCCAGGCATGTTACATGTGATTCTGTTCATTATTATCAATTCTAGAAATAAAGACATACCTCATTTTTGGTATCTGTAGTGCTGCTCTCAGGGGTCACTGTCTGATCAATTTTATCAAGTTCTGGAAAAAAAAAAAAAAAAAAAATCAGAAATGACAGAAAAACTCTAGCAATGCACATAATGGCATTTTACCTAGCTTCAATGTTTATTTAGAAATAATGCTTTAGGACATTAAAGGAGAAGTTAACCTTTTCAGACAGAATTTTCCTAATAAATAGAAGCGTTTCCAGTGCCATTTGTGGCCCAGCCATCCCAATGGGCTTTTCTGTCACTTACCTCATCCACAGGACATTTAATTTTTTGTCAGTTTTTGTAAGATTTTGAAAGGATTGTCAGATTGCATAATTTCCTGTAGATGGTCTCTCAGCATTCACTTCCTATAGGCCACCTCTATGAAGCCTTCATGTCCTTGTTGCATCACAGAAGAGGATCTGATAGGGTGTTCACCACTCTGGACCACACCTCAGCTATGCAGTACAAGGTCCTGTCTGATTTGATACAAATGGAATAGATTGTTCAGGTGTGTCCTATTCTAGAGTTCTGGTAAATCTAAAGGCAATTGTACAGATTGCATAGTGTATGGCCATCTTTATAAAAGTACATAGTAGGGAGTGGATGGAGACACTCAGTTGTCAGGCCCTGTACACATCTCAATGTAGTGAAGACTCACATTCCTGCATGTTCTGGAGCGTTTTCAGTCGTCACACATAGGGCATTCACATGAATGGGCTGCTATACACGCAACAATTGCCTCAGAAAAACTCCAGAACTTTTTTTTGGAGCGAAGCACGGTGTATTACTGAAGTTTTTGATGCATTTGCTTCACTTGGGGTGCCTTTAACATGTAATGACAGCATAAACATGATGCACATTTGCAGCGTGTTTCTGAAACGCATGGCAAAGCACGCATTTTCTGTGAAGATCACTATGCTTTCGGGAAACACACAGATGTGATTGAAGCCTCTTTGTTCTGTGTAAATGCACCTACTTCACTTTCAGGCCCCATACACACAGTAGAGGGAGCGCATGTTTCTTGGCTCATTTTTGCAGTGACACACATAGGGCATCCCATTGACATCTATAGGCTGAGTTACACGTGACAAAGTAGCTCATAAAACATTTTGTTGTGATGCGAGTTGCATTTATTACTGCACGTTTTGCTGCATTTCTCACCCATTTCTTCATGTGGCAAAATATGTGCTGGTTTCTGTGCCGTTAATTAATGACACTGAAAGTGCAACTATTTAGTTTTACGTGTATAATTGTGGCCATACACTATACAATCCGATTGTGCAATCTCCTTTAGATTTCCCAAAACAGTATAAAAGAACGACACAGCATCTATCCAATCACTCTATATCCAATCAAGCAGGCCCTTGCATTACATCAGGGGTGTCCCATTAGATGCATGCGGCCTGAGCCCATTTGAAGGGATGCTGGGGTAGCCAGGCAAATGCACATGGGGAGAGATCCTGGAGATGCTGTGAAAAAAATAATTGATGAGTGAAGGGTGTGCACTAATGAGGTCAGTGCAGGATTTGTGTGCTAATGAGATCAGCTGGTAATCTGCTTCCAGGGTCCTACTGACTCCTCTGTCTATATTCCAGGAATTGAAAAAGCTTTCTAAGAAATTTACCTACCAAGGTCTAAAGTAAGGCATAACTCTCCAGGTTAAAGTGAGCTTGATTATTTTTGCAACTGAGGTACGTTAATAGTATATTGGTGAATAGGGGAGCTGGATTTTATTAAAAACACGCACACACACACCAAACTTAGCCTTTAAAACCTTCTGCATTAACAAAAAAGAAAAAGTAAGATTTTGTACTCTCCATAAAGTCATTTGTTGTCTTGTGCACAGAGGGACAAAGGAACCGGAAGATGGTCTGAGCCACCTAAAGAGATCTTGGAATTGAAAGCGAATATCAGGTAAAGGGGCTGGACCCTCCAAAGAGAACAAGGCTCTGGAAAAAGGCTTCTAACTACTTATCAGTTGGGTCCTTGAAGACAGGTATAGTAAACGTTTGTTAAAAATCCACCCAATGGACAATCCACAGTGGAAACTGACCACTTTTGCACAAAATTTTCAAACAGAAGGCCAACAAGTGCTTGGACAACAAATATCAGGATTTTTCCATTCCACGTAAAGAGAAATTTACAGTGCTTTGAAAAAGTATTCATACCCCTTGAAATTTTCCACAATTTGTCATGTTGCAACCAAAAATGTAAATGTATTTTTTTGGGGATTTTATGTGATAGACCAATACAAAGTGGCACATAATTGTCAAGTGGAAGGAAAATGATAAATGGTTTATCAATTTTTTTTTACAAATAAATATCTGAAAAGTGTGAGGGATCTGACTGTTAAAAGGTAGCAGTCAGGAGAAGGGTGCAAAAGAAATTCCAAGGCATTGGATATACCATGGAACACAGTGAAGACCGTCATCATTAAGTGAAGAAAATATGGCGCAACAGTGACATTACTAAGAACTGGATGTCCCTTACAAAATTGATGAAAAGACGAGAAGAAAACTGGTCTGGAAGGCTGCCAAGAGGCCTACAGCAACATTCAAGGAGCTGCAGGAATATCTGGCATGTACTGGCTGTGTGGTACATGTGATAGTCTCCCATATTCTTCATATGTCTGGGCTATGAGATAGAGTGGCAAGATGGAAGCCTTTTCTTACGAAAAAACACATCCAAGCCCGGCTAAATTTTGCAAAAACACATCTGAAGTCTCCCAAAAGAATGTGGGAAAATGTGTTATGGTCTGATGAAACCAAGCTTGAACTTTTTGGTCATAATTCCAAAAGATATGTTTGGCGCAAAAACACCACCGCACATCACCAAAAGAACACCATACCCACAGTGAAGCATGGTGGTGGCAGCGTCATGCTTTGGGGCTGTTTTTCTTCAGCTGGAGTTGGGGCCTTAATCAAGGTAGAGGGAATTATGAACAGTTCCAAATACCAGTCAATATTGGCACAAAACCTTCAGGCTTCTGCTAGAAAGCTGAACATGAAGAGGAACTTCAAAAGTGAATTTTTATTATTTTTTTCTAAAAGGGGAACTTATCCTTTAAATATGCCTGTTGAAAGAGGAAGCAGAGAAAGCACGTTAAGCTGGTCATACATGGCTTGAATTTTGGACGATTCTTGCTCAACTGGCCAGATTCTGACCCATGTGTTGCCCCTGTCAGCATCACCTGGCTCAACAAACCGATTGAAAAACTGAAGGAACTGGGTGGAAAATTGTCAGCTGAACAGTCACTCCATCACCTTAGATGCAGTCATAGTTAGGTTTTCAAACAGCAGTGGGCATAGCAGCCATCAAAGTACAATAGCGGACAGTGAAGATTCCACATATGAAGTACGAAGTATTTTTTGGCTGTCTCCCCTCAGTTTTCACCTGGTGATCTGGCTAGTAACATACCTCTTGTATTAGAATGCCTCCACTCTGGCTGAAAGAGCACAAGGGAAACCTTTTGGACAGCAACACTGTCAGACTTTTTTTTTTTTTTTTCGGGGGGGGGGATCAGATGCACTGGCAGATTTAGATACAGTAACAAATTGAAGCTGAGCTCCAGCTACCACTCTTTCAGCAGTTACAGCAATAGCTTTAGGATAAAGGTTTTACATAAATAGAATAGAAGCTGATCATTATAAGCACCCCTCTCAGTGGTAAGTTGTTTGTCTCATCTCTAACGGAAATATCTTGGAAGGAAGCTTGTTCTTTTGAAAAACAACAGACTGTTACTGACCAGATCACTCGACGAACATAGAAGAAAAAAAAGGTCAAAAAGAAAACTAATGCAGCCATCACATCTAAGAATTGGTAAGCTGCAATATATTAAAAGGTTTGCTTTTGGGTTTAATACTGCATTCATTTTCACTTATTCAGTCCATGGGCTGAGCAAGAGAAATCTATGTGTTTTTGGCTAGCATTACTTACGATATGCTGTGTCCATTCTGACAGCTGAAGATTACAGCATACTTTAGAGCTTTATTTTAATACTATTAGTAACTCAATGACTTGTTTTACTTGTTTCCTAGAACACGCTATATCTAAAATGTCACATTTTGATTTAGTAAAGTATAAAACTTAAGGCAAAACTTTTTTTTTTTTTTTAAAGTCTTGAATAGTGAGTGGAGAGGGATTACAATACCTGCCAGGTTTGTATTGCGTTCTGAGCGCCATTATGTATATGCACCCTCTGTTATTTTTACAGCACAAGAAAAAAAAACCTTTCGCAGCAAACTGTCAGAAAAAGAAAAGAAAATCCCAAATTTTGTGTAACAAGAACAGAACAAGAGGAGAAATCTTCCAGTTCTATTGATTTTGGTGACAATCAGGGATTAACCATGGAAGGATTTTCTCTTGCTTTCTGTTGGGGCTTTGGGACAGCAAGTAAAGGGAATTCTTCCCAACAGGATAAAACACCTGACAGGGGTTATAACCTCGTTTACTCCATAGAAAATAAAAAAAAAAAAAAAAAGAAAGAAAAAGATTTGCCTATAAATCTACAACATACTAGCTTCTTTCTTCCCTTGGGAACTGTGTAGACAAGGATATCGTGGCAATCAAGCTCCCATGTCTTAACTATTTCTATGGCTAGCACAAAAAAAAAAAATCCCATGATCAAAAAATTCACCCGAGGACCTTTTTACTAATATAAATATAGAATTGAAAGAAGAAAGCATACTGCAATTAAGGAAGGAGAGACAAGAACTATGACAGGTAAACTACCACAGCCTTCTTCAGCTAAAAAAAAAATTATTCAAACCTGTATTGGCACTACTGTACCTGGTTCAGGAGTTTCAGGGTCACTGGTAATTACAACCGAGCTGGATTCTTCCTCAATACTTTGTTTCTTCTTGTCAGTAATAGGTTTTAATTTTTGTCTAAGAGGTTTAAGCTCAAAGGACTGGAAAGTCTTCACTGGTGGTTTCTCCTCCACAGATGGCTCCAGATTCACCGCATCACCCGTAGGACATTCTTCCTTCACAGGGGTTTCTACAGTGGTTTCCGTAACACTTTCTTGTTCTTTACTATGCTGTTCTTTACTATGCTGTTCTTTACTATGCTGTTCTTTACTATGCTGTTCTTTACTATGCTGTTCTTTACTATGCTGTTCTTTGAGAGCTTGTTTTTCATCCTTATTAATGGATTCAAGTTCAAGTTTTATCTGCTTATATTTTAAAAGCAGATCTTCAAAGCTCTCCTCTTCACAGTTTTCATTTTTTGATGAATGACTAGATTTTCTAGGTGGAGATCTAACAACACTTTTAACTGAAGAGAACGTCAAGGAAACAACGTTTATTCTTAAACTATTAAAAATAAACATAAATAAAGCATCCTGATGTAAATATGCTTATCAGTATATGTCAATATTTTAAAACCAATGTTTTCTCTATATGTGAAGTTGATTTAAAATGTATATTTGTATGACGATATAAAAATATTTTAATGCAATTATTTATTCTTACTCTGCATACCAAAGGATTTTTTTTTTTTTTTTTTTAACATTTGACCAGCAGCAGAGGACTAGAAGCTCCTCCTGCCACTGTTTCCCTGCAAACAGGCTGCGAAAAAGCTGGGACATGTGACAGCCGTATATCAACTAGGAACAAAGGTACTTTGATATTTTTCATTAAAATAATTAGTGTCATCATCCAAATACAGAAATAGAAAGGATAATGTAAATTAAACAGTGCTTGTTTAGTATCACTTTAACCGCTTGCCTGCCACCCTATAGTAGAAGTACTGCTACAGGGCGGCAGGGCTGCACAAAATCAGGTATATATGTGATTTGCATTTCCGTGAGGGTGGTGGCTAGGGATGTAAATCACCGAGTTCCAGCCAGAGATTTCATCGGGCAAAGTGGACAGGGGGGAGACCTGTGTGTAAACAACACAGGTCTGTCTCCTGCCAGAAAGGACATGATGCATAACAGAGAAACACAAAGCAGCATGTCTCCCTAGTAAGGCTCCATGTACCCCTGACCGCCGGCGGGTAAACTCCAATCACGGCAAAATGCAGCAACCACAGAACCGCGATTTTCCCGCGTTTTGCGGTTTCCCACAGTCGGCGGTCAAAATGTTCCTATCCTGAACATGATTCTTCCTCGTTCAGGACAGGGAGGTTTAACCTCACCTAAAACGTGGCAGCTCCTAAACTCTGCCAAAAACCTATGTGTATATGAACACACAGGCCTTTATGGAGTTGAGTTTAGGAGATTTTCAAAAAGATGCCAAAATCTCCAAAACTCGAGTTTAGGAGCTGCTCATGTACATGAAGCCTAACACACACACAGCACAAAATGTAAAATAGCACACAGTTAACCCTTTGATCTCCCCAGATGTTAACCCCTTCCTGCCCAGTGTCATTAGTACAGTGTCAGTGCTATTTATTAGCACTGATCACTGTATTAGTGTCACAGGGTATGTCAGTGGCAGTTAGTTCCCACCCAGTGTCGGAATTCCCGCCGCAGTCTCGCTATAAGTCGCTGATCGCCATCATTACTAGTATAAAAAAATAAATAAATAAAATTCCAGTGTATATACCGCCATTTGTAAACGCTATAACTTTCACGTAAACCAGTTAATTTACACGTATTGGGATTTTTTTTTTTTTTCTTAGCAAAAACAAGTAGCAATACATTTTGGCCTAAATTTATGAATTTGATTTATTTTTTTTACTGGATGTTTTATAGCAAAACGTCAACAATATATATATTTTTTTTTCAAAATTGTAGGTCTATTTTTTGTTTTTAGCGCAAAAAACAAAAGCAGAGGTGATCAAATACCACAGAAAGAAAGCTCTATTTGTGGGAGAAAAAAGGACATACATTTCATGTACAGTGTTGCATGACCGTGCAATTGTCAGTTAAAGTAACAGCACCATATCTCAAAAAATGGCCTGGTCAGGAAGGGGGGGGGGGTATATCCTCTGATGGGCAAGTGGTTAAAGTCAACCGACACCAAATATTAGCATATGTACACAACAGCAGAATTGGGTAGCTTCCTGCTGAAATGAAACTGCTAAAATAAAACTACAAATGAGAAAAAAAAAAAAAAAAAAAAGACATTTTAACACAAGCTAGTCATGGGCACTGTTAAATCAGAAAAAAGAAAACGGTTTAAAGTGTTAAAATCAGAGCAAAAAGCAGGAATTTGCATACCATGGATTCAGGGCTCCTAAGGTGCTCAACAGAAAAACTGAGTGAAGGCACCTTATGGTGCCCACTACAGGGGCCATTTTGGGTAGAAAAACTCACTTCAAATGTGTTGGCTCAGCACAAAGTTTAACTGTTGCTGTTTGATCATAGGTTACTTTAGGGCTAGAAAGTCAGGTTAACCTGTCAGGATAGAAAATGGGAGCAATCTTCCATGATTTGTTTATGTAGTGGTGCAGGGGCCAGCAGATGGAACCACAGTGTTCAGCAAGGGACCAGGCCTCCAACACACCTAAAAGTATTGCTTGCCAACAGCATCCTTAGCTCCTGAATAAAGCAAAGTTTGGTGTGACTGCTCACCCACCAGACAGGCAAGTAAATCTAATCACCTTTTATAGGGTGCTCGTACCCTAATTTTTGCAGACTAGCAACAATCACTTTAAAGCAATCCCAATAGTTATCTAAAAAAAAAAAAAAAAAAATCTAACTGGCAGGTACCTGCAATAGGCAGCTCTCAGAACAGAAGATAAGGTAAAGGTCCACTTTTTGTTAGAGATACACCTTATACTGTTCAGAATATGTAGAATTAGCCTGTGACTAGAACTGTAATATTTCTTTGCCAAACATATTTTCTCTTGCACACATATAATGTAAGTTCAGCAAATAGGGGTCAGTCCAGCACAGAGAATGATCAAAAACCAGCCAAGGCCCAAAGATCCAAGAGAAAAGAACATATATGATGGTGCTCCTGGATTGTAGGAAACACAACTTACCCGAGGGCCCAGTCTCTATCCAGCGCTGTACCCAAGGGCAGCATTGCTTTGTCTCTCTCCTTCCTCACTGGACTTCATAAGAGCAGCAGGAACAATTGGCTTCTGCTGCTGTCAATTAAATCCAGTGATGAGGGAGTGGGGGGCGGGTCCAAGTTGCACTGTGTGTCAATAGACTTGCTAGGGCTTGCTATGGGGGCCCTTGGGGGGGACCAGGAGTGCTGGTAGAGGCTAGAAGAGAGAGTGGGGCTGCACTGTAAAACCATTGCACAAAGCAGGCAACATTTATCTTTTCAAAAAAATAAAATTCCTTTAAACTGAGAGGGCGAGGTTTTGAAACAAAGTGCATTTGTTTTTTCTGTTGAAGGAGGAGCCAACCATTATTCAGCTAGCTGTACTGGAAGAAGACTGGAGAAATATAAAGAATGTGTTGCTCTGTTGCCTAGGGCAAACATTGACATTTTTGCTTTTTTAGTTACAGGTTGACTTGGGCTCTAGGTTGTGGATGAAATATTTCAGGTCACCATTCTGGAATAGTCTCTTGCAACCCTTTTTCTTTACATATTTACAAATAGATTCTGGCTCCCATGGTTCTCATCAATTCCTAACCCTTTCGGCCAATGACTATTTTCTTTAGCAGATGCCAGAAACTGACTTGCAGTGCTTTTCAACAAACAGAAGACCTCCATCTGTCAAATGTGCTGTAGAAGAAAAAATATATTGTAGTATGCTCCTTTTAAACCAATTGCTTTACAATGAAAGACAAGTGCTGACAAGAGAACCTGTAAATAACTGGCCTATGAACCGGCAGTGCCTGCTATAGTCAACTAGCCCATTAGTGAACTTTAAGCACATAACTGGGGGAATAAAATGAACAAAAATAACTGCATGATCAGAGACAAAGACAACTGTCTGCAAACATTTTAGTGGGTCACAGCATAAAGAGGAGTTTGTGGAGTGCTTGTGCATTTGCTCTGGCACCCGATGGGCTTCAGTAATAAGCACCAAGCAACCAATTTTGACACACTGTGCTATTATATTTTCAGAACAGTCTGTCCTCCTAAATTTTGACTGCTGTGGGCAGAAAACACTACACTATTCTACATTTAGACAAAGAATCCACTAAATTTGAAAATTATCTTTAAAAATCTTCAGATAACAAAAAAAAAATCTTGAAGTGGTATTAATCCAAAATGTTTTATATTTTTACAATATTACCTAATATTAGGTGTGGTGGCTACATTCGTTTTTTTAGGATTTTTCCCCTCTGTTTTTACTAGATGGCCAGTAACAAACCCGCTGTATTAGAGTGCCCCAACTATGGATGAAGAAGCACAGGGGGCACCTTTGGACAGCAGCACTGTCAGTCTGGGGCAAGGGAAGTGTCAGATATACTAGCAAATTTAGAAACACTAACAAATTGAAGACAAATGTCAGCTCACACTGCAATTACAGCAACATTTTTTCCTTTTGGGATAACATTTCTACATGAATAAAAAAGTGGATTATTTTAAGCACCCCTATCAATGTTAAATCATTTGTCTCATACCTGTAAACTAATACATCTAGAAGACAGATTTCTCTTAAAAAACAGACTTACTGGCTGGATCACCAGATGAAATTAGAAGAAATTCTAAAAAAAGAAAACTAATGCAGTCATCACATCCAAGAACTGTTCAGTTTGCTTTTGGATTTAAAGCTATACTAAAAATTCATTTTTTTTTTTTTTTTTTAGCATGACGGTAAAAAACCTTGAGCCTTTTACAACTGCTTTAATACTGCATTAAAGGATACTTTAACAATTTTAGCCACAGCTGTCGTAGCTGGATATCCCTCGTGGGCCAGGGCAACTTTAACATTTGCACTTGGGCCTTTGGTGATTAACCACTTCCAGACTGGACACTTTTACCCCCTTCCTGACCAGGGCAATTTTCAGCTTTCAGCGCTATCACACTTTGAATGACAATTGCGCAGTTATGCAACACTGTACCCAAATGAATTTTTACCATTTTTTTGAGACAGATAAAGCTTTATTTTGGTAGTATTTATTCACCGCTGGGATTTTTATTTTTTTTGCTATGTAAATGAAAAAGTCCAAAAATTTAAAAAAAAAGTGTTTTTTTTTTATAAAATTTTGCAAATAAATAATATTTCATCATAAATCTTGGCCAAAATTTATTCCGTTATCTTTTTAGTAAAAAAAAAAAAATCCAAATTAGTTTATAAGTAAAAATTATAATTTTTAAACTTTTTTTTTTACATTTTTAATTAATTTTTACTTTTTTTTTTTACATGCTGTCACCCTAGCAGTACAGTGTCACCATGGTGCCACTGTACTACTTGTG